CGAAAATCCTCAATCGCGCTAAACAAACAGCGATTGATCTTTGTAAACCAAACATTAAAAAACAAATGCGAGATAAATATCCTGATATGTTGAGCGAAAATTGAAAAACTTTGTGTGAATATAAAAATGCAAATAAATTTTTTTTTATTTAATCAAAAACAAATTTTAAATGTTTTTATGACTAATCCTTTCAATTTCAAGCTCTCATCTGTTCTTCTGATTAAAAGAATTAAAAGGAACCGAAGTGCATTGGAATCGTTTGCGACCATTGACTCCAATAATCCCAATCGATGCTTTCACAAGTGAAAATTGCGTCCAATCCCGAAATCGCAGCAATTGCAGCAATCAAAAGTGTGAATCTTTAAAAGTAAATTTTCAGCTGAGCAAATTTGAGCATATAAATGATTGATCTCACTTCATTTGACCTATAATTTTGTAAACTGATAACCGTAGAAGTTGGCTACACACTGACAAGAGATTTCTAAATTTTTCTTGTTCATCTCAACAAAATTCGTGTTTATTCTCGTAATTATTTCTCGTAAATAATTCATTATCAAACGTTTTCAAATTTACATTTCAATAACATCAAGACTCTTTATCAATGTATTAAGAAACTTAAAATAACTCTGATCTGGCTAAAGTTTCAATTTCATTCTCTTCAACTGGTCGTTCAGAACATTTTTCATTAATTGCGTTGTAAAATGGCAATTGGTCGTTTTGATTTCTTTTCATATCGATGCATCTATTGTGTGTCAAATCAACAACCCTCAACTTAGGTAACTGTTCAAATGCAGAAGCTTCAATGTACTTCAATTTATTATGATAAAGCCAAATCACTTCAAGTTCCAAGTTTTCTGAAAGATCTTCCTTGGTCAAGGTTTCAATACTATTTTCAAACAAATAAAGACTTTTAAGTTTCTTCATGGGTGACACGTTTGGCACTTGTGTCAACTGAGAAATATTCAACATTCGTGAGTTCTTCGAAAGCATCATAAGGAAGATGCGATAAATGATTTCTCGATAGTGAAATTGTTTTCAATTGCTTATATCCTTTGAAATCTGATCGTTGTATGAATTTTAGATCAGATCGGAAAACATAAAGTTGATCCATATTTGGGAAGAATTTTGTCAGTCCTTTTAAAATGCCGAAAGTTTTTTGTCCATGAATCTCCACCCCCAACACGTCTTCGTCACTGCGATTCTGATCATGTTCACCATGAACCACAGTAACTTTCGACAAACCAAGTATTCCAATCATATCCGATGAAATCACAATAAATGTCTACACCCACGCAACAGTGAGAGGCAACAAAAATAAAGAAAATAACTGCAAGTCTGTGAAATTTTATTGAAAGAAATTTAAATTAAGTTGATCACTAGAGAAAAAAATATGTATTTAACTCACTTCATGTTTACTGGTCAATGTTTAACTAGCGACTAAAAGAATTTGCTAATTTGATTTTGTAAATCTCTTGTACGTTTAAAGAGATATTTATTATGCCCTCGAGATTATTTTAATGAGAGTTTATAATTTTTAGGGATTCCCTTTGATGTGAATGTTCTGAACGATCGACAAGACGAGACATTTGTATAGATTAAATATTTTATTATCAATTTTATTATTTATGTTTCAATAACAGGTTAGTAATTTACATCCACTCTGCTCAGAATAAAATCTCAATTTCATTATCTTCATTTGGACGTTTACATTTTGCATTTATTGCATTATAGAATGGCTGAGGGTTGTAATAAATTCTAGCCATGTTAATGCATTTATTGTGTGTCAAATCAACGAATCTCACATTGTGTAATTGTTCAAAAGCAGAAGCTTGGATATATTTCAAATTGTTGTTATAAAGCCATATTCCTTTAAGGTCTAAATTGTTGGAAAGATCTTCTTTGGCCACGGCTTCAATGCTATTCTCGTGTAAATAAAGACTAATAAGTTTCTTCATGGCTGATACATTTGGCATTTGTACCAACTGATTGAATGAAATATCAAAGTATTTTAAATTCGTAAGTTCATTGAAAGCATCATCAGCAATTATTGAGATTAGGTGAGAAAAATTGAACAAAGTTATAAGCATTGTTATAGTTAATGATCTAGTTATTATTTAGTATTTTTTTGTCGTCATAGTAGTCTTTTGTTGAAAATAACTAAAAAAAAACTTGAACCTTAACTGACATTAACTTTAATTAATAGGTCCTCAAGCACATATAACTCCAGATATTATATTGAGATTAGGTGAGAAATATTGAGTTATTTCATTTTAATATGAATTACATTCCGGTAACGATTTTTTTAACCCGAAGAAAATTTCTTTGTTTTTAAGATATTGAAGTGGGATCATCTTGCATATAAAATGTATATAATTTCTCCTGGTTTAAAATTCGATGTATTCTTAACATATAAGGAAATGAAGGCGTTTATGAAAAAAATAACAAATGAAAACGGAACGGAGGAATGGGTCCTTTGTTCCGCAAAACAGAAGTTTGAAGGAAAGGTAAGTTTCGCTTTCCAGTAAAAATAATCTTTTTAGCAAAAGTTATAACAGTTTTTTATCAATAACCTTTGCTATTCAATAATATTTTTATTTGGAGCATAAAGCTGTAATGATGAATATCTAAATAAATTCTTCAAAAATCTTGCAGATGCCGTACAATGCCTTTTTTTGCAAGAAGCTGAAGGAAATTTTTGGAGATAAATTTACAAGAAACCAATCTTTTAGGAACGCGTCAGGAACCTCAACTGATCAATTGGCTTATTGGAATTGTATTCATAAAAAAAGAATTTCGGTAAGTGATGCTAACTTGTAAGGTTAAGTTGCTTTTCTTTTCATGATAAACTTCGGTTAATCATTTCATTGTCTCTAAGTTATAACAATGGCAATGACACATTTCGTTATGACTTTATCTAAAGTATGCACTTATTGTTTCAAATAACAATGTAATAACCAATCCCATAACTCGAGATCGATGAGTTGTTAAATATCTATTTGAAATTTTATAAATTGTCTCATAATTCACGATTCTTAAATTACATGTGTGTAAATTTCTCCTATCAAGTATAAGCATCGATTTCACCATAAATTGATTGGATGATGAAAAAAAATTGATATAAAATTGAAAGTTCATATTAAACCAACTCAATATTTTCAACGACGTGATCACATAAATTGAATTTTCATCTGTTAAATTTAATGAAAAGATTTTTGTCTGCAATTATTAATCGCAGATTTATATTTGGATTAAGTCGGCACCAGCATTCGTCATTCTTTTAACTTCTTGGTAAATAAAAACTTTATAATTTATTTTTATTCCTCGATGACAATTTGTTGCTTACGTTTGTGGAGAGTGGAATAAAATTTTCAAGCACTGAATTTAAATTCTCTGTTTGCTGCAGTTTGATCCGATTTATTTATTATTTATTTATTTATTTATTAGAATACGAATTCGAAATAACATTATCGCGACAAATCCCATAATATTCAGATGCTTCTAGAAACTAGACCAAACCCAAGTTTTAAATTTTTATACATTCCAAAATCAACGAGTATACAACGTTAGGGATGATTGCAAATAAAACCTTCATGTATTCATTGTGAACATTGCTTATTACTTTTTATATTATAATTGAATGAATAACCGAAAGAACAAAGGTTGCATCCAACCGTCAAGTCTCATAGAGTACAAAACAATTTTTGAGAATGTGACCTCTCATTTTCGTTTTTTCTTTGTCATTAAAATTGAATTTTAAAAGCATTTTTCTCAAACTTCTTTCCTTTTTAAAGCTTCGTATAAAAAAAGAAGATTTGAAACCTTTGAAGGGAGGCCTGACAGGCTTTGAGGCAAGAACATCATGTAAACAATGCATTCGTCGATCAAAAGTGAATGAAATGGGAACTGAAGATGTTGTGGGCGAAGATGTTGTGGGCGAAGATGTTGTGGGCGAAGATATTGTGGACGAAGTTATTGCGGATGAAGATGAAGAAATATTCAATTCCCCGTTGACAGAAAATGAAACGGTTGGAATATCTAAAGCACTTTTAGATTTGCTCTCCTTCTGTCGACAACGCATCGATCACATCGTAAAGGAATCAATGCTGGCTAATTTAGAGCAAATCATAGCACTTGATGATATACCCTCTCAAATTCGTTGCTTCATTGACACTATGCCTTCTTTAGGTGGAACGATAAATGGATTTGTTTTGCAAGAATGGAATATGCTTAGAACTTCTGCTTTAGATGAAGCATATCTAAAAGAAAGAAACGAATTGAGAGCTGACCTCAAGCGCATTCGTGTTGTTGTAACAGGACCGAACAAAGAAGCGACTGCTAAAGAAGCAAGTACAATTTTTTTTCTTGACTTTCTTTTAAAGTTGGAGCTTTGTTTCTATCCTAAGCACCAGGCCTTTCTCAAAAGTTTTAATCTTAATTTTTAAAGTAACTTTATATTTATTCCTTTCTAATAGGTGGCAGCAAATTATTTAGACAAGCATCGAAAGGGTTTGAAAGGTGCAAGCACTCTCGATTCAAAAAGTTCTGAAGAGCAAATCAAACATGAACAACGATACAAAACACTTCTTTCTAGGATGAAGCTTTCTTCTCAAGCTAAGGAAGGTCTTTTCAAGATATTAGAGGGCGAAGAAAACGATGCAGGTTCATCAACAACTCCTACACATTCAAAAAATATAAAAAATCTAAATCCAAAAAAATCACAATCAGTTCCACAAAATCCTCAATCTGATGATCCACAAAATCCTCAATCATCAGTTCCACAACCAACAATCATCTCAAGTCCACAATCACCATCTAAAAGACGTCGTTCACCTCAGAAATTAAATATGAAAAGAAAAAAATTGAATAACAGAAGCGATGATTATTCAGCATGAATAATCTGATTTCTTTATTCATATAAAGTGTGCATTTGTGATTTCACTATTATCTAATTGCAATTCATTATCTCAAATTATATTTTGTACATTTAAATTGAAAATGCTAATATATATTTACATAGATTCATGTGCCAACTGAAAATGCGTAATTATTAAAATATCTCTTTCTAACATAGAGTAGAATCATGAAATTCCGACTGGTTTCTCGTTGTCTGACTTTGAAATTTTCACACTTTCTGTTTCTCAACTTTATTGAGAAGTGTTTGGCGTTTCAGATTGATATGGTGAGTTTTACGTCAGACTTGGAAAAAACACAAGTCTAAACAAGCAGTCAATTATTGGCGTTTTGTTGATTTTTATTGATGAAGAATACTTGAAAGTGTCTAAAAGTATCAATTACCGATTTTTAGCATCATTGGTAATAATTCTTTTTTGATACTGAAGTCAGAAAATGGTTGGAAATGAGGTTTTCGTACGTTTTTTGCCTTATTTTCATCATATGAATTTTCCATCATAACATCAACTTTTGCTTTATGTTTTGATGCAAATTTTTAGTTGAAACATCATAGTTTAATATGGTTTTAACACTTTTTAAATATTCCTTTGCTTGATTAGAAAAAAAATTTTTCCGAGGCAATGGAATAATACGCGTTATAAGAGTAACGAAAACAACAATAAGTTTCATTTTCTCCGAAACTTAATAAACAACCTATGCTAATATTTTCCAAAATGTAACTTAGGTTCAAGTACTAAATTGTAGCGTACTTAGATTTTCATGTTCGGAGGGAAAATTTTTTATAATTGCGATGTCAAAACGTGTTATAAGAGGAACGAAAAACGTTCCTAATATACGAAATGTATGGAATCACATGAAAATATCAGAATAAAAAAATTTTTCGAAGCAAACATATTTTCCCTCATTTTTCAATAGAATGATGTTACAAATGATCAAAAATAATGAAAAAAGTGTTTCATTTCAAATTTAAGCACATTTGTGAAAATTCATTCTTGAGCTTTTGCAGCATAAGCAGACATAAAAATGTTTTAAAAGTAATCGATGGAAAATTCTGAAACTTTCAGAAGTTGTTGTGGATCATTTCAAAATTATTCTCTAAAATTTTCATGGGATTTGAACGACAACTTTTCCCTCACTATTAATTTCCCCAACAAGAATTAAAACACATGATTTGAGTGTTATAAGAGTAACGCTCGTGTTTAGGGGAAATTAATGGTGAGGGAAAATTTGTCGTTCGAATTCGATGAAATTTTCAGAGATTAATCTTGAATAGTACCACAACAACTTCTGAAAGTTTCAGAATTTTCCGTCGATTACTTTTAGAAAATTTTGATGTCAAACTTTTCATACCAAAAACATGAGTCCAAAAATGTTATAAGAGGAACGACACTTTAAAATTCGCTCCTCGCTAAACTGCTTGACTTTTTCAACCGCTGTTTTTTTCTAAAATTAGTACTCAATAAGCTTTATTTACAAAATTAAAAGCGCCGAGATATCTTGCTTAGTTTTGAAAATATTCAGCTTTGAAGTTTGAAAAACGTTATAAGAGGAACGATAGAATGCCCCATATTTAAGCAAAAAAAATTTTTCAAAAAAAAATGTCGAATACAATACGGTGACCCTCACCAAAGGTGGGGCCTCCGTAATAAGTTATATTGAATACTTAAGTAATCTGTAAAACACGGTAGAGACGAATAAATAAGAAACTTGCACACCCCGCCCTACAATTTATTTTAAAGACAATTTATTTGATTGCAATACATTTAGTCATTCTCTCAAATCTCTATTCAACAATTCAAGTTTATATAAGTTTGTCTTTACACCTTTGGAAAGTTTTTTCTTGAGATTTGATAGAGAACGAATATTTTCAAATCAAAAAGGAAAATTAAAAATAATCTCTTTGTGATTTAGATTCTCAATAAATTTTTGTATAAAACACTTCCCAGCTAATGTACTCGAATAGATAAAAAATATTGCGACATGAAATTCGAGAAAATTTCAAATTTAACTTGTGGAGTACTCACCTTCAATTCATGCTTCGATTCAGGGAATTTAGGAAGAGTTGAGCTTATTAAGCAGTTAAATGATGGTGGGCCACCAGGTATGTCAAGTTAAACTATAAAAATATTATTCAAAGATTCATTTTTCAACTTTCAATATTTTCTAATTTTCTGAAAATAAAACAAAGGCAAAAGTTAAACAGAAAATAGCTTAAAATTTTGTTAAGTCTTATTTTAGTTCAATTGAAAGTACAAACTAGACTCGTAATGGCATTTTCATTTGCTACAGTCGTTAACTTAACAATATATCATGAAAATCAATATGCTGTAATCAAAAAAAAAAATGAAATATTGTCTATAGCCTGAAGCTTTTCAAGTTTAACTTCATTGTCACATAACATTTTGTTACATTTATTAAATTAGTTAAATAAAGAACAAAATTCTTCTTTTAGATGCTGAAGACTTATCTGTTAATACAAATGATTCGAATGGAAGTTCGAAAACGTCAGGCGCAACAAAATCTTCCAATGAAGGCCAAAACATTCCGACATATTCTGGAGGTAAAGAGAAACGAATTGATGCTGAATACAACTTGTGGACTCGTCCAGATTGTCATGGAACTACTTTCGAGAACTCCAATCGTACTTGGTTTTACTTTTCGATTCAGGGTGGAGTAAAAGATCAAGTCATGAAATTCAACATAATGAATCTTAATAAACAGTCGAAGTTATATAGTCAAGGTATGAATCCAGTCGTCAAATATGGCTTGAACGGTAAATGGGAACGAATGAAGGAAAAGCCAACATTTTACCTCACGGATGAAAACTTTATTCTGTCTTTTTGTCATCGGATCCACGAAGGTGTCGAAAAGAATTTAACGTACTACGCTTTCACTTTTCCATTCACTTACACAGAGCTCCAAGAGTTACTCGGTAACTATGATAAAATTCATTCAAAAAGCGAAGATGAGTTGGCTAGTCTCTTGAACAAAACAAATGAGAAGGTCATAAAAGATTCTTCATTGGATGATGACAGCGCAAGTGTTGTGGAAACCTCTGTTGAAGTGCCTAAGCAAGAATTTGTTGTTAAAAGTCAAGAACAGTCGATAATAGTTGATGAAAATACATCCGAATCAATGCAGCAATTATCAAATTTAGTGAAGAAAGTGAAAATAGCAAAAAACGTTGCCACTAATGAATCAGCGAATACAGCAAACATCAGTCAAGATGATTGGAATGACGATATTTATTATTATCGTGAGCTTCTTATCAATTCAATTGAGCAAAGACGAGTTGACATTTTAACAATCACGAGCTTCCATGGAATTGAAAACAAGCGTGAAGATCGCTTGAAGAATATTTTTCCAGACTTTTCCAAGCCACGATGTCATTCCTTTAGGAATAAAAAAATCATTTTCATTTCATCGAGAGTCCATCCTGGAGAGACACCCGCAAGTTTCGTTCTCAACGGCTTTGTTAATCTTCTTTTGGAACGAAAGAATGTTGTAGCTTTAACTTTGAGGAAAATGTATGTGTTTAAAATTGTTCCATTTCTAAACCCTGACGGTGTTTATAATGGACTCTACCGTTCCGATACACTTGGCCATAATCTAAATCGGGTGTACATAAATCCTCACCTAGATACTCAACCATCGATTTATGCTGTGAGAAAGTTGATAAGGTTCGGCCATTAAATTAATTATAATTAAGAAATTCGCTTAACTCCACAAATGTTTCATTTTCTTTTCTTAGATTCTATCACTTTGGTTGTGACAAGCCTGACACTGTTGATGAAATAAGTCAGATGATACTTGATGATCCCACTCTTCCAGTCAAAGAAGAAGAAGCTAGTTGTGATATTATAAAAATTATAAACGAAGAGTCCGTGAACAGAGATGACAAGAAAATTGTGACAAATGCTGCTGAACATGATGAAAAGCAAAGAAATCAAGTTAAAGAAGGTGATTAAAGGTTTTAATTAATGAAAAGCGATTTAATTTAAATTAACTTTTGTTGTTTACAGATGTTGATATAGGAAATCCAAAGGATGCTAATCAAGACACTTTAGAATGCAATGAAAAAACCAGAAAATCTCAACCTGAGAATAAACTTAAATCAGAATCATCAACAAGTTTGAATAATTTCAAGGAGACTGCATCAAAGTTTGCAAGAGACAAAAAATTGTCATTAAGATGCGCATCTAAAAACAAAAGTTCTCAATCATGGAACCCTCTTGAGCACAGTACTTACAAGCATTACATTCCTCATGACAATAGTGATAAACAACAGAAGCAAGGCCTGAATCAGAAGTCTAATCGAGGAATTAATTTCAGTATAGATTTCAGAGCTCATCCAGATGAAAACAACGAGAAAAGTATCAACGAAACATCAAATTTGTATCTCTATTTAGATTTGCATGGTCACGCAAGTAAGAAAGGTGTTTTCATGTACGGAAATCACATGCCAAGCACTCAAGAGACGGTAGAAGTTATGCTCCTTCCTCGGTTAATGAGTATTAATTGTCGTCATTTTGCGTTTGATGCTTGTAACTTCAGTGAACGTAATATGTATTTAAAGTGAGTAAATGTGAACAAATATTTTATTAAAATTCGCCCAATAATTAATTATCTTAGGGGAAAACGTGATGGCCTTTCGAAAGAAGGTTCAGGACGAGTAGCGGTTTACAAATCGACGGGATTAATCAAAAGTTACACACTGGAAAGTAATTACAACATGGCCAAATGTGTTAACATTCTTCCTCCAAAAGGCAAAGAAGTTGCTTGCAAAGCTCACAATATTAACCCACCAAAATTTACTCCAGTTATATTTGAAGAAGTGGGAAGAGCTTTGGGTCCATCACTTTTAGATTTGACGAATAGTAATCCAGATAGTAGAGTGATAAATTCAGAGTTTCGAAGTCTTCAAGGTTTAAGAAATTCATTGAAAAATGAAATAAGTCGTGGACTATCAAGAACAAGAGTTAGCAAAGTAAGTTGAAATGTATAACCTGACTTAAGAATATTCTCATTCAGTACCTTAATTAATTAATTCTTCAACGTGCTTTAAAAGTAACCAAATGTCCATTTGTTTAATAATCATTAAAACATTTGTACAGAACTAATTATTCAATCATTGTTTCAGTTTGCAAAAATCAATAAAAAGCGCCCAGCAACAACAGCGTTGCCAACAACATCAGCTCAAGACATATTCAAGGAAAATAACATTTCGTCTCCATCAATTAAGTTAATATCGCATGTCAAGTCGAAACAACATCATGAACAAACTTCGAAAGCCATAAATCTATCACAAGGAACAAAAGTTTTAGGCTCTAAAATCAAAGGAAGTGGGAAAGTGCAAGCTTTTACTAAAAAGGATGTCAATGTCTTTTCAGCGTCCAAAAAGAAGAAAGTACTATGTGAGACATTACTAGGAAGTGCATCAGCTCCGACAGTAAACACTGTTCTAGTTAATCAGATTCCACGTAAAAAGATTAAAGTCTCAAGTGTTGGCATTAATAACGCATACGTAAAAGATCTAGTGAAAGGAGAAACTTCAACCAAAAACATTCTCAAGACACAACCCGAGATTGATTTAACGAATATTTTTCTAAGTGCTTCAAATACCATTGAAGACGATGTTCCTTGTTGCTCCAAAACCATAACTTCTCTCATGAAAGCTCCATTATCTCCTTCCAGTTCGTCTACCAGCTCCGGTAGTCAAGTTAAAATTACTAATTTTTTACCTATTAAAAAACTCATAAAAGCAAGAAAACCAAATTTTGATAAAACAAATGCTAAATTTAGAGGAAAGACTTTCATATCACAAAGCGTTATAGAGTCAGTCGATGACACTCATTCAAATTCTCCACTAACTCACGACACACCAAGCACTTCACAAATAATTTTACAAAGTAGTAAACTTCTTAAGAAGAAGAAGCGATCACTTAAAACAGAAAGAAAGAAATCTCGCTGTCAGAAACCATTGTTACATTAATACATTCTTTAACTGTCATTAACTGCTGTTTTTATTATTTAATGAGATCAAAAAATTTCTTCATTTTTGATTTTAAATTTAAAGAAAATTTCTTTAAAGTACTGACAAAATTTTATAATCTTATCTTTGTTACAACTTTTATAGACTCATCACTTCTTAGATTCTGTAATTGATAACAAAACGATTTAAACTTAAACTCTCATTACATTTATTAATAAAATGTCATGAAAATCTCGTATTGAGATTTATAGCAATAAGTAAATGATTTATTATTACTCAAAGATTTGGAGTTTCTAGGTTTCAGTTATACCATTCTTGGATTTCACTTGGATTGACGAGAATATTAGATGAATATTGACACGAAAATCTTATAGTATTAGAATATTTGATGTTACTGCTGCTTCAAAATTTGTTATAACTTTAACATCATCTCGTAACAAATATCTTGTTGATATAATATTACAGTAATAAAGACAAAGGACAAAATTGTAAAATAATAAAATAAAATTATAATGTATTATTTGAAAATTACTAAAATTTTTTGATTAGTGTTAAATGGGTCACCTACTTATAATGGAAGAACGATCATAACGTTGTAAGAATCCTCAACCAATCTTAAATATATCGAACACATTTATTTTGCATATGTTTACACGAAGATCATTTTTGAGAGAACGAATGTTTGATTATCTCTCAGAGAACCATCACACGACTAAAAATCTCGACTAAACATGTTACGTAAAATATTTCAAGATATCTTGAGGAGAGAATTTTAGTCTTTGCTAGACTTTCAAGACGAAACAACAAAAAAAATCTTTTTTTAAAGTTCTATTTAAATGTATTTGAAAACCTTTATAGTTTATTTAAATTGAATCAAAGTAAATCAGATATCTAAATGAGTGCAGAAAAAAAGTAATTAATATTTTTTAATATAAGAAAAATTAATATCGAAAAAATATTTTTTTACAAGCCAACAGGTTGAAAAGAATTTTTTAATTCGCCAGTGTGTAAGTTTTTGTAATTTGATATATACTCAGTTAGTCAATATTTTGTTTGGTGGCATGGATGAAACTGACCATGGTAATTGTTCAAGTATTTTCCGTCGCTTTTTTCGACGTTTGAGAAATGCTTTATTAAAGCACTCAAGAATACAGAAGAAACTTGTGATATATCCGAAGCTTGAGCTTCCATCTGTTGATCTTCACTTCGAATATGAAATGAATCATAAACATCGTGGGATGGCAGTAATTTTCAATCATGAAGAATTCTATAACAATTTTAAAAGTAAGCGAAAAGGAACTGACAAAGATAAAGATCGACTCATTGATGTATTGCAAGATTTGCAATTTGAGACAAAGTCGTTCGACGATTTACCTTTTGCAGAGATGAAAAGAGAGTTAAAAAAGATTTCTTTAATGGATCACACAGATAACGACTGCTTGGTTGTAACTATTCTAACTCATGGCGATTTCCAATCGCTTTCAAGCTATGACGCTGATTACACAATTCGACAAGTGACTTCATTTTTTAGTGATGAGAACTGCCCGTCCCTGAAGGGTAAACCACGTCTGTTTTTCATTCAAGCATGCAGAGGCAACAAACTTGATGGTGGTTATTTATTAAAAAACAATAAAGATCGACTCTACAATCTTCATCGGAATCCTTTAGAATATAACGACGTAATCGACACGAATCCTTTTAAAAACGATGAAGATGAGATAAAATATGAAACAGAAGAGGAAGATTTCGTTCATAACCCGCCAAATCACAAAGATTTTCTCGTTGTTCGCTCAACAATGCCTAAGTATTTTTCATTCAGAAACATTATTGAAGGTTCGTGGTTCATTCAAGATCTATGCGATGAACTCGAAGTGAATGGAACATCTCATAATATTTTAGATCTTCTAACACACGTTAATATGAAGGTTTCAGAACGAGAAAGTAATGCGAAAAATATGTCAGGTTATAAACAAATTTTATGCATTTCCTCTATGCTGACAAAAATTCTAATATTTTCTCGTAAGTCAGAAAATCTGGGATGAAAAGTTCAGACTTGTGTGTTTAAGTATAATTAAGACTGATATTTTATGTTTTGCTTGAAATTTCAAACTTGTCATTTCATTGGTGACTGATGGAAAGAAGAAAGGAAATGAGACTGCAATCCTTAAGAATTTTTCTTTCTTCCAAAAATTTTTATTATTAAGTATTCTTAATGTTTAATATTTTAGTACATTTTGTAGAACGGTTATTGAATATTCAATATGAATTTCTAATAGGCTAATAAAAAAGGTACAGATATTTTAAAATATACTGCTATTTTTCTACTAACAAAAAAAATTAAATTCTCCTACTTTCTTACTTTCATCATAAAATTTGTAAGAGAAAAAAACGGTCGTTTTATTTGAATGTTTTGTCGAGGGGTATTTAAGTTCGAATTTGTTTTCGAAATTGCCTTCACTTTTATTCAAACTTGTCAACATTGATTTTAAAGATTGAAAACAGCAACTGAATCCTCCAATGAATAATATAATAGTTTAATGGTGCACAGTTTAGGAACAAAGTAAGAGTTATAGTTTTACAAAGGAAACTAAAAGAAAGCAGAGAAAAATTATTTTATGTGGATATATTTTTTTCGCAATTTTTCCTACTCCTAAATTAAGTCAATTTGCGTCATCATTTTTTAATATTAAACATTTTGAGGGATTTAAATGAACCAAAATGTATAAAATTAGTTTTGAAAAACTTTCTTCAGACAGTTCTTAAAATGTATCCTCGATTAAATTACATTTTCATTGCCATATAAATAATTTTCATATTTTTATTTTTATTCTGAACTTCCATGAGAAAAAAATTATTTTCACCTGAATAATGAACAAGTCCTTTCTTTCATTGTTTTTAAAGGTCTCATGATGACTTTAAATAAAGAAATGTGATATCTTAAAGAAAAATGTAAAATTGCGACTAAAATTAAATATTTTGATCTTGAAGTCGATTAAAGTTGTGATGAATGACTTGAATCTAATATTATAAATTCTGTAATATGTTTCACTTTTTAGTTTATAAATAGCAACAAACTTACAATTATCAAAAGAAAAGAAAACAAAATTGTAAGTACAGAAGGAATTAAAAGAAAGACAAGTGATTAACAAATATAAAGAAATAAGAAAACAAAATTCAAAAGGAATAAAAAAAATTACGAGTGATGAGGAGTGTTAGAAGTACTTTTGGCCTTCATAAATTAGCTGCCTATCCGAAAAATCGAGCTGGTAAGCAAAACATATTTTTATTATACAATTGAATAGCTAGACATCTATATTTTAAGAAAATATTACTTTCCATACCTTCAAATGATATCTAATTAAATGAAACATGAACTGAAACAATAAATTTAGTTTGTGTTTCGAGGAAAGAAAGCAGAGTTTCTATTCTGTTTTCAAAAAAAACAAATCTTTGATTAAAAAAAATGATATAAAATCATGATCTCGTTTATAACTGTTTCTATCAAAGCAAAAAAAAATGTAAGCGCCTTTATGAATACATCACATAGATTGAAACATTTGTCGAAAAGAAAAAGGAACAGAATGAACTGTGATATAACAGTATAAAACAACTTGTGAATTCAAATAAAAATTCATTGCCTTAAACGTTGATCCTTGACTTGTACCTTATTTAATAACAGTTTCATTTTTAGCACAACGTAATTTATCACCTGACTAAATGTTTATATAAAATATAAGAAATGAGACATTTTACTACTCTACTGAATTTGTTTTTATTAATTGTTTGCAATTAATATTTTTACCTGCCTTGAAAAGAAACATTTTTACAAATTCAGCAAATTTAATTCTTCTAATTGTCATGCGAATATCGAATATTTCAAATGAAATTCAAAAATGTGATGTGAAAAATATAAAACTTATCAGAGAAGTCTTTTTTACTGTTAGTTTTTATAACATGTTATATCTTAAAGCTTCCCCAAAATAACATACAAAGTCAAGTCGTATTTAACAAATTTATCACGTATGGCTTTACCATACAATAAATCTAATATAAAAATTTTATTAATTATCTAATAATTGCAACAATTAATTTTTATTTTTGGATTTCAATACTCTTTTGTAGCTTACTTATGTTTGGTTGCATCACAACAGTTGCAAAACACTTATAATTTATCATCAAGCGGTAGATTACCATCTGTTTATAATATAAGATGCTTTCATCTTACATATGTCTGTGATAAGTCAACAAAAGATCCAACCAACGGAGGCAGCGACAAAGGCTCATCAACACCTTCAAATGGATCTAATTCATCAGGAAAAGATGGAAAGGAGCCACCGAAGAAGAATACATTATCATGTCCAAAATGTGGTGATCCCTGCACACATGTCGAGACTTTTGTCAATGCTACACGTTTCGTGAAATGTGAAAAATGTCATCACTTCTTTGTGGTGCTTAGCGAAATGGATTCAAAGAAAACGGTAAAAGAAGAGTCTGTGAAGGGTCAACGAAAGCCTCCACCACCTCCAAAAAAGATCATGGAGTATCTTGATCGACATGTCGTAGGACAAGAGTTGGCAAAGAAAGTGCTATCAGTGGCTGTTTATAATCATTATAAACGAATATATCACAATTTACCACCACCATCATCAATTAACAATAATTCGACGCAAGCTATTGATCCAATGGGTAGAAGTGGAGATTTGTTGCACATTTCAGGCATCGGACACACAATGATGAGCTCAACTCCGACTGAAGTGCCTCGTCCACCCATGTCACCACCTCAACAGCATCATCCAGGCTCAGAGCTTTTGGAAGAGAAAAATCACATTCTTAAATTAGAAAAAAGTAACATTCTGATGTTGGGCCCGACAGGGTCAGGAAAAACACTTCTCGCTCAAACCATCGCTAAATGTTTGGATGTTCCGTTTGCTATTTGTGATTGTACAACTTTAACACAAGCTGGATATGTTGGCGAGGATATTGAAAGTGTCATTGCTAAGCTTCTCCAAGATGCCAATTATAGGTTTAATTTACATTTTCTCTTTCTTTTCCGCATGAACACACACGAAATAATATCAAAGCTTGAGAGATATGAAATAAGAAAATAGAAAATGGTGACACTTGTAAAGTTTTATGACGTCAAACCAATTTCGTCATTCTACGAAAATCTTAATCGCGGGATAAACAGTTATTTTCTCATTAAATTTCTTATAAGAATTCTTTTAAGAAAAAAAGTACGAAAATTGAATTTGTGGAAATTGGAAAAGTTTTTAATTAATTTCTTCAATATAAACTTTTTTCAAACTTTACAAGTTGTTGACATCATCTTCCTTGTTTTTTATCTCTCTCATTTATTAATTAAGTAAATTCAATCATCTAAAAATCTTAACTTAATTTCTAGTGTTGAACGTGCACAAACTGGAATTGTTTTTCTTGATGAGGTTGACAAAATTGGTGCTGTGCCTGGTATTCATCAATTACGTGATGTTGGAGGTGAAGGTGTTCAACAGGGAATGCTGAAAATGCTTGAAGGCACAATTGTTAATGTGCCAGAGAGAAATTCACCAAGAAAACTGCGAGGTGACTCAGTGCAAGTTGACACGACAAATATTTTATTTGTTGCATCAGGCGCTTATACTGGTTTAGATCGTTTAATTGCCCGACGTTTGAATGAGAAAGTAAATTGAAAATCTTAATTTTATTATAAATATTGTTTAATCATTTTTTGCAATTAGTATTTAGGATTTGGAATGCCAGCGACATCATCAAAAGGGAGAAGAGCAGCACAAGCTAGTGCAGCTCCAATGGACAATGACCAAGCAGAAAGAGATGCAAATTTGAAGAAAGTTCAAGCTAGAGATTTGGTGGAATTTGGAATGATACCGGTAAGAAATTCAAAACAAAATGCGAAATCAAATTTATTTTTGTTATTTTCTTCTTAGGAATTTGTTGGCCGTTTTCCAGTTTTAGTTCCGTTCCATTCGTTAGACGTTGATATGCTTGTACGGATATTAACCGAACCAAAGAATGCTTTGGTGCCGCAATATCGCGCTTTGTTGGGGATGGATCAAGTTGAGTTATCATTTACATCGGAAGCACTCCAAGCTATTGCAAAACAGGCTATGGAACGACAAACTGGAGCGCGAGGCTTAAGAGCCATCATGGTAAGATTTTAAATTAAATTTTGATGATGAAAAGATTTTTCTAAGAAAATTTTTTGTTGATTTTTAGGAATCTTTGTTATTGGATCCAATGTTTGAAGTACCAGGTTCAGAAATAAAAAGTGTTCATATAACGGAAGAATGCGTAATGGGTAGTCCCCCAATATATATTCATCGTTCAAATACGACAACATCAACTGATCCACCAGAGACTTCACAAACTGGATCAGAAGAAGTAGAAAACAGAAAATATCGCGTCAAGCAATGAGATTGCATCAATAACAGTTTACAAACATGACATCTAATGGATTTAATTTAAAAAAATATAAAATTCCAATAAAAGTGAAACATTTTGTTTAGAAAATCTTAAGATATTCTTATTGATTTCCTAAGGAGAAAAATCAAATGTGCTACAAATCCTGACACGAAATTTTCAAGTTCTACTCTTTAAAACTATTTTTAAACAAAATGAATTGAGAATACAACAAAACAAAACAGGAAGAAATTTATTTCATTATGTTAATTGTTTTTTGAAAATTATGACGTATAATAATATAAAAATACATAATTCATTAATCGTTCTTATTCACTAATATTTTTTTCTGTGATTTTTTGATTTCGAGGGACTCTGTTTGAAGAAATTTTCGTTAATTCTGTTATGATTATTTTAATGATTCATTTACTTGATGATGCTGAAAGAAATGACTAATAAGTGAATAAATAGATAAGGAATGAAAACAAATTTGAGTATTAATCATTATACAAAATGTAAATTTTTATTATTTTAGATACGTGACTTAAACATTTTAAATACATAAAAAATTATCACCGAGCAATAAAAAAAACGCAATAACAGCTCAATGTAAAATAAGTGGATATACAGTGATTTACATCAAGTTCTATTTATTATTTGCAGGCGATTTTAATCCATGCAAATTTTGTTTTTCTTCTTGAAACCAATCAGAAAATTTATTAAGGCCCATCTTGTATGTAGTTTCACCTTTCTCATATTTCATATTATGTTCCTCAATTAACTTCAAGTTTTCCTTGAATATTTCAAATCTCTTTGCATCTTCCTCGTCGCTGTAATTTTTTCCATGTTCAGACTGTGAAAAAGAATTTTATTTTAATTAGTCATTCTATTAAGTTCTTCTAAATGGAATTGACTTACTTTAAATGCTTTCCATTGCTCAACTGGCATCTTGTCAATATTTTTTTAAAACACAGAAATTGAATTAATATTTGTAGAAAGAGATCCTTACGTGTTTACACGTCTCCAGCAGATGATTGAAAACAAAAATATGAATCGTATGTTATTCCTATTTTTACTTCTTCTTTGTTTGGATTCATTTTCGAAAAACAATTCGAAAATAATTTTTAAAAAGTTGACCGTTAAATATTATCGATCATAACTTTTACGGTGACTGTTCTCATTATATAAAATCACTTCGACGAAAAAAAACTACGATTAAGTAGGATTCGAAGAGTAAAACAACAAAGAAGATTTCTTGAGTTCGTGAACTGGAATGATGAATTTTATTATGCTTGCACTGCAGGTACTCACACTTTTTCACTGAATTTAGAAATTCCTTGAACAATCTTACAAGCAAGTATTCTTGACTTTATAAATTTGTTCCTTTCTATATAAAAGTCAATTCAATTGAAATATTTTATTTTTCTGCTCCTCAATTATTTTTTAGATTAGACATCCCCAAGGCCCAAGTCATCCAAAAATTAACTTAAACCTCAAAATCTCTAATTTTCTTTTTTTTTGCAATAATCTCAAAGTCATGACAAATTTAAATTTCAAAGTGTCCAAGTATGCAGCTACAAGTTTTTTTTGTCTAGTTTATTTGAGAAATTTCTAAAAAAGTTTTACTGTCATTAATAAAGTTTTTCAATACTCTAGCCAATTTCTTTACACAAAAATCTTATTGAATTGTTCAAGCATGATAATACTTGTTGCTCATAAAGACATCCCCTAAAACATGCAATCAAAAGAGATTGAAGGGGACAATCTAAACCAATAAATTAAATTTTATATTAATTTGAATAATTTGAGAAACTTCTTGAGCGATTTAACCAACGAAGAAAAAAATTGATGAGAGGCTGACCTAAAAAAATTTGCAACGTTTTTTTTTCATGCTTTTGCAGAAATTCATGTCAGTTTCTCATCATCACGACAATGAGAAATATGATATTTAGTCCATGAAACCTATTCTCTTCCAATATTGCAGAAATAGGTCGGGGTTTGGTCATCTCAGATAATCGATAAGTATCTTCTTATGGTCTGTTTTTAATTACCTAATGCTATACTTACACAGATTCTTAATATTTCATGTGAAGTTGGAGTGCTTATGAAGAAGCATACATAAATTTTCATAACGAAATTCCTTCACAAGCAATAATATTGCTAGACATTACTTGTAAGTGCTTTCAGAGATTAAGTGGTGAAAGAGATGAATGGATCTATATGGTTGATGAGAGAGAAAATGTTGAAGAGATGAAAATAGGCATTTGTTTCGGTATTTCTGTACTAGAGGATGATAAAAAAAATTGGAGCAAACAATACTTAAATTATGAGTAAAAATTTATGAGGTTTTTTAATATTTATAATGTAAAATTGCTTTCATTGCCAGGTTTTTTATAATTCATAAAAATCATAAATTCATTTTATTGATTATGTTTACAAATTATGACAATTTTAAATGGAAACTTGTACATATTTTTGTTGAAGTACCATTTGACCAATCTGTTATATATAGGACACATTTTTGATTATTTAATATAGGAAACTATGCAATAAGCTTCATCTTTTCAGCGTCATTCCAGTCTGAATATTCATTAAGACCAGCTTCATGTTCAACTTCTCCTTTCTTGAACTTTACATTATGATCATCGATCTGCTTCAAAGTTGCACGAAATAACTCAAATCTCGTTTCATCTTGCTTCTTATCATAACTTTTTTTAAAGTCGACCTATATAAAAAAAAAATACGCAACTTTTATAAAGAAGGATGAAAACTTTAAAGTGAATTAACTTTATATTTTTTCCATTGTTCCTTTAAATCTCCAGCATTATTTTTGCAGCTTGCGTAATAAGCACAATTTATTGAAACAACGATTAAAATAAAAAACAATAATTTCATATCGTGAACTATAAGTGCTGTAAACGAACTTTCACCGACAGAAACTGCTTCTCGACTGAAATGACATTCACCAAATAAAATACGAAGACGGTTACGGAGACTGTCTTTTTTTATATTTACATTTTCTTGCTTTAAACTTGAAAAGTGAGACGATATTGTGTTCCCTCACTTTAAGATTATCTAAGTCATTTGATTTAAGGCAATTTTATGCAACTTTTCTCGTGTTGAACGCTAGGAAATGACTTATAAGTTGAAATAAACAATGACCAATACAAGTTTAATTGATAAAGAAAATGTCAATCTTCAAGACTTGTTATTTGAATATTTTTTTCTTTAATTATGGCAGTCTTCTGCTCGATATAGTACAATTAAAAGTAATATCATAACTAATAATTTTTTTATAAACTGACCTTCATTATTATAATAATCAGTGATGGATTGGATAAAGAGGGATTTAAATTCAACAACTGAAAATTGAACAGTTTACGTCTTAATACTTTCTCTCTCAGGGAATGCTTAAACAGCAAGTTAATAACATCTCCCCATAGATCACATGTGACTTCATTTCTCATTCTCTTTGTCCTTTGATATCCAAACTGAGTCAGAGAAATAAGAAAAAAAAGCATCTTATCGATCCAAGTTTTATCATGATTAATTAAATGCGTCACGACTCAATATTGACTCGGATCGTGTTGAATGAAAAAAAATTGGTCGTTGAAAGCTGCAACGTGCCATTTTTTTCAGACGCAACACAACTTACATTGAAAAAGAAGATTAATTGTTCCTTTTACATTTACTGTCAAAGAGAATGTGATTTTGTATGATCGTTGTATTTAATAAACTGATAATTCTTCTTAGCTTGCTTCTTAGGATTTCTTTAATCCAATTTTTATACTTTCTGATTATGAATCTGTCATTTTAAACTTTTAAATAATTGAAGAACTATTATGTGGAAGTTTAAGCGTGATTTAATCCGTCATACATTAAAATTAAATGTTTTGAAAGGCATGATTTTTTTCTTCTCACAAACACATGTCAGAAAGTGATCATAATTTCAAATAATTCACTCACATCTTATCCAATACATTAAAATTCGTTGTATATGCTGCAAGATACATTATTGCTATGCTAATAGTTGATAATTGTTTTTCTCAAATTATTTACAGTTCATTGACTTTTGTTTATGTAAACATGTTGATAAATAATCCTCGGAAGAACCACTAAAACATATTTTTATCTCCATTTTTCCTTCTTCTCTATGTATTTACCTTCGGTTCTTCTAGTCATCATTTTCACAGTCATTTGGTCCTTGGGGAAATCTTTTTCTCTATCTCTGACATCGTAATGATAAAATATATTCATTAAATTTATCTTCTGTTGCGAAAAGATAAAATGCATTGACAGAAAACATTTTCATTTTCCTTATCTTTGATTAAGTTTAATTGGAGTTTCTTATTTTTTTCTTCAAAGAACTGAAATCAAGAGTTCTTGCTTACACAGAACTAGAACTAGAACATTTGTGAAAATAACATTTACTATTCAATTTATTTCTATCTAATTTTTTGTTGAAATTTGAAAGTTCTTAGATTTTCAAATAAAATTCTTATTCTAATTCCATTTCATGTTCTTACCAGATAAGGATTGAAAACAGAAATAACATCAAGAAGGTTACTTTCAATTATATTAGACACTTTATCGCCACTTCTTCTTTCTCATAATCATTATGTAATAATATGAACGATAATTATTCATAATTTTGAAGAAACGGGAGCATTTAGCAAGTAACTTCCAGATTACTATTTATGCAATAAATATTTTAAGCTCCCAGCTGGTAAGCCAAACCAATTTGGGGATTTACCCACCTGTAAACAAGTTGTTATATTATACAAGATGCTTAACATTAACTATACATTGAATAATAAATGACTATAGATTTTCTCCAAAGACAAAAAATGAGATATGTAATGCAAACAAAATAAATAAGAAGCTAAACAACGCAAGAAGCAAAAAGTAAAAAAAGAAATGCTGCGATTTTTTCCGCTGTACGTAAATTTTAAAAAGCAAAAATTGGCTGTGGAAACGAATTTTGTTTTTTTGGTTCGTTTTCGATTGCTATAAAAGCTGTCTTATTTGTCTTCAGTTCAATCACAAATCAATTGGACTTTAAAGTATTCAATTCAGCTCAAGTTTTCATACCATAAAAAAATAAGTAAAATGGCATTGAAGTTTAATGTAAGAAAAATATTTTAAACTGTTTTCCCAATTATATATTAAAATTAAATGGAATTAATATTTATTTTTAATTTACAGATTGCATCAATTGCTGTACTGGTATTGATTACAATTTCTGCCGACCCAGCACATTGTGGAGGCGGCGGTGATGGTGGACATAAAACTGTAAAAATCGAAGTGCCCTACAAAATTCATACAATTCATCACCACCACACTGAGAAATTCCCTGTCTACAAAAAAATTGAGGTTCCTGTGATTAAGGAAGTCAAAGTTCCTTATCCAGTTCATGTGCCTGTTAAAGTACCGTAAGTAGATATCACTTACGCAATACGCATTATAGTTTAAATTTTTTTATTAATTTTATTTAAAAATTTATTTCCTTTTAGATACCCCGTTGTTGTGAAGCCACATGTTGTTACAGTTCCAGTTCATCACTATCCAGTGCACTCTGAAACTCATCAACATCACGAAAGCCATCATGAATCACATGGTGAAGGTGGTCATGAAGAAGGTGGACATGGAGGTCATGAAGGTGGTTGGTGAAAATTGTAAAGCTGACACCTAGTAATATTAATTGAATATCCTAAGACTAAAATAAAAAGCTTTATAAACGATAAAATTCTGATTTTTTATTGAAAGAAGAAAGTTTAATCTCGAAAATGAATTAAATCTTAATAACATAGCATTTAAGATTTCATTTTCAATTATGAATCTCGATGAGAGAATTTTCCACAGGAACATCAAAATTATTTCTTATATTTTAACATTGCAATTTAGCAAAGTTGCAGAAAGAAACTTTCCAAAACTTTGACCAAAGTGAATGAAGTATTTGGAAACTTTCAAATTTTTAAAGCATCGTCGCTTCAATTTAGAGTGTTTTTCCAAAACCATTAAACATTTTAAGAGTTTATTTTCATATAAAATCGAAAGTTTTTCATTTTCATTGCTGTTGGTTTTATGAAAAGATGGAAAAATAATAACATTAAACTTTTTTCTTTGGTTTCAGTTCCTTTTTTATGACTGTAAATAAAACTGATGTCTCTGAACATTTTAATAAAAATTTCCGTTGATCTGAATCTATAGACAACGTTTATCTAATATTTATAAAAATATCTTCGGATTGAGGAAAATTTCTACTTTCTTTAAAGCTTTCATGGAGAGCGTCGTTCATTCATTTTAACTTTTTTTTAATTTGAAATCAATTAATATTCATTTCCATGTTTTCATCGTTTCTTTTTCTGGTTGATGTTTCTTTTATCGATGCCATTAAAGATATCGTCGAATAGAAGTTTTCTTCATCTTCGATGTGCTTAGAAGTCTTTGCCTTTATTGTATTCTGAATATAAATACATATCCACCTTTATGATTTTGATCACACAGAATGTGTAGAATTTGCCATTATATCATAATTGACCAATTGTCTTGATCGTTTAGGGATTTATCTTAACTTTGCGAATCTGTTGCTCGCTTCAAATAGAAGTTCTTTGTATTAGAATAAAGGCAATTTGTTACAGCTTTGATGTCGAAGATTGAAAGAGAATGCTACTCTTAAATGATGTAATGATGATTCTTTTTATGGTTTCATACTTTGAATTGTTTGATTTAAAAGGTATTCATTAAAGTTTAAATTCTATGTGCATGTTCTTCCAGGAAGAATTTCATCATAGAGCAACTAAATGAAGAAATAAAGTTGGATGTTGTAAAGGAACAGTAGCAATAAATGGCTTATTTAATGAAAAAGTCTTATAATGTCCGAATCCATTATACTTTTACACTGTATGGTATAAATGCTTGTGATTTGTTCCCCCAAGAGATCGTTAGTATTAATTGACATAGAGGAAGTTATGTCACGCCATTAGACACAACATTTTTTTGGTAACTGTCTATCTCATTCAACGAAAAAAAAAAAAATAAGCAAAAGAAAACCTGAAACTTATCGAATCATTCATTATAACGTTAAGCCAAAGCGCAATTAAAAAAATTGAAAGTGTAACAATTTATTTCCAATAGAGTTTTTTTGGAGTGACAGAGAAGTATTTAAGCTTCCGAAAATACTTTCTTTTAAAATTGCAACAGAGTGGGTGAAAAAGTAATTTTATTTGACTATATAAATTATTCGTCGGAAACACATCATCGGTACAAGACATCGAAGAAGTGAACAGTTCACATCATAAAATATTTTTCAATTTATAAAACATATAAAATGGATTTTTCTCTCAATGTAATTAAAAATATTAAAATCAAGGCTAAGAATCGAGTTTATTTATTTGAATTTCAAATAAAGTTTTGTTTCGATTCTTAGCCTTCATTTGTTGTCATGTGAGTTAATAATTCTGATTAAAATATTTTTCAGTGTATTTTGATTGCTGCTATTGCATGCATTTTAACGATATCATCAGTAGAATGTGGGGGAGGTGGTGGTGGTCATCACAAGTAAGTATTAAAAAATTGATAGTGAAAGAAACATTTTTACTCATTTTAAATGTTTTGTTTAGACACTACATTAAAGCCGAAGTTCCTTATCATGTTCACCATGAACATCATGTTGAAAAAGTTGCAGAAGTTAAATATATCAAAGTTCCTGTTGAGAAAGAAGTTAAAATCCTGGAACCATACAAAGTTCCATACAAAGTTAAAGTCCCTTACATTATTAAGCAAGACATCAAAACTGTGCCAGTTTTCTCCCATCCTATCCATAGTTCCGAGCACGTTCATCACGCTTCAAAATCTTATGGGCATGAAGGTTACTCTTCTCATGCAGCTTCTAATATCGAACCTATTATCGCATCACATTCACAAAGTGAACAAGTGCATGATGATGGTTCCAGTTTGTCTAAAGGCTTTGAGTCGTCGTCTTTGAAAGATTCATCACCATCATTCTCTCATGATTTTACTTCACAACTTCACACACATGTACCATCATATGGTTTTGGATCAGAAGAAGGAAAATATCAAAGCTATAAAGTCAATGAGCCAGCAGCATTTGAACATGATGAACATGCTTTCAGCGGGCGAAGCTTCAACACAGAAAGTGCAGTTTATCCTTATCCATTCGAACACAGTGGAAAAATTAATACCGATTCCCTCTTTGGATTCGGACCATCAGATCATTCGGGTTATGATTTTACAAAGTTTTAAGTTAATGTTATTTTAATAAAACTATTTTTAAACAAATGAAAATAAATTTTTGATTCAAATTTCTTTTACAGATTCTTGAAATTCAATTCAAATTATTAACTGTAAAAAATGATCGAAAAACAAGAATGAGTGCTTGTTATTTATATATTTATTAAATAATCTGTTCTAATACATCGACAATTATTATTTTATCTTACAAAAATTTAAATTCTTGGATTTGTCAAAATGACTCGGAAAGTAATAAAATGTGCATTATAAATTTATATTTTTATTCTCTTGACGAGATAAAAATTAAAATATTTTTTGGTGTTACAATTATCGACTAATTAATTATTGGAATCATTCCTATTACTATTTAGTTTAAATAAAATTTTCTGAATAGTTCAGTGAGTGATTTTCTAATGAAAGATATTCTACAGATTTTCGAGTTTATTTTTGAGCCCGAATAATATTATTAACTGAATTATGAAGTAATTGTCATGGGAATTGTTATAATTAATTATCATAATAAATTCTAATTAAAAGGGCCTGAATTGTGGTTCACATCCTATTTATTACTTAAATCACTTCACTTTTAAAATAATAAATTTCTTTAATTAAGTTGATTTATTTAGTTTTGGAGTTGATTATCAACAAATCGACATTCTCATAAAATCTTTTTTGTGAACTCAAAAGAAGTTTGAGTATGACTTTAACATTAAGAGTTATGTTTTTATAGTTCCTTTAAGTGGTAAAGTAGTGTTAGACATTTACAAGAAATTCCATTTTTATTTTGTGTTCCTATTTCATTAAAACTCACGTAAAAATTCTTCATGAATGCTTAATTATCGGAAAGATCATTCAAATCTGTTTGCAAAGTTTTTTGTGGTAGAAATAAAAAATTGTGTTTTGTTTTTTAATAAAGCAAGTTGAAGGATGAAATAAAATGTAATGATTATTATGCTATGCCAATCTCTAAAGTTATACCTACATAAGAGACGAAGCTTTGTTGAAAAAAAATCTTTGAATTTGAAAAGTCGTCATCACTGCTTTTTGTGATGTTTTCAAATTTAACAATTTAATGAGTGTTCGCAATTTAATGTCTTTTCGTTGTAGTGTTAAAATAAATTGCACAATTTTTACTTTCTTTATAAGTATACATCTTGGTCTTCATAAAACTTGGATTGACGTAAAATTTGATTAATTTTATTTTGAATACTTCCTTACAAATTTCAATCTAAATTGAAATTTTATGTGTAGATATAAAAAATTTAATTAAAAGCTAATTTCTTCTTTTTGATTTAAAAATCTGAATTTCCTTTCATGAATAATGTTGCTAATTAGGTATGTTAGTAAAACAAACGATTTTAATAACAGATCTACATAGTTAGATAAATCTGATAATATAAAATTTAAAATTTCATTCCTAAATTATTATTTCATAATTTTAAAAACTTATAAGACAAATGTAAATTCAGTCTTTTGAATATTTCAATTAAATTTCTTAATGAAATTTTGTTTTGTGTTGCCTAAACATATTTACTTAGTTAGATACAATAATTTAATTTTAAACAGCTTTAATACAATTTGATTGTTACTTTTTCTACCTTTTTTGATCTAGGGCGCGCATAATTAATTATATCTCACGTAACTCAAGCGAGTCAAGCTGTTGAGTGAAATCAGTTTCAAACTTGAATAGTTTTGTTGTTGTACTGTCTCTTACTTATTTTGTTTAGTATCAAAAGATTACTTAATATTTATGAAAGTATCATATTAAAATTGATTCACTCTACAGTTTAATCCACTAAAGGAATTATGCAAACCCTGATGATCCTTTGATTTCAGGGGGTTAATTTCATTTTTTTCTTTTATAACATACTGCATAAATTTAAGTGATCATAAGTTGTTTAAATTTATCAAATTACTTTCAATATTTATTATAATTACGCAAAATTTTCTCATTTAAAGAACATTTAATTCACTTGTAAATTTCGGTCTGGAAAGAACATCCGAAACATGTTCAGGACACAACAGGGCTTAAAACTCAACTTCAACTTTTCCGATGTTAATTAAAATATTTGGCAACTACTTTCTTCTTTTTTGAAAATAAATTTAATTACCTTTTGAAGGATTTAGACACATTTTAGTTTTAGAATTAATTTCTTCATTCAGCAAATCATTTTTAAGGTTTCTCATCAATAAGTAAAAAAAATAAAGATTTTTGCCCTGTTGTTAATTTAACTTTTAACAAGCGAACAATACAAATCTTTATAGACATTATGGCAATATCAGAGCCCAAACACAAGAGCTAGTCGACTCTAAACAACTTAAATCATTGAAGCAAAACGGTTACCCAACAGATATAAGAATATCTTAAGTGACATCACTAACTGTAAGTGTTATTGAAGACAATCGTTAACCCTGCTCATTTAATGATATTTATGATTTTATCTGTTACAATTATTTGTACAACATAATTTGTCAAGTGACTTATGAATTCATTCTGCAACCGCATGTATTGTTTGTACGTGAGTCACGTAACGAAAAAAATTGAATTTTCTCCATATAAAATTGGTTCTTGGGATCCCACATCGTAGGAAAAATAACAAATATTCTATACAGAAATTGAATAATCCGATGTATGACCTGGATGAATACTCGACCCATTACTACCTCCACCACTTTGATTCGTTCTTCCAGGGCGCGACCACACCGTTGACATCTTACCCTGATTTATGTTTTGAAGTGTTTTTATACCAAACTCAGCTTCAGAGAGCTCTGCTATGTCTAATCTTTCAGCATCGATTGGAGCTTGATGAAAGCATTCAGTTGTACTTTCAACGAACTGTAGCTGCAGTGGTAGCGTCCTAAGTTTTCATTCATGTGTTCAGTTAACAATTATATCTAATTCAAAAAATATGTAAGGCAAAACTAGTTCTAAAAATATGTTTTTTTATTCCATCGGAATATTCATAATTTAATTCGGAATTATTTTAGTAAGATTAATAGTTCTGGTATTATGAATTGGACGAAATTGGGATGAAGGCATGCTATTTTGATTACTATTAGCAACTATTTGACTACTGTTCGATGAAAATATACTACAACTGTTACGTGGGGAAGATAATGGGCTGTTTAATGTAGTTTTTGTTTTATTATGCCTTGGTGTAGTGTTAGTGTTTATATGATGAAGGTGATACCTTGTTCTGCCACGACGTGATATAGATTTTTGTGCGTCTGACATAGGCGGTGATAGATCGGAAGATGTTGAAGATTGTGCTCCATGGTAAATGATACCTTTCGAAGGAACAGTTCCTAGTTTTTTTAAATCAATTAATTTACATAAGTAGCTACTTAGACAGAAATTGCTTTTTAAACAAAACTTACTATGCTTCAATTTAGTTTCCAATTGATTGGAAGATTCAGTTCGACTCGATGTGAGCTGATCGGGATCGGATTCAGATTCTTCACTATCAGGATCCTTTCTAGAATGTCGACGTTTTCCTTTTGATGTCTGTTGGTGTAATATTTCAGTTATGAATAATAAATAAATAGAAAATGTAAAAAGTTTATATCAACACGCACAATATTATAATAAGGCGATTGGCTATGAAGTGATCTCAACACTTGTGGTGGTTGAGATGCACATCCTTCGGTCATAGCACGTTCATGGTACATAAATGAATGTAAAAGTGTATTCGCCGTTCCAGGATGTTGAGGTTGCGCCAAAGTGCTAGCTTCTGACAACTGAAAGGTTGCATATGGGCTGATATCTTCGGATGATTCTATATTGATACACATATTATAAAGCAAAAATTCATCGTGGAATATCAACGTTGACAGTTGCATAAACATCAGAAAATAATTCAATGAAAATATTAAAATTCATCACATGTACCTGGAATTTTGTCACCATGAAGAGAAACTTTGTGTATTGTTGCATAGTAGCGATCACGTTGAATTTCCGCCTTCTTCAAAGTATCTTCAGCTTCTTTTCTATGCTTTTTTCTTTGGCCTATTTAAAAATTCATTCATTCAGTTGTATGCTTTGAATTCTTTAGTGTTTTTTGTTCTTACGGTATTTGAAGCAGACAATAAAAATAGCACTCAAGCAGATAATGACTGTAACTAGGATGATGACTGAAATAATTATTCTAGGATCGCTTAAAGAATATTTCGACCTATTTCTTCTTTGTTCAATATCAATCGGAGGTGAATCTTTAAAAATAAAAACAAAAGAAATTATTTGTTCTCATTTGCATCAGAAAAATTGCCTAACAAAACTCACCTCCGTGTATGGTGAGCGTTACAAAAGTGAAATCTTGTGTTGTTGAACCTGCAACATTATGAGCTTCTATTTTCAATTGATATAATGTAGAAGGCTTAAGACTTGATATAGTAAATCGTCTTTGAGGTTTCAAAGCATTTGACACTAATGTCCATTGATCTTCACCATCATCAGAGATTATTCTGTATTGAAGGACGAAATATAAAATAGGACAACCGTTGTCGGGCCATGCGTTAAGTCGAAGAAGAACTGAAGAAGAATTGGGAAATATTAATTGCTGAGGAATAGGAATTCCTGGTGCTTGTCCTTGTGTTTTGACGTGAAGAGTTGTGCTTGGCAAACTTGATCCAATTTTATTATGTGATGTTAAGTATATGTTGTAAGTACTTCCACATTTCAAATCCTTCAACTCGTGACTTGATGCGTGACGTGACAAATGCTTCTCTTCAATACTTCCATGAGATCTTTTAAAATGTAATGTGTAAGCAACAATTGGAGCATTTCCATTTGCACTATTTTTCCAATGCATTAAAATACTAGTGGCAGTAGCGCTTGTTACATAGAGAACAGGTGGTGAAGGTGGAACTTGAACTATTACGCTATACGTCACTCTGTCTGAACCAATTCCGTTTTCAACTTGGCATGTGAAATTTCCTGAATCAGACACTTGAAGATTCGCTATAAAAAGTTCACCTGAATCTTGAACCTGACCGTTATAAAATACAATTGATTTCAATGGGACATCATTTTTGAACCATTCTCGTCTTGGTTTTCCAACAGCAAGACAATGAAGTGAAGCTGAAGTCTTCCACGGTCGAATTATTGGCCCACCAAATGATATGATTCTAGCTGCTACTCTATTCGAAATGATTTGTGATGCAACCCTTGAACTTTTCCCTTCACCAACACGTGTCGATGCAGTGATCCAAAACTGATATTCCGTGTGTGCTTGAAGCCCTGTTGCTTCAAAATAAGTTTGTTGTGATGGTAGAACGCGTTTATCATTATTCATTTCTTCTCGGCCATTAACTTGGCGTGAATAAAGATTATATTTTGTTATGATACCGTTTGGATCTTTTGGCTCAAGCCATGAGATGTAAAGTGAATTTGATGAGCTCACAACCACTTTAATATCACTCGGTGCTTCTGGGGCTAATGAGAAAGTTAAAATAAATAAACAAATTTAAATTAAATTATAATTTATGTACCATCTTCTTCTGTATGACAGAAAATTGGTTGAGATATGACACCGTCACCCATTCGAGAATAAGCAAGAACTTGAACACTGTAGTTGCAAAACTTTTTAAGCGATGTTAAAACTATTGTTAGAGCTGTTGTCTTCCTTGTATCCATATCGTCATTTTCTAAATATTAAATAAATGAAAAAATATTAAATCAGTATTTTATGAATGTGTCATGAGGTCAACAAATCTCAAATCACCATAAAATTTAATTAAAATCATAAAGCGACATAAAATATTAAGACGTTGAAGTGACTTTAATAAAATTCTTTTTTAATGATTCGAGGCATTCATTCTGGCTTGAATAATAAAAAGAAAATTTAAAATGAATGCACAATCCTCACCACTTATATCAGCCATTGGTTCAGATGAAATTTTATATCCTAGCAAAAGTCCGTTTTGATGATTTACTGGCGGTGGTTGCCAAGAAACTTGTAATGATGTTGAAGTCAATGCAACACATCTTAAATCATTTGGTGGTTTACTTGGAACTGTTCATAATTGGAAATGTCAAGTGTCGTGAAAATAATGAATGTGAAAGTTTTTTGCTTACCATCTTCCATTGTTTGAGCAGATACAGGTTCAGATAAGGGGCCGAGGCCAATTTGATTAAAAGCTTGAGCAACAATGGTGTATCTTGTGTATTTTGATAAGCCAGCTAGAATCATTTCACCAGTTCCTTCTTCACCATCTCCTGATGTAGATGAAAAGTTATAAACATTTGACTGTGCTGTGGTCATTTTATAGCCAATGTTGTATCCCTGAATTTCTCCATGTCGCAACTCAAAAAGAGGTGGAAGCCAATTAATTAGAATTTCTGTTGATGAAATTGGTCTTGCTGATAAGCTTAAAGGTGTACCAGTTGGTCGTTGTGGTTCAGTTTTGATGATAAGCTCTTGACTTGGAATGCTTTTGCCAGCAGGCCCTGCAGCAATGACACGAAATGCATATTTTGTTGCTGGTTTTAAATTATCAATAACAGCGGTGTATTGAGGTGGATCGGATATTTCTAAATATTGCCACTGGCGGGCAATTTCTCGATACTCAACAATATATTTCGTGACTTCAGCTGCATCTCCACCTCTTGGTTGCCACTTGATACTTATGGATCGACTGGAGACTATTGATGTTTCTAATAACGAAGGTGGCTGTGGTGGTTCTTGCACTTGTAATTGCACAAGCTGTTGATCACGACCATAAAGATTACTAGCCTGACAAAAGTATTGGCCAGAATCTGAACTTTCAACATGGTTGATTTGAACTTCAGCGGAAATTCCTTCGGGAGTTGCATCTTGTTTTATTGAAACTCGATAATTCGTAGAAGGATTAATTTCATATTTTCCTCCAAGCAACCACACAATATTGATAGGCTTATCACCATTCACTTCACATTGTAATACAGCAGTATCGCCCTTTTTAACATTCACCATTCGAGAAGGAGTTGCAAAGTATGGCGGTGCTATAAAAATATTTTGTGAATTGAAAACTTGTGGGGAAAGAATTAATTTTTATTCATACAATTCACTTTTAATTGAATAACTTTTCCTATGCCTGTACCAATGCCATTATTAGCTGTACAAATATAAAACCCTTCACGGTCTTCTTTTACATGTTGAAGCAAAAGTGAACCATTCGAAAGTAACTTTGTGTAAGGCTTTTCTCTAATTTCTTCATAGTCCCCAGATTTACTTCCTGTAGTAAGGTGTTCATAAGGTAATAAAAATTTACTTTTCTAAACATTTTCATTAATATTGTGTTACATTACCGGTTGCTTTTTTCCATATAATTGTTGGAATGGGGACACCATCTGCTTGGCAGTTAAGCGTAACATGTTGATTACGTTCAACATTTACGTCTTTTGGCTCTATTTTCCATCTTGGTGGAACTATTTAAGATGTACAATGTTTAATAAAACTAATATCATGTGGGAACATTCAGAAGCTTAAAAAGAATGATCTCATCATTAGCATAACTAATAATATTTCTTTGAAAGCTTACACCATTGATTCAATTATAAATGAACATAATTTTGCGGGGTAGGCTAAGGGAGCGATTAATATTAAGGTAATTATTTAGCCAAGCATGTGATATACATACGGAATATAGCAATTGTGCAATAAGCAATTCATCACTTTTTATGTTATAGAAATGATGCTGATTCATCCTCAATCGCGTAAAAGCTCGTTACAAGTAAACATCTCGATTATAATTTGGAAGCTTGTATTTCAACTGGTTAAAAACAACTAAATAAGAGGGCAGTAAAACACTCTTTGCTAATATATAAGAAAAAAATAAATCAAATTTATCATTACAGAAAGGAAAAGATTAAAATATCAATTGCAAAATATTACTTTAATATTTATAACATAGATAGGTACTGAGTATAGGAAAATAAAATGTAAATAGAAGACAACTTATGATGTACGGAAAAACAGTGGGTGGTAATAGGGATCAAGTTACAAATTGGATTGCGGACGACTTTTAGCAGAATAAAACGTCATGTTGAAAAGTCTACCTCACGGGAAAACAATCACACTTCTAGTTATGGGAAAGCAGCAATATAATGTCTTACACACAGATCAAACGTTCGTAACATAAGATTTAAAATTTATAAATTGTTTTTATCGTTGAAAATTTGTGAGTTGCCCATTAAGTATCAAATTCAATGTGAAAAAATAAATAAAAAATAAAATTTTGCAAAAAAGTTACGACTATCGATTGTCATGTAGTTGATTGGAGTTTTAGGAGAAAAAACATGAATTTCGATTTTTCTGATAGTCAAAGTTTTATGTTGACGAATAGTTGAGAAATATTTTTAATAATTTTCTAATATCTCCATGAAACTTAAACGTTTATTCAACATCAATTATTTAAGTTTTCTTTGTTATGCAACTTTTGCAATTAAATCTCACATAACGTCAATAACCGAGTTATGAGTTTCTGAAATATTTATTGTAGCAGAAATTGTAAGCTGTTATACGAAGACGTCTAAGAGCATCAAATCTTCGTAAATTGCTAAAGCATAGCAAAATTTAGCAGTAGCAAAGCATAGCAGAACCTCAAAATTCTTAGTTTTTGAATAATGAAAGAAATAAAGAAAATTGTAAAAGATAAACTTTTCTAAACTTGTTTTCAATAACATAATTATCTAATAGCGAATGTAATTTTATTGAGTATGACCATTTCAAGGATTGGGATATTTTAAAAACTTTTATCAAGTTTAATAAAACATAACAATAAAATAAAATCACTTGATAAAAATGGTTGGTTGTCATCAACTCACTGCGTTCAACATACAAGCGCAAAGGAAGGAAAAGGGGTCAGTGTAAGGAGATTTGCAATATACGATTTATGATAAAAACATTAATTTTATTTTATTAAATTTGAATTCTAAATGTTTTGGCATTAAACTGAGAAACTAAGCTCTGCGGTTGCATCAAACAATTTTATAAACATTTCCTTCAATTTGTCATTTTAAGAGAAACCTACGTTACCTTTTACTTGCAATAATGCTGTATGCTTAACTTCTGACGCTTGATTACTAGCTACGCATGTATATTCCCCAGAATGCGAGTGAGAAAGAGACGTTATACTTAAAATAGATGTAAATGGATCAAGTGAAGACACATTTGCACCTAGTGCTGGCATTAGAGTTTGACCGTCTTTTAACCAGTTTAATTGTAGAGGCGGGTCGCCTCGAGAAACTCCACAAATAGTTCTAGTTCTCATGCCTTCAGCTAAACCATCTTGGAATGAAAATGGTTGAATCACTGGGGGAACTTTTCAATGAAAATGAGAAACGAAATGCAGCGCCCAATCAAAGAAATTTCATTCCAAATTCCAAATGTAGATAAAGTAGTCAAAGATAATTAAAAGTTGAAAATATTTGCATAGAAGGAGAAAACAGAAAAAAAGATTTGAATTAAGAATAAGAACACCAAATAAAGAGAAAAAAAATCAATATCATGTTATGTGGTTTTGTTGGTAAATATTCTTCTAAGTTTAAATCTGATTGTGATTACTTTTATAAAACTCTTTTGATTCTCTCTTTATATTAACGAGCATCCCTTTGCTTTTCCGCAGATTTCTGTTCTTCTTTCACAGAGTTTTTTCTATAAGAATTTTACCATTTACTAATAAAGCTTGTGTACTCTCCACCTCAGCTGCGGGATTGCTAACAACACAAGAATAGTTTCCAGAATGAGATGCCGATAAATGTTCAATAACGAGAATAGAATTGTATTGATCCACTTGTGTTATCGATATTCGTTGGCTAGGATCAATGAAAATTCCATTTTTTAACCATTTTACGCTTAGTGGAGTATCGCCTTTTATAATGGAACAAGTTATTGAAGCCCGATCGCCAACATTTAATAAAATAGTTGACGAATGAAATGGATTTATTTTAGGTGGAACTGAAAGACAATTCATGGTTATTCTCAAAAATTGAAAAGTTCTTCATGAAGATTTCCTGTTTGTGAAATGGAAGAAATGAGTTAAGAATTTTATTCATCAATACCAACCTATGACATTGACTTCTCCACTGCGTCGAGCACTTTGGCCTTGTTTATTTCGGGCCCAACATGTGTATACTCCGGAATCATCTTTTTTCTGAACGGGATGGATCATTAAAGTTCCATCGGTCTGAACTTTCTGTCGAATATCTTCGGGAAGTTCTCTTCCACTTCGCTCCCAGTGAATCTCTTCGATTGGATATCCAGCAACTGGGCATTTAAGATGAAGAGTTTCTCCAGCAACTGCAGTGACTTTGGGTATCAAACGAATGTACGGAAGTCCATAAACATTTAATTTCGCAGAGTGACTTGTCTTGCCTGCACGATTTTCAACAATACATGCGTATTCACCTCCATCTTCAACCATAACGTGAGTAATGTTCACATGTGCAATTACATCTCCATGCGGTGTCACATACTGCCCAATCATGAATCTGTTGCGTAAAAGTTTAAATTTATGAAAATTCTTATCGTAAATATTTTCACCAGCATTAACTCACCTTCCATTTGATGGTAAAGGAAATCCATCTAACTCCCAAGTCACTTCAGGTGTTGGATTTCCTGTTGCTGAACATTTCAACGAAACGGGAGGTCCAGGCTGCAGCGTTTGTTCAATAAAACTATACATTAAAACAGGTGGAGCGTCTGAAATATGATTTTTCATTATCATTAAAACTGCAAGGGAAAACGATGATTAATATGAGAATTTACCTCCCAACTGGAGTTCAGCAGAAGCTTGAAATGTATCGCCTTCTTGTCTTCGAACGACACATTGATACATTCCTTTGTCTTCTCTTCCCACTGATGAAAGCAACAATGTATCTCCATTTCTTCCAGAGGTCGGTAGCTGGCGGCCATCTTTAAACCATGTTATTTGTTGTGCAGTCACAGGTATTCCATTACTCGTCACAATGCATCGAAACTCTGTTGTTCCACCCATGTTGACACTAAGAACGTTAGGTGAAATTTCCACCTGGATTGGAGTTGAAACCGATAATTTTAATTCAGCACTCGCTTCCCCTCCAGAATTCGAAGCTGAACATTTGTATGTTCCAGCATCTTCTAATGTGACAGCCTCAATAGCTAATACAGGTCCTAGTAAACGTATTCTAGGTCCACTTATAACAGGCATAGGTTCCGGACCATTGTTTGTGTACCATCTTTGTAAGTTAATTATGAAAGGAATTATAAATTATTATTATAAATTACTATAATTATAAGAAAATAAATTCCACCTGTATTCAACTGATGGACAACCTTGTGCTACACAAAGCAACACTGCACCTTCATCTTGTGAAACTGAAACTACCGCTGAATGTTCAACTATACTTGGAGATATAATTCCTCGATGATCTGTTATAAATTAATTAAAATAAAATTGTTTTAGTCTAATAAATTAGAATAAATTTCCACCACAGTACAAACCATTTAAACGAATTTTCGCGGAATTACTTATAACAACGTGACGTGTTAATTTGTGCATTGTGCGGCAACGGTAAGATGCAAATCTATCACTGTTATCTAAATTATGTATCAAAAGTTCTCCACTCGGCAGTAAATGATATTTTCCATCTGTGAATAAATCAATAGATAATCGAAGGAAGATGAAAAGAAGGATGCTTCAAACTGACTCACCTCCTTGTAATGATGGATATATGAAAAAGGATGGCTCTTGTACCCAAGATACAACTCTAACTAAATCCTTGACAAAACTAGGCAAAACACATCTTAGTATTGCTGTACAACCTCTCGACGCTGCCAATAGTTCAACATCTACTTTGTACGATTGTGCTACAACTGAAATAAAAGTCGTTCAAAAGTTTTAGCTTAGAAAAAAGTTCTTATTAATTTATATTCTTATCAAAAATGAGTTTTCATTAAGAAGCTCTTTCATAAAACTTTTTCAGAGATTGTAATCGTTTTCACTACTTTCTACAGCCATTGACACTTGAAGGTTTTAATGAGGGGAGAGATTATTTACTTCAACGTCAATGCACTCTTAACAACAAAAAAATGGGAGAATAAAAACAAAAGTTTGCGAATAGGGAAATGAGGAAATGACGAAAACTGAGGAAGTAGAGAAAAGAGTTGAATAAAATTGCAAACTTTTCTAAATGAGAAAAAATAAGGGTGAACATACCCGCTCGCACTTGAACATCTCGTGATATTATTCTTCCTACGCGATTATTTGCTACACACCGATAAATCGTACTGTGTATGTCTTGTCTATAAGCTGCCGCAGGGAATGGGAGTAAGACTAATGTCCCATTACGAAGAACTCGTCGGATACCTCCGACGTCTCCTATTGAAGTGCCATCAATTGACAACCAGTCAATTGTTGGCTGTGGACTTCCGGAGGCAGAACAATCAACCCACCCTCCTGATGAATTTGAAAATTCCAATCGAGAAGGTGGTTCCATAACAAATGCTGGCCCTCGATCATGATCCAAAAATCCATAAGTGTTATCTGAAATGTTCCGCAACAAAATTAATTTATTTTTCAGTAAACTCCATTTGTTTCACACTACAACTGCCAAAAATAGTTTTTTAATCAAATTACTATAGTCACAACAACTATAATTAAATAAGAGTAAATTCCTAAAATTAGTACACCACTTTAAAATGTCAACTTTTTATTTCCAATCGTGAGAAGCAAATGAAAAACATGAAACTTAAAAGATTAACGTGCATTGATAATCTCAATCGAAAAGTAGTTTATCATTGGAAATTCAAATTTATTAAATAAAAGATAGATACGACAGAGATCAAGAATTTATTAATATCTATGCATAAGAAAACAGATGTGCAATTATAAGCATGTTACAAGAAATGGAAATTTAGGAATTATCTATTCAAAAATGAAAGTACGAAGTGGAATGGATTAATTAGAAATTCACATGGTTGAATAAAATTATGGGCAATGGCCGAATTGTACAAAGCTTTAGGAGAGTTTTGAGGTGTGACAAAAAACCGAGAGAACAATAACGATAAAAATTTTTCCAAAAATGTTTCTCTCTGTTCAATCGATCTTTGGCAATCTAAAATTGCATCCATCAATTTAATTAAAAACTTAAAATAAAATTTTTCTTAATTGTTTTACACAAATTCTATTAATTAATCATTCTTATATTATTTTCATAACACACGAAAAGACATTCGAATCGTATCAGAAATTCAGATTAGGTAATTAAATTTAATTGTAGTTTAACATTAAAAGTATGACTGACTTTTTCCCTTTATAAAATTATTTCATGCACCAAAAACTCTTCAAACGAGCTTTCATGCGATGTTCTTCATTTGTATGTGTAACACACATTCACTGGGCGTTCTTTGCATCATTACGCTAATATGTTTCCATCCCTCGGGATAATTTTTTAAGGATGTGTGCCGATGACAAACATAACATCAATATTTTCAGTAAGTATCAACTCCCTACGACTTTTTATGTAGTCAAGGGCAGGTTTTTATTCAAAATATTTAGTAAATATATACATAAAGCCTGGTTGTGAAAAGGGTTTATAGACCTCATACAGCTATATGAGGCAGGAAAAGAAATTTGAAATTTTCTTACACCTCCTATTAACGTCTGGTTGAACTTGAATTTAGTTACATACGTGTATGTAAAGGTAACTTAACTGAAAAGAAAGTGAAATAAGACCTTTTCTCTGATACTATGATCGCGTAAGCTCCGTCACGAAAAATCTGTTAAGCGCTAGTTAAACTGGAGATTTATATCCTAGAAATTCTTTTTCAAAATCTTAAACTTTTAGTTTTCTGTAACAATTTATTTAGTTAGAAAGCTTAGAATAACATCATATAAATCTTTTGGGAAAAGTTTCGAGCTTGAGTTGAGTTTACGATTTATCAACTCAAGAAGCTGTTAAAATTTAATGTACAGAGTGGATTGCTTACATTGTAAGATAATATTTCACTGCAGAAGCTTTCGTGAAAATCATATTCAATTTAGTGTGAAAATATGCGTGTCCCATTTGTAAGGAAAGGTAAATTTATCATATAGGCATTATTCGAAGTGACACAAAAAGTTTTCATGTTTGGTTTGGTGGGAATGTGAGTTTAATCTAAGACAATTTGTAAGCGATCATCGGTTTCATCTGATGTTTTTTCTTCAGCATAATAAATCAAAAATATGATTAAGATGATATAAATAAGATAAATTGGACATGAACCTAAACAAAATAGCACGGGAAATCAAACATTTTGGGGTTTTCAAATTGAACAGATTCCGAAACACAATTTTTATCGTAATTCAAATGGAAATATTATATTATTATAGTCTCTCCTCAAGCTAAATTATTTTGCCGAATGTCACAATTTTCTCAATGCAAGTTATATCTCTTTTGAAAACCCGAGAAGAGGTTCCTGCGACACTATGAAATTTTCATCATATCTACACAGATTTCGTTCCAGTTGCTCTTCAAAATTCAGAGAGAAAAAAAAATCGATAAAACATATATATTTGACATATGTAAACTCGAGCATAAACATGCTGCAGATATTCAAGTATTACATCAAGAAAATAAAGGCATTAGCACGTAGACAAAAGCACTTACCAAAATTAATCCATAAAAATTGTATGAAACTGAATAATAAAATAAAATCAATCATGATTCACGTTTTTCACTCTGTTTTTAAAAAGTCCCGTTATTTCAATTTAATTATTTTTATTTCAGTTCCATTTGATTAATTTGTCAGACACTGATTTTTCTGCAAACTAGTACTGCTAGATAATGTTTTGTTGAATAAAAAATTCACGTCTTGTAATCACTTTTCTTTACCACAATTTTTTCCAGCTTGTATTTTTCAGAACAGATATTTGTAATAAACTTTTCTCTATTTCACATAACATGTATTATTTATACACCCAGTGTGAGTTAAGTATGAAGATAATCCAAAGCTTTTAACTTTTCCTTCAAGTCTTAGGCGTTTATCAGTCAAATAGTTGAGACAAATAAGCTTGCATTGCTTTAACTTTGGAGCAATTTATATTACTGATTCAGAGAAAATATTTCATCCTTATTCTTCAACAGTCAACACTCGAATGAGATAGTGGTGAAAATGATGCCGAAAAGTTGCGAAAAACGGAGAATATTTTGTGAGAGAATTTTCATTTTGCAGCATGCTTTCAGCTGTATTATCAGTCAGAACATAAATATTTTCTCTGAGAAAATAAAAGTACTAGATTTGTGAATGTAATCATCTGAAAAAGGATGTTCTCGTGTTTAATTTAAAAAATAGTTTACAATTTGCTTGCTACTGAAGAGTAATCTTTCATGATTATTTATTTATCAGACGAAACGTGTTAATTTTTTATAAAATTGTTTTGATTAACGCTTTGTAGATTCTCAATTTCCACCATGTCTGCACCTAAACATAGCAGAGTAAACTTCGAAGTAATTAATCGTAAAAAATGTGTAAAATGTTACACATAAGCAGGCATAAAATTTGCATATAAATGATGATAGTAAAGTTGTATACAGAGTTACGAATATGCTTGAGGGAAAACACGAGATTGAGTGTTGTTCAAAGTGCATGAACCTTTCTCCTTTATTTTTTTGTTTTGATAGATAGTTCTGGGCCAGAAACTCAACAAAATTTACGGTTTCTTATACATCATCAATTTTAAGGTTCCTTTTCCAAATTTTCCTGCAAACTCAGCAGAAATATTCTCAAATATTTTTATAAATCTTAATAATTTGATGCTCCAAAGTCAAAAACCTGAAAGCAATTATCAGACACAATAACATAATCTCTTTGACATTCTGCAAATGAAGTGAACATCAAAATCGGATCCCTCGTCACTGTCACTTTATTTAATATGCTTCTTCATATCGCATTCAAAAATCATATTGTAGATTCTTTTTTTATCAGAAGGATTTTCATTGGCATAACAATATTTGGACAGCTGAACATTCATCAGTTTTTTTATTAAAGGCAATGAAATTTCATGAAAAAGTAAAATTTAATAACAAAGTTATTGATAATCAGTGTTTATAATGTCATTATGAGTGCTTGAAGTAGAAACGAAAATCATCAACATAAATTTTCCTAAATTAACACATAATTTATGTAGATGTAAAAAATTCAATGATTTTTATTTTCACCCTTAGTTTAAATTATGAAGTGGTTTGCTTAGGTATTTAAGCTTAAAAAAAGAATAAAAAAATGCACTTGGGGGTGTTAAGACACAAAATGATCCTAAAATATTTAAAAGGTTTTATAGACATTTTCAAGTCGGATTTATTCACTCGAGAAGTCTTTGCACTTTTATAAACGTGATGATGACAGCATTTTATAGAAGTGAGGTTTTGATGGCACTGACGCAGCGTATCATTTTACAAATCCGAACTTTGATTTCATGGTAAATAAAGGACAAGATTGGGATTAAATTCTATCGGAAAATAAGTTAATTTTTGCAGGGATTGAGAACGGAAACGGAAGCTGATGGAAGATTAACAATACACGTCAGGCTAAGCATGCTACAGCAGTCAGCTTTTCTCATGGGGATTTAGGGAAAGAACATAATATTTTACTTACTTCAAATTAAGTAACATGGTGAATAAAATCAATGCTTACAAGTGTCAAATAATTAATTGAATTTATTATAAATTTACTGAGAAGCTATGAGAATTTTTCAACGTTACATTCCAGAATTATGCTGACATGAAACTTATTTTCTTTTCATAAAATATGCTGTTACTGCAACTTTCACAATCATCAACATCACATTTTAGAAAAGATACTGCAAAGCTTCAACGTTTTGCTGAAGCAAACTCACGTTGCGATTTCTCTTATCAAAATTAATTATTTACTTAAAACAATTTAGATTTGAAATTGGAGATGAAAACTCGATTTTTTGATAAAACAATTCAATAAATATAACTTGAACATCATAAGTACGGACAAATGAATTTTTTCTCAACAACCCTAAATCTGATTCACAGATTGTGTTCATTAAAAGGAAGAAGAAAAATGCGAGATTAAGAATACTTCCCAAATAAGATAAACCAGAAAAAGAAGAAACGAAAATTATGTTTCAGCAAACTCTTCATTTTTCCACATCTTTAAGAGCTAAACTAGTTTAAATGCTAGACGCCAATCAAGAAAAAAAGCGGAAGCTACGGAAATGGATGAAAAAAAGGAAAATTCGTTGCTTTGAAAACGAAAAAAGTTGAGAGAAGGAAGGAGAGGGAAAGCAGTTTCCATTAAAAAGCAATAAGAACATCAGGAAACCAAAACGAGAAAACTGTTTTCTGCTATTATATTTAACGATGATATTTTTATGAATCTTTTATTTCTTTCTATTTCGCTCGTTAAGAACTGATTTCTCAGTTGAGTTTTCAGGAGTGTTGATAAAAAAAGTTAGAAGAAACGATAATACTGTTTCAGTGGTTAGACCGAAATCTCAACCAATTAATTAAGGCTAACAGCAAATGTGTTTATCAGAACTTCACTATAAAAAGTAAATTGTTGATTAGTGAGGACAGAAACGAACTAAACGAATTATTCAACGACTCATAAATCACCGACGAGTTTTAGATGACTCGACTTGTCAGGATTAAGAAGAAATTATTTGCCACTTTAAAAATATAAAAAATAACAATTCCTTCTCATGAATATAAGAAAAACTTTATGGCTTGAAGTCACTCGTGACCGAAAGAAAAAAGCAATTTAATATTAAAAATTAATTTTCCTAAAAAGTTACTTCGTGTTTTACCTTGAGACTCAAAGTAGTATTTCATTTTTTTTCTTGTACTCCCAAGTTTAGTTTAAAATCATGTAATTAAAGGTTTCTTTCTTTCAACCAATTAAGCTTGAACACCAAAGCTTAAACAAGGAAAATGGGTTTATGTAGATACTCTCTTCCATGTAGACAATTCTGTAAAGGTTTTTTTAATTAAAAATTTACCAAACATTTGAAGATTTCCTTCTTCTTTGTTCTAAGCTGGCGTTTTAATCCACAAACAACCTTTTTCACACTTTGATGGTATGCTGAGTTTGTGTTACTTGCACTGAAATGTGAAATCCATTTAAGCAGTATGATATTTTCACGAATTTATATTTTATTTCATTTTCATCTTTTCTCCTTTATTTAATGAATGTAAATATTCAATTTTTTAATCTTGAATAAAAATTGTGCGGACCATGAAGCAATTCGGATGATATTAAAGAAGATTATTCCAAATTCTTCTGTAAGATAAATCAGACGATTGAACAATTCTAAGCATCATAACCAAAGGCTGAGATTTAATTGAGATGGGAATCAATCCCATTTTCTGCCTGCTGTCAAATCGTTTCCGTTTTCCTTAAGTGATTCTGTTATAATAATGATGTAATATAAAATAAGTGAAATGATGTGTAGGAACGAAGATATTCAACCGTAAAGATGACTTTGATAGAAAATGTAATTCTCAATACCCAAGGGGTTACTCATAGACAGTTGCTGACATCGAACTTGATTTATTTGCTGAAAATGCTTACAATTTTATCAAAAAACCAGATGGAACATGTTACAGTCGTTGATACGCGTGGAAACATAAAAACAAATTTATCTGTAAATACCTAATTCAGCTTGTAAAAAGACGTCCAAAGGGTGAAGTTTACGATATAAATGTAAGTAGGTGTTGTCTGTTTGATGAAATCGTCGTTAGGTATCGATTTGAGTATTGATGATCAATTACATTTTAAATAACAATTTTCATTTCTTTTCACCTCACTCGACAATCGAACAGTGTTGTCCATGAGTTTGTCCTCTTTGTGAAATGATTCAAATACTTTGAAAAAGAAGAAATATTTGGAATGTTTTATAATGACAATTGAAAATCAATTTGTATTTGTATTTCCTACTTTTTCCTTAATGAATGAGTAGACATGGTCGGATTAATGAATCTCAGATTTGCATTCTGTTTTATTTTATTTGCTTAAATAATCGTTTGATATAAAATGAGGAAGTTTTATTTAATTTCACCATCAGAACTTATGTTAAATAGATATCTCATTATTAGTTTGCCCTTGTTTCAGCCATTACTATAATTAAAAAAAGCTTCTATTAGCATACACACAGAATTAGAAGCTCATCTCATATATTTTTCTTCAGTGAGCAGTAAATTTGTCTTTTTCATATTTTACACTTATATGTACATCAAAAACGTTTTTGTTCTTTTCACTTCAAATATTTTTATGCTTTTACCATTGTTTTATACAGAAAGGAAAAGGAAACATTTTTTTTCAGACAATTCAAGATTTTCTCTTTAAACAGACAGACTTAAATTTAGACTTATAGATGTACATATTTATAAAAAAAAATACAATATAAATAACTTCGATCAAAAATGGGTTTTACAAATGAATTAACCAAAATCCTAGTTAATCGAATTTTATTAATGTGGCTACTTAAGTCTTAATTCAAAATAATTTCGTTTTGTTTCATTACACAATTCTATTTTGTAAAATTATTAATTAACTTTTATTATCATAAACTGGGATTGCGTAGTTTCTTTCAAGAAAACACTTTACACAATAGAATTTTATAATGAAGGAGATTATTTTGTTAAAATTTTACATAAAAAATGATAATTATCTTAAGCCGTAAATAATTTATTTATTAATGTATGTAAATGTACAAATTTGATATAAGTAGAGATATCTATTTTTTAGTGGGGAGATTTTAATATGATTGATTAACTAATGCAATCTTTTATTACGTTTGTTCCTTTTTAAGCAGAATTAAAATTACGCTAATATTTTCCATCACAACATTTTTGCTTGTTTGTTTCACATAATAATTAAAAGAAGAAGAAGAAGAATGATTGGAAAATGTTACCAAAGATGGCGCTTCAAAAAAAAACACATTTTCATTTAAAAGTAATTAATTTGGTGAAATTCCTATGTAATATTCAAGTGCAGAGCATTTATGTGATAATTGTGTAGAAAGCGTGACTTGAAATTTCAGATTCATTCAGATCAATGACGCGCCAATAGTTAAGACGCATACATTCTATTGATTTCTGCTTTATATCTTTCTTGAATATCCTTACGTTTAATTTTGAAGGCAGCTGTTACGAGGCCCATATCTGGTGACCATACATCTTTGCATAATGTAATCGCTGCAGGAATTTCGTACTTCTGTAAACGACTCTTTTTCGCATGTTCAGCAAGTTCTTTAAGCACCGCTTTTTCAATAACAGAATTCGAGCAAAGCTCTTCAAAGTCTCCAGTGATACCCAAACTTGTAGCAAGCTCCATTAGCACCTTTTCAACGGGCACAACAAGTGCTACACAATAAGTCTTCGAAGGATCACCATATACACAAACATTCTCAACAAGTGAACATGTTTTCATCTCAGTTTCAACTTTTCCCAACGACACATATTCCCCTGCTTGAAGTTTAACTAAATCTTTCTTACGATCTGATGAAGAGACAAAAGAAAAATTGAATAAATAAACAATTGACAACTTTATCTATGAATGCTTACCGATAATCTTTAAAACTCCATCCGGGTGAATTTCACCAATATCTCCTGTTCTAAACCATCTCAATCCATCTTGTTCAAAGAACTCTTCAGCAGTTTTTCCAGGAAGTTTATAATAACCGATGGAGACGTTTTCGCCACCCATAACGATTTCTCCTTGAGGATAAGGTTTATTTGTAACTCGATAATTTCCTTCTTCCCAGTTGATCAGCTTGATGTCATTTATTGACGTGGGAGCACCAACGCGACCATACGACATGTCGTATCTATCCATAACAGCAGCTCCAGCTGTTGTTTCAGTTAAACCATATCCTTGACACATGTCTACACAGAGGCAAAGTCGAATTTGTTCATGAGTGTCAGCAGACAAAGGGGCGCCGCCTGATACAAGCAAACGAACGTTACCACCCATCAACCTTGCAATCTTTTTGAAGATCAGACGATCCAAGAATGGTGTTTTGTATCCACGTCGGTGCCATTTGGCTTTGTAATTATATGCAAATTTAAAGATGACTTTTTGTAACGCTGATCCTTTGTTGACTTTATCGTTGATTCCCTTTGAGATTCTATCTAAAATCAACGGTACAGTAGTCATACATGTTGGCTTCAAGATCGTCGCATCTCCTTTGCATCCTTTCATTATCTTTGTGCTTGAGTCGATTAAAGTATTTGGTGTTGAGTAACCGATTGGTACACCACTGAGAAGACAAACACTTTCAGCAATAAGCTCAAATACATGAGCTAATGGTAGGAATCCTATTAACACATCTTCTGAGTAAATTGGCATCTTTAAAAGAGAAAAATGATTTCATTGTAATAATTTCAAAAAAAAAACAAAGTTTGAATCACTTACAGCATCGCAAAAGCTTTTCATTGTTCCCAAACAATTAGCATGTGTCAATAAAACTCCTTTTGGAGTTCCTGTTGATCCTGATGTATACATTATGATTGCAACGTCGTCAGTTGAAGGTGGAGTTTCGTCTGAAAGAATTTAAAAGCAATTATGAATGAAAAAACAGTTATTTAAATAAATTACTCACCAATTTTACTGTCAACGCCCATTTTAAGAACTTGTGAGAATGGAATCACACGAATGTTCCCAAATCCGGAAGTGTCTGTTTTATGAAGTTGATCTTCAAAAAAGATGATCGTGTTGACTTTGGGAATTGTCGGTAAAATATTTCGTAATTTTGGGAGCAGTTCATGTGATGTTACGACAGTATTAACTTCTGTTTCTGTTATGCCATGAGTGATTCCTTCTTCTCCTAATGTCGCATAAATAGTGACGATTGGACATGAATGTTTGAAGAGTCCATGAGCTGCAATCATCCATTCAGCGCGAGTTTCAGCAAACACCACAACATTTTCACGAGACTTTACACCAACTTCTCGAATTCCTCTACCGAAGTAAGTTGCTTGACTTTCGGTTTCAAGATAATTACGCCATTTGTATTCACCGAGCTTATATTTTTTGAAAATCCTTCCATTGTCTTGAACTTCGTCTTCTTCACCGAGAATCTCACGTGTGCCCAAGCAACGTTTTGTTGTATGAATCTTCACAACATACTTGAACATCTTCTCCAAAGTGTCAATTTTCTCCTGAAGCAACTTAATATGTGTTTCTTTAGGCTGAGTCAAACTTCTATAAGTTATCTGAGTGTCATCCATATTAACAATTTTCGCCTAAAAGCAATGTAAACAAAACAACAATTTATCATTTTAGTTTGTTTCTTATGAGATGGAAATTTTTTTTAAATCACAAAACTCACCTTTGCTCTACGGGACATCACACGAGTTTTCCAAGGTCGTTGGAGAATTAAATATATGGGAAAAGTGATGACATCATAGACAAACGAGAAGGATTTCAGTGCGCTTAAAGCCACGTGAATCCAGAAGCTTTCCATGCTACAAAAGTTATGATAAATTATTAATTACATAACAATTCAATCAAATCGTAAAATGTTAAATGTTCAAGTGGATATGCTTTACTTAAATAGTTTCAAGGATATGAAATGAGTGGAAAATATGAAAGCAACTTTTATTTGTAGAGAGAAAAGTGTTGGTAGGCAGAACATTTTTACATGTTTATTGAAAGCTTCAAGGTGTTTGTTATCAACAATTGATAGCTTTTGTTATTAAAAATCCGAGTTTATCATGGAAATTATAAATAGAAATAATCATTTTTGCTTTAAATTGAGTACTCATGTGATAAAAGTTTATAAATAAGTCGATTTATTGACCTTGGACTTGCATATTCTGAATATGTTGATTCATATTTAGATAGATTCAATTAAATTCAAATGGACTTTAAGTCAAGATTCAAGGAAGTAGATATTTCATCTTGACGAATATTTTACGTGTTATTTATAGATTAGTTTCGTTGAAAAATGTTTCTGCAATAACTCTCCTGACACAAATATCAGCACTTGTCAGTTTTTTTTCCTTCATTTCTTTTCTTTAATAGTGATAGTGAATTTCTAAGAGACGACTAAAAAGGGTATGAATGCGAAACTCACCTTACGTCCTCTTCAATAAACATCTTGATGGCTTTGGTGTGATAGCGTCCTTAATTCCAAAAACTGTTGAATATTATTATTATTATAATAACGAGGAAGGACCGAACAACTTTGCTTTTAACTTTGAATATCTAAAATTCACAAATATTAAAGGTTAAAAGGGTATCGTTAATATTTATAATTCGAAATAAAAGAGTACTTAAAATAAATTACAATTGTTGATTTGTACACAAAAAAAATGCTAACTAATTAACAAACTTGTTCCAAAGTCTGGTTTCAGACGATTGTGTCTTAATCGGTTGACTGACATACGATTATAATATAAACAAGCTTGGATATAAAGAAAATCTTTGTTTGATGCTATTTGTGTGAAACTAAAAACAAAATCTTTTTACTTTTGTCTTGTTTTCTTGTTTATGTCTTAAGAAATTTGATGCTAAGTATTATTTATAAATATAAATTAAATCTTTATAGACGTAAGTAATTATAATACAATTTTAAATCAAGTAATTTAAAAATAATAAACAAAACTTTCTCCTTTAAGTATTTTTTGATTTTCTAATGAATGTCTATGTCGGCTAAACCAAATAATTACGAATTGATGACGTCAAAAAAATTGTGATTGGTCAAGAAAAGAAAAATAAAAACAGAAATTTGAAATGACGACATGGGATTAAAGTACAAAATAATTCAAAAGATTTTTTTGCTGAAATTTCAATAGCTGAATTGTGTTGAATGAACATTTTTTAAAAAGATAAATACAAAGATTTATAGTGCGAGTTTTTGCAAGCTTCACATCACCTTAATTTCGCAATATTTAATGTCATCTGATTTTACTTCCTGATATATTAATAAACAGTTTTGCGTAATCTCGTTGATTGCGAGTCTTCGATTTCTTCACATTTTGTAATCCTTTTCAATGCAAATCTAAAGCAGGCTTTAAAACTAAATGTCAAAATGTCAAGCTTTAGAATGAATGAGGTTGAGAAACAAATATTTAACTTCTAAAAACAACTAAACCACATTCATAAGATTTTACTATGTTAGTCTGTTCAATTAGACAAGTTGGAATAACTGACGCTTAACAAATATATTTTTTACTTAAAACGTTTGGAATGTGAAGCATCCACTATTATTAACACACTTTTTTCAGGTTTACTTTCACTCGTTATGAAATTTTATTATGCATTAATAAATGTTGCTTACTGCTCACCTGATTTGAAGTTGACAAATACTTCGTTCACTTTTTCAATCAACTTAGAATTTGTTTTTATTCCAGTGTTAATGATTTTTTAATACTACTAATGTGCAAAAATTTACGATGACTAGAGAAAAACAATCAACGTTTATTTATTGAATTCAGATAAAACTACAATGACTATGATTTTTGCTATAACCTCTGGTAAAAATTGCAAGATTCAATTATAAGATTTCGCACTTAAACTGCAATGAAATGTTGTTTTTCTTTATCAAAATCAACAAAATTGTGGATACTCTATAGCACTTGCTTTAACGTTATGTTTTTGTGTGATGTCATAAGAGTCAGGCCACAATTTTCAACCAATCAGGAGATAGCGGGGTCTGTTCATAATGTACGAAATTTTGAAATAATCAAATTCTTAGAATTTTGAAATAACATTTATTATAATAAGAAGGAAAAAATTACGCATAGTTATGTTCTTAGAGAACGACATAATGTTTTAAATTTGAATTAATTCATAGCATTTTTGACGATGTGACTTGATTTATTGTTATTCCTAGGGAGAGAAGAAAGATTTTTTAAGGAATGAAGCGTCGCTTTCAATTCAAACATTCTACCGTTAAAAATAAAATGTTGATTTGATTCCGAGAGCTCGGATAGAAATCATGATGTCTTTAAAATGTCATAAAGAACGTATTTGAAGAAAAATAACATAAATAAAAGTTCTTTGGAAACTATCCAAAGGTTAATAAAAAGTCAACAAAACTGTTCATAAATATCTGATAGATAATTTAGAATCTCAGGACAAGCTTTACTTAGGTAATTTTTCAGTCAAAAACGCATTCCATCAAAACCTGTGCTTCATTGAAGCATAACATAAGCAGCTTAATTAATTATCAAATAACTTTACCCTTAATGGCATTTCATAAATTTAAATTTAAATGGCATTTAAAGCTTAAAACGACATATTCTACCTATTTTCATTGATTATAAAGAGCTTAAAAACATACGAAATTTCAGTACTGAAAAATTCTCATATTCATATTGCATCATAAGATAATCGTGGAAATTTTCAAAGAAATTGTCTCCAGAATGTATTAGGTAATAAATTATTAATTCACATTTCTTCGCGCTCTTAGAAAGCTTTTATAGAAGCTAAACATGTCTTTTCATTCCTTTAAAATATCATCACTGATCTATGAGTCCTTTTGATCATGCTTTTCATAGGGAAAATTTAATGTACAAGACTCGTACAATTTGTAAATAACTCAAAATGACATTTAAACATCAAAAATATTTTGCTATTAAAAAATTCATGACAATCAACGTCATAGATTCTTTTCAAAAATTCGCTGCTATTCTTTCTTCGTTTGTCTTCGTTCGTAGTAATCACCTGGATTTTTTCAGTTCATTTTTACTTCGACGATAAATACGACTTTTCTTTGTTTTTAAATAGATTTGCGCATGATCTAACGAAGTCTAATATTTTTAAAACGTCTTCCCCTCTTCTGTAACAAGTTCTATTCAACAGGTCATGTGGAAAAATAGATTCTCTCCTACGGGCTGATTTCAGGCTATAACTTTTCCAGAATGTAGCAGAAGCATAAAATTTTTGTTACGAATCGTAAATTTCATTGCTGTGGTGTATACATGAATCAAAATAAAATCTTAACGTCAGCATTAACACTGTATGCAAAAAACGAAAAAATCAAATTTCAAGTAATTAAAAAGATTGAAATCTAAAATAATCTTTAAGGATTTTCGTATGAAAAATGTCAGATAAATTTATCTACCATCCTCTTAGGCACCAACGATAATAATAGATTAAATTGGATTAAATATTTTCCTATCTTTCTAGCTCAAAAAGCACTGTGGGACTGCCTACTACTGGAAATAAATTTCCCAAAATAACTTTTGAACGTTTCAATTTCGATTTATGGTAAGAACATTTCATTTAATGTACAGGATTCACTTTGTGTTGAAATTGAAAAGAATTGAGAGATTAAATTGGGAAATGTTCCTTTTGTCAGTTCGCTGTCAAGTATGATTGTTACTGAAAGATTCAATTTATTTAATCATGATTACTAAATATTATTAGTGAATTTTAATGAGTTAGCATAAAAATTCATTAATAACGAATAAAACTTTCTGGAAATATTTTGTTTATTTTTTATTTCTGTCACAATACACAAAACATTATGCATGCTTATGATTCTTTTGCCATTTTGTGCTTGAGATGTAAGTTCATTAAGTTTCATGAATGAAAGAAGATTACATTATGTAGAATTACATTATACATTTATAAAAATATATGTATGTAGACTTGTTTTTTAACTTATAGTCGAGTAGAAAATTTTTAATTGCAAAAACGAGTCATAAGTTTATAGTTTGTAATTATGTTGTCTTTAATTCAGACGGGTTTTCACTTAAACCTTACCGCATTTAAATTTTTAAATGGGTTGGATTGTCATCGGGCTTTTCTAGCTAATGTTAACATGCATGTATGAAAGTACTTAATTTTATTATTATTAAAACTTCAATGTTGAATTGAATAAATTAAGAAATATATCGACTTACATAACTGCTTTTTTTTCATTTACCAATAATTTAGTTCATATAGTTTTGTTAATAGCATTAATGTTTCACATTTATCTGAAGTTTTTTTTCCATAATTAATTTTATATGTGATTATGAGTATGATAAAGTCATTTATACATTTTTGATTAATATTAATGATTGTTGTATTAATAAGAACATTTCTGAGCACTTTAAAGTTGAATGTGCTCTTATAAGTCATCATAAAACTTTCATTGATAAAATATATTAAAGCCATCGATTGTTGTCAAATTATTTACGTTGAATACAATGAATACATTTGTTTTCAATGTTTAAAAGATTTCATTTAATTATGTTAAATTGTAATTGGTCCTTATTGAAGGGTTTAATCAAATCAATTAAAATTGAAACTTATTAAGTTAGTATGAAGTCGAAGCCTAGGTAAGTTCAAACATTCATTAATATTTTTAATAAATAAAACACTCCTTAATGATACGACTTATACAATTATAAATAATCAATCTTCTCTAAACATAATATTTTCGAATGTTAGCAAACACAACAAATATTTTTTGCAACTTATACTAAGTTAAGGAAGATTTGACTTTGACGTGATTTAATATTATTAAACAATTAGATTATGTGATTGATATATTAAGTCTGAACTTTGCTCTGAACATGAAGTAAAACTTGATTAAAAGCTTCAGCTTCAATTTGTATAGTTTTTAATATTCAACATGACTTTTCATCTGTGGCTTTAAACATTCATTGATAATTATCTTGTAAGGGATCACATCACATTTAAATCTTATAATCATATCTATGTTATCATTAAGTTAGTTTGTTTTAGCAGCTTATTCAACATTATTATTATTTATATTTGTTGAATTAATTTCAGAAGAAAATATAATTCATTGCAATACTGAATCCTATTAAAAACAGTGTGTCTTTATTTATCATATGGATCAGAAGATTTGAAATTTATTTACTGAATATTTTGTGAATCTAATTCAAAGTTTTTTTTTTCTTGTCAAAAGTATTTTGTTCAACATTAAAAGCAACAATTCAAATCATGACCAGCATGACTGTTTTCATATATCATCAAAGAATTCTGCTTTTAAAAACTAAACCGATAACAAATCTATGTAGATATATTTTTTTTTAATATTAAATAATTATTTCTGAAATTCTTTTATCTTTACTTTTACTTGATTGCTAATTGCATTTCTGCTCTTATGAAATTATCTCGATAATACTTCGAGATCATCAAAGATGCAGTTTAAAAGGTTTCAAATTATATGGAGATTTTACATAATTGAAAATTTTAACATCTAAAAGATAGTTTGAGTTTAAATATGAATACAATTGTCATTGCCTTTTATGATATTTCTTTGATTGTTAAATAAAAGAATTTAAAAGCTTAGCCTATCATCAAACTTTTTTTTCTGACATCATTCATAAATATTTGTAACTTATCATCTCCAGCTCTTTTCTTTTTATAAATATTTATTTTTGGCCAATACCATACAATAGTCAATAAATTGAGTATACATTCAATTCCAAAGTTTACTTTAAAAGAAGGAGTATAACCCATTTTACGATTTTCCAGAGAACAGCTGATACTAGATTGCATTAAGAAAAAAGAGACAATTCAACTTAATGCTTCCTATAAGATTTACTAAATTAAAATATGAAATTACAGAAGATCTTTAATGGCAATAAAGTAGTGAAATTATATCTTTATATATTTATTATGAGATTGTGAGAGGAAGAAAGGCAAATACACATTTTTGTTAGCATAGCAAGACATCACAGTGTCAGTCAATCAATAATACTTAACAAATAGACGTTAAACTGTATGATTTAAAATTAAAAAAATATCCAGAAATTTAATGAATCATTGCACAATTAAATGGTTTCCATTATGAAACTCATGATTCAGACATCACAACATCCATGGTACGAAATGTTTGTTAGAGTTTTATAAAAATTAAACAAAGCTTATTTGGGCAGAGTTCGATATCTATGTAATGCACTTTAGGTTTTCGCACTCATTCCTACATCATTTTAGCATTGAAAAGATTTACATTCTTTAAGGAAGAAAACAAATAAGAAAGTGAAACAGTTTAAAATGACAAATCTAAAACATAAAAGTGAGAAAATTAGAAGTGTTTGTAATGCATTAATTCGGAACTAAAACATGTTTTGAAATTAATAGTTTTGTGAAATATGTACATAAATGCGTATGTTGATCAAGCTGACTTTTTAATTAAGGAACAAGAATAAATTGAAAAAGGAAAACAATACTGCACCTTCCACGTTTTAATATAATACTGAATTTATATGATGAATAACAAGATAGGTAACATTTATGTTTTCAACAGAAATGAATTCAAGCGCTTAGTCAATTAATAGAATGAAAGTGCAAAATGACGATGACTTCAGTAAAAATTTTACAACCAAAATCAATGAAAAGAAAAAGAAAATTTAAAATCTGAAAGAAGCAAAAATGTTGAAGGTCAGCTGTGAATTGAAGAGGATTAGTCTTCGTATATTTTGTCTATACAAATTGTATACAATCTAATATCAGATTAACTCTCAAAATTTAATGATATAAAATGTTTCTTTAATGACGAGGTTAACTAAAATATAATGAAGCATCGAGACAGAGATGTAGGATTAAAACAAAATCATTGTGGAGAAAATCATTTGAAGCTTAATAAATTGAGTGTTTATTAAAAAATTTCAAAAAGAATACTTAATAATTTATCAAGTGAAGTTGAAAATAAGAATATTCATAATAAGAACTTCTTTCAAATTTACAGGAATAAGGTGAGTACTTTCATTTTTTGGTATTGTACCGTTTAAAGAGTTTTATAATTAAGAAAATAAAGTTAAGTATTATAAAAGTTTGCAAGAACTATCTGAGGAATAAATTTCATCAAAATCTATAATGGAGTAATCGTCAAACTTTCGAGTCTTGTTCCAGTTCACATCTTAGTAATTCTTAAGATGTCTTTAAATAACTTTTTTATTTATTAATTGAAGTGATTTATAAATTTCGATGGAATTTTTTCTTTAGATTAATAGCAAAGATATCACATGATTGTTTTTCAATTATTATATTATAAAACTCTTAAAAGACAACAAAATTCTTGTACTGAAAATACTCAGATATAGAACAACATTTGCTAAAATTGTTAAAAAACATATGATGTGTAAGAAGCAAAATAAAAAATATAGCAAATAATAAAAGAAATTGTTCATTATAAATGTTTGCAGTACTTGCTTTCTAAATATCCAGGATCTCATTGAGAACCTTAGGGGATGATATTACATGATGAATCATATCTTACGATGTTTCAAGTCAAGAAGTATTTGGTAAAACCCCAAAAACAATATTTTTTATTCTGCCCAAATGCACACTTATTCATTATTAAACAATGAATAAATACATCAGAATTGGCTTTATAAATTTTAAACCTTTTCATATTTTATGATTCATACTACAAATATTCTGTAATCATTTAAGATTTTCTCAGAATAAGGATTAATATTTCATGAACTTTAATGTTTCACGTTGTTCCACCTGATATAATCTTCTCGATAGATATCAGGATGATGGAAAACAGACAGCAATGACTAGTCAACACGACCCAATTTCTCCTAAAACTGGAAAGTGTTGTCATTGTCATTTGCCACAAATGTCCATTGCCTCTCGACTGCTCTAGACAGTCGACTGAGGGGTTTTTTAGTCCTTGTTTAAGACCTGGTGATTATGACATTTCATTGTTTAATTCAGTATTTTCTTCCAATTTGTTTTATCCAGCATTATCTTTATTTTTATATTGTGCAAATTAAGTAAGAAACTCATAGCATAAAAAATTCAATCTAAATAATGAATTTTAATGAGTTTATTTTGTTTTGTTCAAATTGGTAATAAGAAGAATGATAATCTACAAGGCAAAATTTATTAAAACTCCTATATGTTTTTATTTCACAAAATATGGTTAGAGGGTGGTAAATTTAGAAAAAGAAAACAGCTAAAGCAACGACGAGTCCAATCAAAATTCAAGCTTTCGCATATAGATAAAGACGCATTTGGGTTTTCTTCTAAAGCTTCTCCTTCTGTATTCATAAAGTTGAGTTTTAAAATTCTTCTTTCGTTTTCGAGAAATGCCTACTACCGTTTTTTGTCGAAATTAACATAGGCAAAAAAAATCGAGTATAGCATAGATCTATGTTCCATTTCTTTTCATTTTTCATAAAATTCTGCTTTGTGACTATTAACAGTTGTCATTAGCAATATTCGCTTCCGTTTTTTACTCATATTAAATTTTTTTATATGGCTCAAAATTATGTCATTTGTGGAAATATAAATTCAAAAATTTATGAATTTTAACTACTTTATAGCATTTTTCTAAGAGATCGAACAGTAAAAAGTTTCAATAATATGGTAAATCGATTGCACATTCCCAATTCTCTCGAATGATGCTTTGTTTACTAAACTGGAAGTAACACGAGATTCGACTGTGAATTCCTATAAGTTTCATTATTATTATCAAATAATGTTCGAACGTGCACACTGCATGATTATCTTCGTGAGAGTATTTTGTAAAAATGTACCAAAAAATATTTTAATAATTACTTTTGTTTCGTCGTCTTCTTGATATGTTATTAATAGCTAAATAAACACAAAAATTCTAAAACTTTCAGGGAAAAAAATTGTCGAACCTCGTCAAGCGATCAGGGCAAAAATTAGTCAGTGTAAAATCGATTTTCACTTCTTTGAAACTTTTAAAATATAATTTAAGCAAGTTCGATCAACCTTTAAGAGATTTATTTTTGTAAACTTTCAATATTCATGGCAGATATTTTATGAAAATTGGAAACTTGGCAGAACAAATTATATCGACCTCTGGCCAAATATTCTTAAATTGACTTTACAATAAAGTTTATAGAAAGTGTTTTATAAGAAAAAAACTAACATTAATTGCTAAAAGTTATATTGAGTGACGGACACTTGCGAACATAATTTCGATTTCCATTTAATTGATGCACAGGACTTGCGTTGCCTGAAACGGAGGAATTTATAGGAGTTCTTACCATGCCTGTACCAAGTTGAGACAACAAGCCAGAGCCAGACCCTAGAGGACCTGATGAAAGAACTGTTGAAGTTCGACGTGAACGAATAGACTGCATACTGGATGATAGCAAGAATGGGACACTTGTGCTTGATGTATTCGGCATTGATCCTCCCTGTTTGTTGGAAATAAGTTAATTTAAATTAATTTTATCATAAAAAGCTTCTTATTCAGAAAATCAAGTCGTCACTAAGAAACCCAATCACTAAGAACAACTTACTATCATGTTTCGTGCAAGCTTGAAACATTATAAACAAGAAAAAGAAATTAAACTCATTATAGCTTCTATTGACGTAATCCAACATAACTTTATCATTCAATATTATTGATTATGAAATGTAATAAAGTTTGTTTTGAAATATTAGTAAGCATTATGGTCTGATGCAACATTTGAAATCTCGATGTTTGTCTCGAGATAATAACAGCATCAGATTGTAACCATAGACACATCAAGCATATGTAAATCTTATGAACTTTCATACATCAATAAGACATACCTGTTTATAATGATTAAATGAAAAAAAATGATGAAATATTTATTTCAATCAAATCAATAAACAAGAAAATGTAATATGTATCTATGCACGTAAATAACCTCCGGAAATAGAAATTCCTTATGAAGTAAAAGGCATAGAGCTTAAAATTCAACAAAATGAGGCTTGGAAAATAAAATAATTCATGCGAGTTTCATATGCTTACAAAAATTGTACGTTTAAAATGTTTTCTACTTATATTTATATTTAAACAAATTCCAATTGTTTTTAAACTTTTGTTTAAAGCGTGCGATTATGTGAATAATTTAACATTCTCTATGTCGCGTTTTAATTAGGTCGCGTTGTAGATATTTAAAAAGTTGTAAACATATAATCACAACTGCGTCATACAGTTAGAAGAACAAGTACCTAAGTAAGTATGGAATAAGATTGGAGAAGAGTGTATATAAATTGAAATATCCTTTTACTTTGTTGTCTTTAATATTCGTTAAAGTATAAAAGATTCTTGTCATCTTGTAAGGAAACAAATTAACATTTTATGTAAAATGTTTGCATTTGATGCAAGTTGAAAACGAAACTTAAGGATAAATTGAAGACATCATTAAAATATTTCATCATCAAACAATTGATAAGGATGGAAAAACGATATTTTAATGCAATCTTGTACACTCTTTTCGTATCTTGTAACGAGAGTCTGGGAGTAATATTGAAATATATAAAGTTCTTATTATAAGATTAAAGACTCTTGAAAACTTATTTCTCTAATTGATTCTGTAATAGAATTTATACAATTTGCAGAGCTTATCGAGACGATTCTGAGTAATTCGGTCGATTTACATGCACATTTTCCAGTTTTAATTAATTCACGAAAATTTCAACTTTAAACAACGAACAAATCCTTTCAAAAGCTTAACGATGTGAACACTGAAATAACCATAACTAGCTCAATGATACATTCTTTCGAGCTTGCTGAAAGATGGCTATCATCATAACATTGTTAAATAAATAAATGAGTGATGATGTAAAACAGTACTGAACGCCACTGGATGAAAACGAAAAGGCATTACTTCATTATTTCATTCCGCTCATTCTTCCATTTGATAACGTTTTTTAGGAAAGATTTGTTTTTAAACTTACAACATACGCAGAAGTAGAAGGCACTGATAGGCTCGAACCGGAGCCGCCTCGAGCGCTGTAGTTCATTATGCCCTAATTTAGTAACGCGCAATTTAGATTTGTAAATTGAATTAATTAGGAATAAACTTTAAAATGTAATTTTAAGATAAGATATTTCAGAAATGATGGCTCAATAATGAAAAATTGATAAGATTCAAGATATTAATTTAAATAATATTTTCTAAAATAGGTCTAAAAAATTAATCAAATGTTTTGACATCACTTTTCGATTTTGCCTCGAATTTTTGGTTTATAAAATAATTCTTGTAAGAAAAACAAATCTCGTAACGAAAACAAAGCACATAATAAAAGATTCTTTGAAGCAGAAGTCTTAAGAGACTCCATTAGTATGTCATATTAAATATACTGTAAACTTTTCCAAGAAATTTTTTTATTAACTCGGTGACTTTTGAATGAATCTATAGAGGATAAGATTAAGAAATGAAAAATCCAATTTTGTCCATATTTGCTAATGCGCATAAATAAAATTTGCAACATTAAGTACAACCACATTTGAATTCTGCATTACTTTGATATGTAAGCACACTTGATATGAATATTTAAGTTAGATTTACATTTTTAATCATTTCAAAAGTTGTTTTGTATAAAAGAAAGTTCTTCGGTTTTAATGATAATATTTAAAATGATAAGCTTAACTTTTTGCAATAGAAGAAAATAAAACAAATTAATAGAGCTTACCGTGGGCGGCGATAGATTCATTGCTGAAGCTCTACGTTCTTGTGGGCCGATGCTAGAATGTCGTCGTATTGGCAATCCGCCTCCAGGTGTCCCACCTTAACGTTTATAAATAAAGTTAAAGTTTTTAGAACATAAATGTCAATTAAATTCTTTAGTTGTTGTATAAAAATAATTTACCGGGTGACGACGCACAAGACGGAGCTATTCTTATTTTAGGTGTCATCAACGTGTTATCAGATAAACGACGGTTAGGGAATGCAGCATTTGCTACACGAAGATAGTTGCTATCTGGTGATGATGGTCCACCACCAAACCACCAACTTCCCAACATACCTGACCCTATAAAAATTTTCATTATTTTTTCTATTGTTGTGTTAAATGGTTTGTTAACATAGCAAAGCTTTGGTATGACATGCTTTTTACTTTAATGTTCATTGTTAGAAGACAACATAACATTCATATCTTAAACTGTTATGAAAAAGCCAAAAATATTTCGAAGAAAAAGTTCATTGTGTAATAAAAAATTTGAAATGTTGGCAAATAATGAGTAAGCATAATTAATTACTTATGGAACCTGTTGAGTTCTTTCTCGCCATATCTTCTGCACTAGACGTTTTTCGCTGATCGATTCGCAGATTAGGGATATTAAAAGGTGGAACGTGCATATTATCTGATGAAAATTGATGGCGCAAAGGACGATGACGTTCTGGGGAAGGCAGAGATAAATTATCCAATTTCAATTTATTGCGTTGTTGCCTGTCGATACAATCGAGCATTTCTTGAAGTACCTTTAAACAAAGAAAACATTCTCTCTATTATAGCCTAGATTATTATCTATTTATACTCACTTCAAGGAGAATCATAAACTGTTCCAAATTCAATGATGGATTAACTGTTTGTGGAACAAGCGATGGAAGAACACGCGTTGCCATCATGTTCACAGATAAACCGTATTTCTTATCGCTCAACATAATTCTATAAATGTCTGAAGGGTTTAATTTGAAGGAAAAAAATGTTTTCATTAGATTCATCAATATTATATAAGTTTATGTTGCCTTGATTTCCGATATGTTTATAAATAATCATTTAGTAATACGATTTTTTTTCAAGGTAGATTCACAGCTTTTTATTAATCATACCGAGTAATGGTTAATAATTGACGTTGTCACAATTTAATAAAGTTGAATTTTACCATTTTCCATCGTAATTTTCCGCTCAATTAGTATTTCTCCCTTAGGATTTTATTGGTCTTGCGGAAACTTCAAAGTGAAATTAAATTTGCTCAATTTATTCCCTCAGTTTCTTTCCTTATTCTGGGTGAAACAAAAAAAAACTTTTCGGAACGAGTTTGTGATCCCAAAATTTTCGATTTTTTTTTGTTGTCGAACAAGATTTCGTTAAATTTTTCTTTCCTTCATCTGTTATAGAAAATGAAAACTGGAAGACCAAATTCATGTCCCAAGCCCTGTTTAGAATCAAATTTCCATTTGAATTGAAAGCCTTAAACTGATTTATGTGACATTCCCATATATCGTTCGACTTTATTTTATTGTTATTTAAATATTCCCTATTCGTTCCTAGCTTTCATCTTTCACCTAATCTTCGTAGGTACGTAAGATTCAAGTTTTAGCTTTGGGATATACAAGGAGCATGTTTATAGAAGAAGCAGGGAAATTTTAATTTTTCTTCAGTTTTCCTTTTACTTGTATGCATGAATATTTGTTGATAAGAACGCAAGACACGCATTGATAACTTTTTTTTTCTTTTATCTTATTGCCGAAGATAAGTTAGTTCACAATGCAGAAAAGCCAAATTTGTTCTCATTTTTTGATAAAGTTACAAATCACGAAACAAATTTATTGATTCCGGAACATAACGACCTCAAATTTATCAATTGGTTGAAAGTAACGGGGAAAATATCGATCAATATCTACATATCTACATATATGTATTAATCTCAATACATTTTATTCACTCCACTTTCATATTTTCTTTGGAAGGGAAATTTGGGGCTTTATCATTTTTTTTCATCGTGATTTTCTACTTTTCACTTTATTTTTACTTGTAGCGGTATTCATCCAGCGACTTCTACCAAGCTGCTTAGATATATGGAAAAAAAATTTGAAAACATTTGAAAGGCTTGAATTGAAGAAAACCTTATGTAAATTCTTGAGAATCTTTTATTATTTCATAGCAAAAAGCTAAATCAATATTTGGTTTAAGAGTACGTATTCTTCTTTCAAAACCGTCTAATGTTTTTCCGGTGAGTGAATATCTAAAAGACGTTAAACACTGGGAGTGAAAATTGAAGCAAAAAAATGAAAATTGTACTCTTGACATTCATTTACATAATAATATCCTCTCGATATCAGCCCTCTTCCAGTTCAGTGACAAGTAATGAATTTTAAATGAGATTCCAAATATGTACGTTTATGAGCTATTCAAATCTCGTTTAATTCTGAACCTTTTAAGAAACAGTTTACAATATTAAATTTTGATGATTTTCCTTATTCTTGCCAATCAAAACATTTTTTATTTCTTTCCTAACTTTATTCATTCGTAGTACTTTTAAGCTTTCAAACATTTTTTTGTCCCGGGTGTCTTTTGTATTTAATGAATGATAAGATGAATTTTTTATCGGGATTTATATTTAGATTGATGAAAAAGTTGGAAGTGATTTGAGTAAGCAAAAAAAAGTTTTTTTATCTAAAACCAATTAATTTTTAAATCTCTTAGATTAAATTTCTAGTGATATGCCAACAATCTCTTGACAGTAGCTCATGATAAAAAAGCTTATATACTCATTCCGTATTTTCGTTGTGACAGGAAGTAAGAAAGCAAAAATAATTTCCTTTTCCTTTAAAGTTTAAAAATATCTTTATAATGTAGAAAATTTCTTAGAAACTTTCAGCCCATTTTGACTAATGATGTTAAGAAAGAAAACTGACTCAATTTTTATTCTTAGAGTTCGCTACATAAAACATAATTAGATATTTGATGATGAACATAAAATGTTGATAGATATTCATTTATTTACTAACCAAAATAATTTAAATTTAATGACTTAAAAGTTTTTATGAAAAAGTTTCATTTGGCAGATTTTTAGATAATTATAATTAAAAGAACATGAAAAGATACTTACGGACAACGCGTAGAATAATTTCAGGATCAGAAAGTCGAATCTCGTACAGCATTGGAAGAACTTCATCGATAATTTGTGACTTATCAAGTTTGTCCAGAATTCTCTCAACACATTGGAGAACATTTGCCATGATTTTCAAATCGCTCTGATTTTTCTCGAAAACTGTTTTAATTTTAGGTAAAACCATTCTTCTTATCGAGAGCTCATCGACGTATTCGTAAACATTTGCAACAGCCACTAAAGCCGCACTCTGAATTTGCATTGTGTTGCTTTCGAATGAGTTGAATAGCAGAGGCAAAACCTCAGATCGAATGTCATTCTGTGGTGTTTTTTCGAGGATTATATGCAGGTTCTCGAGAAGCGTAACAGTTGCTTGAATAGATTTAGGGGATGCAAATACCATTCTATGTAAATAAGTTCAAAAATTATGTTACATCAAGTTATATGCGTAAAACATTTTCTTCAACATTACTTGAAAGTTGGCAATATAACTTGTTCATATTCGTTAAGAGTGGCTTCTTGCACCATTGCTAATGCTGGTTGAAGCACGGCAGCTAACACCTCAGCTGCTCTCATCTCTTGCTGTAAGCATGGCCAAACATGCTGCCACCATAGTTTCTACAACACATAGCGTTCAAAAGAATAATAATCGTGAAACATTTGCTCTATTAAAAATATATACATTTGTACAGAAAATTGTTGTTCTTACTCATTAAAAAGGACTTAAGTTAAATTGAGAAAACTTGTCAAAAGTTTTTATCACAAAATTAGGGAGCCACCAAGTCATTAAAGCTACAAGTCACATAAAAACAGACTTTAGGTCTTTGAAATGGGTTTGCAAGCTCTGAAATATTTTCGCCCAAGTCATAACTCGAAAGAAAAAGCCAACATTGACTGTAAGTACTGAGTGAGAATATTAGATTGTTAAAATGATGTATAGATATTTATAAAAATGGACATTTCAGAGCCGCAGTTTCGAATATTTTTAGAGGTTTTATGATGAAATTTAATGTTCTCATGAATTGATGCAACATTTATTGTCATAAATGAATCCTACGCATTTTATTTAAATTAAGTACAAGAAAATTTAAATTTCATTGGGAATAAAAGCAAATGAAACTTTGAATTTAATTTACTTATGCACAATAAAGCGAAAGCTTTACAAAATTTATCATCAATACATACTCGTGGAATAAATGGAAGAGCATCTTTCAATGTACTGCGATAGAAGTGAGCTTTTTGTGTCGGGTCTTTCATGTTAATAACGTCGAGAAACTGTAAAGCATGCACAGCAGGATCGCTGAAACGAAATAATTACATAGAATGTTGAGCCAGTAGCGTTGTACAACACGAAAATTTAATTAAAAAATAGGTTGTTCTGAATATGATAAATATGTATTGCCCTCAATCATGATTCTTAATGTGTTTACACTGTTGAACATTTCATCTAAGGAAAAATCTTCAAGTCATCAACATTTCTTTTCAAAAAGAATCTAAAATCAAAAAGAATATTTTTCTTCTATCAATTCCATATTTCCATTTAGGAAATGTTTTTTCTTGATATATTTTTATTTCCGGGAAAATCTTTTCATCTTTGAAGTTTTCCTAAGTTACATATAATTTTCTTTAAGTTTAATCTCAATTCAAATATAAATAAACAGAAAATTGAAGTCATCTTGAAACATTTAGTCAAGACCTAAGTCGAGAAACCCAAAAAAAGTTTTTATATTCGAGACAAAGATTCAAAATGTTTTACAATGTTATAGCTTGTGCCTATTGAAATAATTTGAAAGTATTCAGAATTTATTGTTTAATGTTTTCATGCTTTTTCTATCTTAGATATCTCGAACGTTTATCTTTAAATTGAACACAATTTTTGGGTATCTCGGAAATGCCTTTTACTCCAATTTTATATCCTGGTTTCGTTAGTATTAAAAACCTTTTTCATTCCCAAAATTAGGATTTAAGTCACACAAAAGTTGGAAAAGGATATAAGCGAAATCGTTCTCGTAACGTTGCTGCATGTGTCTTTATTGTTCTTTATTTTTTATTAAACGTAACAAACCTTAAATTTAAAAACATAAAACATACCTAAAATATTTTATGAGCTGCAAAAGCTGAGCGGTGGGCCTTGGTCCCGGTTGTTTATTTACTAATCTAGATGTTGCTTCTTGCAATGGTATTGGTATTCGTGGTAGCATATTACGAACAGTCTCGTCAAGCTATTTATAGGAAATTGAAAGCATGAACATTGATTTTTTTTTTGTAAGCAAGGGTTTCGACACATATTTACATTTCGTATCTTTATTTTAATCATTCTTTTTAAAAGCTTTTTTATTTACATTTGACTATAAAGCTATTAGAAACCAAAATAAAAATGCAACATTGTATCAAACCTTAATGTTCAATTAGTGTCACTAACTTTCTAATGTTTTAAATTGTAAGTGATAGATAAATCTTTTCTTACCATTTCTAGTTGCTTTATGTAAGCTGATGGTGAGTTTTGTGCTTGAATTAATGGTTTTCCATTGTTGAAAATCGAACAAATCACCATCCCTAATGAGAACATGTCGCTTAATATGCTACAGTTGGAGTTAACTTGTATTTCAGGAGCTGTTAAGAAAAAAACATCTGATCAACTTTCGATAAAATTGATTCAATTAGTAAATTTCGATAATCTCTTGTAAAACGGCGATTGCTAAGGCGCCCTGAAGCTACTACGTGAGAAAAATCTTGATTAGGATATCTTTACGTAACAATGAACTGAATTGAAATTTCATCACTTTATTTGAAGATTGAATAGATTTAATGAGCTTACAGCAAATTGTTTTTTTCTTCTGAATTTTTAAAAGCTTCAAGAAGATAACATCGCACTATGAAATTGAATAAATTTTATGATATTCTTTGTCAACATATATTACTATTATTTGAAAGAATATTTCACAAATGCTTCTCATTTCCTTATCAGATAATTTTTATTATATACCAAAAATTCCGATACATATCTGAGCTTTTTAATGAATAAATTGAAATAACTTTAAGGGAGATATCAAAACTTAAGGACTGAATAAAATGATTTGAATTTGATCAAAATGATCATTCGGTTCTCAATATATAAAAGCTTCAATACTTCTCTATTCACTTACCCATGTAATCGAGATTTGGTTGTGCCATTTTAGACAACCTTGTACTCCATGGCTGACAGATGACAGGTTCAACAGCATCCGATTCGTGACAACGCTCTGTTGAGGATACATAAATAAATTACATATATTTGTGTTCATTTGAAATATGAAAACCTCTTTAAATAGCATGATATAATTTACCAATAAACTCGAAGCCTGCCAACTTCCAAGTTCCTTTTCTTGTCACTAATATTGACGAGGGAGAAACATTCTTATGAATCATTTGACCCGAATAGTGAAGGAAAGATAAAGCTTCCGTTATCTGTTAGAAATTGAATTTTAACAAGAATGAAAATAAGATTAATGTCACTCACGAGAACTTATTATACAGAGTTATAATCATAGGCGTATAGCAGCACTAGAAGTTTTTGTTCTATTAAAGTTACCAAAAGTTGAAAAACCAAGGATTTAAAGAAGATACAAAATTTATATCAAAAAAAAGTTAACGTTGAGATCTTATTCAGTATGAGACAGACATTTCCGGAAGGTGAAAAAGGCTAAACTTCCTTCCGCTAAGTTGAACACATTACATATGTACATCCACTTACGAATCCGTAAATAATTTTCTATATTTTCTAAATCATTAGTCAAGAGAAATTTATTTATCAAGAGAATTGCTGCTACATATGTGGGAGCGTAACTTCCAAATTCTTTACATCATGAAATTCCTTCTAAATGATTGTAAAGAATGACTTAATTTTACATCCATAAACTTCATACGTAACGATTGAAAAGTTTACGGCTCGAAAGAGTTACGACCTAATGATTGCAGATGTAAAATCTCACGTTTGTTCTCGAAGTTTCAACTCATGACATCTTTCTAATCTACCATATTTAAAAGAAAAGCCCTTCAAGAACGAAACTTTTCTCACATGCTTACTTAAATATTTAATATTCAACATCACAACATGAAAAGTTAAGTTTACCTGCAAAATCCCATATTTCAATTCAATATCCAAAAAGTTATATTCTGTTGCATGAGCAGGTCGCTGGGGCATTTGGGGTTGATTTGCTTGGGATGCTCCCGTCGTTGGTGTTGGAAAAGTTACATCCTAAAAGTTATCATTATCTTATAAATATAAAAGTCTCAAGGAGCCCATAAAATAATATTGACTCACATAAAAAGCTAAAATATTTGCTAAACTAGCTAAAACGGGTTCGGTTGCAAAAGCTAATGTTTCGGGACATTCCTCAACTGTATGGATTATTTGTAGAATCTGAAAAACAACAGAGCCTTTGTTGACATTCACTTTTACGATTTCACTCGCTGTATCTGTCTATTTACCTTCGGATGGCGGAAACGCTCTAGATGCTTGACTGACGTTCGCAAAAGTTCCGTCACTGTTTCCTTTCTCTTTGGTTTGTGCAACTTTTCAGCACAACGCTTTTCAAAAAGGAACACAGAACATTCCTGAAAAATAACAATTTTTATCCCCCATTTTTACCTTTTCATTCTCTCCCAACAATGAAACATATAAATTAAATTAAAACTTATTTCATTTGAAGCTACATGCGTATTGAAAACTTCTTCGAAGTCAGGAAATCTAAGCTCAACTTTCGATAAGTAGATAATAGATTTTTTCATGTTATTAAAGAGCAAGTTGAGATTTAGCGGAGGATTTTCTTATTATAACAATGCTTTAAGTTAGGCAGTAAATCTCTCATACGTCCAACTTTTTCTAGGCTAGCATGACAGAATGATGAAAACGAATTGAATTTCATTTTTAATGTAGCAGAAATATGAAAATATGCTGCAAAAATAGACGTAGGAATATAAAACCGTATCATAACATAACAGAATCTGGGCATATAAGTTAAACATGACATTTCATTTTATCTAACTTTTAGGTGAATGAAGATCTACATGGGAAGTGACTAAGCTTAATTCACAATGTTTCATGAAAAGATATGAAAAGGAAAACCTTCTTTAATATCATGGAAATAAATTTAAATATATTTCAAATAGTAATCATTAAATTAAGAAGTTAAATAAAGTAAGAAATTTTCTTCCACATCGTGGTAAATGCTCATGAATTATAAAAATGGTAAGATAATAAAAGTTGGAACGAATAAAATTGACTCTGTTGAATATTTTCATTTTATCTCTTTTCAAAAAAAAAAACAAAGTAGGTAATCGACTTTCACTTTTGAGATGGAAATAAAATTTATTTTCAGGAATTTGAGAGAAGTCGACTATTTGAACCTAAAGAAACAAGAAAACCTTTTTTAACTTGTTGCTTTAGCTTTCGATGCATGCTTTCATTGAAATGGTTGAAAAATTTCCAAAGGGATATTGAGGACTTTTTTTAAAAGGAAAGTATTCAACCGCACCTGTTTTATTCAGGTTTTTGCTTCTGTAACTTTTCACTTAGATATTTTTTATATTGACAGTTTTCCCTTTGATTTTCTTTACACGATAAGGTTCAAACTGTTCACCAACGTGATGATTTGAAACCCGAAAGTGATAACCATTTGTAGATGGCTAGTTTAACAACCAAGAGTAAAATTTATAGCCAAACTCAGGAAGTACCCTAACACATTATACATATTTATGATGCTTACACATGCTGCAAATGATTGATGGGTGATGATTAGGAAAAGTATGTGAATCACATAATTCACGTGTGTTTATATCTCGTGAAAAAAAGCTTAGAAGCTTCATAGAAAAGAGGAAAATAATCTTACCTTTCCATCGCTCTTACGATATGCGTCGTGTACTTTCCAAATCAATTCAGGTCCAGCACAAGCAACAGGTTTACCGATTTCAAAATATTGGGTAATGGGATTGGCATCGATGGGATTCTGTGGTGCTTGGTTTCCACTTTTAAATTTGGAAAACATGGTGGCCGCAGGCATCACATTGGATTTAATTAAATGATACAGGTTAACGTAATTTTTATTATTATTTTCCACTTTTGTTTCTTTTAATTAACTACAACTTAATCGAGAACTTAATTCCTTTTGATATTATAAATATGATATCACAATGTAGTATTTTCTACACACTCTTTGTTTAGATATATTTTTCTTCAATGTTATTTGCTTCACTTCTCCTGAGCACTCCTATAAAACTTGTATTTTCAAAAAATGATGATCGACGAGTTATAGTATGTTGTAAATTCATCACAGAATTGAGTTAAAATTATTTCCATTTCCTTTAAAAAATATATCATAATCAGAAAAAAAGTCGATTAATTATTTTGTCGAATTATTTATAGATTTTTATATTAAAATAATCTCATAATCGATTAGATATGATTTTTCAGCTCCTTTTGTAAGTATATTTAGTTGCTGGAAATGATTGAAAGTAATCACTTTAGTTTATTATTTTGCTGTTGGGAGAGCCCTGAATTTTATTTATAGAAATCTGTGCACATATTTAATGTATATAAAAAAATGATTTCATCATTAAACATTAGAATTATTCTATATTGTATATCATTATGTTTATAGCTCTATTCAACATGTTGAATTCTATCCCATTGCACCACACTTAGAAGTTTGAAAAGTGTAATCTTGATTATGTTTCAATTTAGCATACCAACCGCTGATTAATTTTCTAATCAATAATTTAACTTCCAAACTCCTTTAAATATGTAGCTTTAGCAACCAGTTAGATAAACACATATATTTGAAGAAACAATATGAATTTAATATAATCGTTCAAGGTCATGCATAATGTTATGATGTATCGAAGTGGTTAGGTTCAATTTAAAATTTTCTTTTATCTATTTATTTGTTTTTATCGACATTTTCTTTTCACTTCCAAGCAACTTGAGTTGGGATTTTCGTTAAATATTTTTCTGAGCAATTCTTTTTTGTCAACTCATCACTTTACGACAATTTATTATCTTTAAACTCATTGTACAACACAAATAAAAAGTTAAATGAAGATCCTTGTTTATTATGAAATTTAAGGAAATGTAGAAAAAAAGAACGACAATCGAGGGTTGAATTATGAAAACATAATAGGGAAAGATTTTCTGAGTTCAATTATCTCAATCTTCATTGAACGATGAATAAAAAATTATTAAAAATAATCACCCAATAAATTAAAATGCTTTCAATATTTAAAAACCAGAAAAGATGTTTTGGATTGATAGAACAAAGTAAAGGTTTTGAAGGTGACCTAATATATTTTTCCTTATTTTTCCAAATTCAGTATTAAAGTATTATCTATCTGGAAAACTTGAAAATTTTAAAACATGTTTACCGATTTCTTTTTTCACTTCTTTATTCCCCGGAATTCACTTGTAGACTGAAAATTTACAATGAGCTTTCCGTGGGAAAGTGCAAAATATCAGGGGAAGTTTTTCGAACATTTAAGGGGAAAATATATTTTTATTCTATGAATCCCGCTGTGTAATATTTAGTCGAGAGTGAACTATCTTAAGGCAACAAGTTTCTTCGTCTTTGTTAAAAGATATTAAACATACTTACGTATACATTTTATATATCATACATAATATTGTGGAAATCTTTACTGCTTGAGTTGCTCACAAGCAATTATGCAATTATGACAAGTATGACAAGTATGACAACGACATGGCACATAATGAAATTTCTCGCCTTATCTACGATCGGAAACGTTCAAGGTTATCTCAATATAATGACTGAACTAGATTGTTCATGTACGATTACATGGTAGATAACAATTAGGTATGTTTGGGGGTTTGTTTTCTTTTGTGGATGAAATTGTCCTCAATATTTAATTGTATCTCAAAAAACCATTTCTCGTACCATGACTAAGAAGAAGATTTCCCAATAGCTTCAATCTATGTAAGAAACGAGAAAGAAGTGCTTTTTTCATAATAATTTATGAATAAACCATGTTTGTATAATTAATTATTTACTTTTTCTCTAAACATTGGTTTTTGCCGCTGGAATTAATCAACGATAAAAGCAAGAAAACGATAAAAGCTTTTAAAGCCGAAAAGGAAATTCATTAAATTCAAATTGATTAATGTTTGTAAGCGTTCAAGAATGAATGAAATTTTTTGTGTACAGGATTGCTTTTTTTATACTTTGTAGATACCTAAGCAGAGTTGTTTTGTATTTTGAGGATGTCAACAAAATAAATGTTTCCATCAACCCTTGAAATTATTGATTAAAGCACTTGACTAAATTAATAAAAAACTTGTTTGTACTAAAGAAAATTTAAAGGCGATAAGAATACATTTTCATGGTTTAGAGCTTTGCTACATAGGAAAGATAATCTGTTGTCATAACAGATTGAAATTCAGGTCTTGTCAACATCACTCTGTAAACGGTCAAAATAGCAAAAACATGTAGGCACCTTTAATAATAAAATTTAGCTGTTTCACTGGAAATTATTTCTGTTTATTAATCAATAAATCATCGTACAAAAATTATTAAAAATATCAACGCCAATCACCATTTTGAAAACTGAGTAACTGTGATGCTAACTAATATTATGCGGTTGCAGATAAGTCTGACCCTAAGTATCTGTTTATGTAACATAACTTAAAAAAAATTAATAATTAATGAAGGAAATTAATCATTTATATAAGAAACGAAGGGATTAAGTAATTTATGTAGATAATTATAAAAACTTTTATTTCAAACTTCTCTCATCTTAGAACTTTTAAAGCTGAACATAAAATAAAATCGGTAAAGTTGTTTAAATTTATTAGTATTTTTCTATCTGTGGCCTTCTGGCCTAGATATTGACCATGAAGGAACGATAACAAGCATTCCTCTTCTCTTTTTTTAACTTGTTACTTTTTCCCATTGAGTTATGTTTTGAAACTTTTCGACCTGTTGAATAAAACTTGTTGCGAATGTGATGAAGTGAGAACTCAAGGTTTTCACGATTCTGCGCAATATTATTCGAACATGTTCTCAAGAGCCAAAAGAAAGTGAGGTGGGGGAGAAAAAGGAAAACATTCGTTAGCTGAATATATATTTTCCAGGTGATTGCTCTCATGCAGAAAATTACATTTTTCCTTTCTCAATCTCTTCATGTCGGAATCAATTCCCACATTATAAATTTTATTCATTCTTGAAATTCCCACATTTTATTCTTTCTTTTATTATTGTGATGCTAGTTTTCTGAGGATTTCCTTTACATGTTATATTGCCACAACAGAATTAACAAATAAACGTTCTGATTACGGTTGTAGTTCTTGTAAACATGCACAAGTTACATCATTTGATTCTAATTCATGTATACGAGTGAATGTCATACATTTTTTTATAATCATAGATAATTCAAGTGAATCATGAAACTGAATTATTCTTTTAAGTTTCTCATATATTTGTTTAATTTTCTCTGGAAATGTTAAAGGTAATATTAGACTTTACTTTAAAAACTTACCTTGAACTGTAGATAGATAGTTAAAACTAAAAACATAGTCAATGTTATTATGTTTCGTGATTGAAAATTTTATTATAAATATTAAATCTTGTTTTCAGTACACGGACACTTAAACTTATGTTTTTCTTTCAGCCATTCAGTGCTTTCTTTAATCTCTTGATCAACATCATTATTGAAACAAAAGCTCAGGATGCAAGAGTTCTTTGAGAGGCATTCCAGGAGATAAATCTTTAAAATTTATTCCGTATTTTCCAGTGGCAAAATCCCATTTAATAGATATTCGAAAGGAAAATTCAATGGATTAATTGATGTGTGTTGAGTGATTTTTGCTAATTCAACTATCTTATGATGAGATTCTTCAGTGAAGCCGGCACTAATTTTGGACTTAAGCTCTTGCATAAACTCTGGTGTACTATCATGTTCTATTTGATCCTTAAGCATTTCGAAAGTATCGAACAAAACTTTTCTTGTCTCGTCATTTAGATCAGTTGTGTCTGGTAAGCCACACACAGCAGAATATAGAAATCTATTGAGTGCTCTGTTAGGAAGAGATTTCATGAATTTAGTAGATTGACACAGGATTTTAATTTTAATATAAATAATTTTAATTATATTTTTATTATTTAAGACATAAACTCACTTGAAATTGACGTTGTTTGTAAACGTGTCATGTGGAATATTATCAGACTCAGACATTAGTTTCATGACAAACGGAAGTTCTTGCGGCTTCTTTTTCCCAGATATCTTCGACATGAATCTCGCAAACTCAAAAATTTCCTTGTCATCTTGATTTACTTTCATTGACTCTTCCACTTTCTTTTGAATATCGATTGATAAATTGTTTACATATTCAATAATCCTTTTTTCTGGATAATCATAAAGGCAACGATTTCTGAAAAAAACAATAACAATAATTTAAAAATGTAGGCATTGAAGCTTTTTTATTAGTTTACGTTTTAATTTTATCTATATTGTCCGGCTCTCCATTGTTTATTTTCAATGCTTTTTCTAAATTCTTCTTGAAAGCTTTATCACAATATTTTCTTGTCACTTTTCCACTTTTAGATTTATGTATGTCAGGTTTATATCTAGAATCCATCTTCAAATCTGTTTAATTAATGGTTTTTTTTAAAACTTTTCGTGTTGCGGCGAACAAATTGTTTGGAAGGTCAAATCCACGCAAGTCGTGTACGACTACAGAATGCTGAAGCGAATTCAATTTTGGCGATAAATTCAAAAGCAACATCTCATGCTCAGACTATTCAAATAGATCATATTGTAAATAAACCTTCAATGAAGTACTAAAAACAGCACACTCGGAAATGTGTGAAAAGCTTGGCGTTGAGACTTTTCTCAATACTAGGTTTTTTATCAAAATAACATTAGAAAGTAGAACAAATGAGATAAGAAAATTTCAAGAAACATTTCAACATTTTTAGAGTCTACCTACTTATTATGGTGATTTTAAAATTTTATCACTTTTAAGGAAGTAGGTTTTTCTCTTTTTTCGATCATTTCTGTCTGACGAAAACAATTAAAATTTGTTGTACGAAAATACATAAGTAATATTAAGTGTCGTTTTTATTTACTTGTTTTCAGAATGAGAGAAAACAAGTTCTGTGTTTTTTGTTGAGTCAGTTCTAAGTGGTTAATCATAGGCGATGGTTTTACATTAAATCGGTTTTTACTTGTTTTTTCGCGCTCTTCTCTCAAATTTTGATATGATTTTCTGATTAAGCTTGAAGTGTCAATTTTACATGTCTAAGTTTAATGAATGTTTTGGTAACTTGAGAGTAATATTTGAGAAAATCATCCAGAATGTTTGTACAAAGTATCTGAAACTGTGTAGGTATAAAGGTGTTCAAACACAGTGAAACTTCAAGAACTTTAAAGCAATAAACACAACAAAATACTGAAGCAAAAATATCAAAGAAGTAATTTTTTCGTTGTAAGTGATTCTTTGCAATCCGTTCTAGATTGTGAAAAAGTATGAAATTGAATTGAGGAAATTTTGATGTTTGTGATGTCTAGTTTAAATTTCAAAGCAGAAGAAAAATTAAAATATTTAATGGATAATTCAAATGACTCCAAAGCAATAAAAGATCATTCAAGCTTATGTGATTCATCAACACATACGAACTCATCAGAAAATTACTCTCAACAATGCAAAAATAATGATGATGATTTTGAAAGTGAATCTTCAACAGTTTATGATTCCGATACTGAACAGCTAGAAATTGACTCAGTTCCAAAAGTATGTCAGGTTTATGATGACGAAAAAAATATTTCACAATTTGGAAATGTCATAATCATTGATCAAAAGGAAGAAAATAATAAAACAAGCCCTAAATTCGAATCAGTTTCTATTCATAATTCATCTGACATCCAGATTGGAAACAAAACCTTTTATAATGGGCCAGTAACAATTAAACAGTTCTTAGTAGACGACAAAAACAACAAGTGGGTAGAAAATCAAAACTTTGACAACAAATCTGAGCTATCTTTAGAAGGAATAATAAATAAGGGATATGTTGGTGAGAATTTCAAAAAGATTGTAAAATAATCTGAACAAATAAATGATATCACTTCTCAGTTTCGCAGAATAATGTGATTGAATCGCCTCTCACAAAAGACAAACATAATAAATGTGGAAATGAAATTTTAAAACTCAGAGAGTCTGGGCTTTATCGCAAGAATGTTTATTTAATATTATTAACAGCGATTTGCTCTATGATTGGAATAATCTTGCTTAGATTTTATGTCATGAAAGGAGAAGATCTTAAACATGGAATTGTTTTGGGTGACGGTGACGATTCAAGAAAAAATATTGCAATTAATTCCACCATAGGATCAGATTTACTGCTTGGAAATGTGCTAAGAATGATATCAAGAGATGAATGGCTTGCGCAGCCAGCGAACAACGAATTGTCAAATTTAATTTTACCAGCGAAAAGAGTTATTATAGCACATACAGCTACAGAACCATGCGACACTCAGGTACATCATAAAATAAATTTGAATAAGTTGTTAAAATAATATTGCGTCTTTTTCCAGGCATCGTGTACATTGAGAACTCGATATATTCAAACCTTTCACATGGAAAGTAGGAGTTGGGATGATATTGCATATAATTTTCTCATTGGTGGTGATGGTGCTGTATACGAAGGCCGTGGATGGGACAAACAAGGAGCGCATACAAAAGGTTTACACGCTTCATAAATAATTCTCACATAAATATATCGAAGATGAATTTAAATTTCTGTTTCAGGTTATAACGTTGGAAGCATAGGAGTTGCATACATTGGAACATTCACCAAGAAACTTCCAAATGAGAAGCAAATTCATGCAGGTTTCTTACTTTTTAAAGAAGGTGTTCGATTAAAAAAACTTCTTCCTGATTACAAAATATATGCTCATCGTCAGTTGATTCCATCGGAAAGTCCAGGAGCTGCATTCTATGAGATCATTAAAAAATGGGATCATTGGGCATCAGATGCTCCTGAAATACTATAAAAAATTAGAATAGTAGTAACAAAAATCAACTTGAGTTTAATCAATGAACTTACAATTCGATAAATATGTGATAAATACATTTCTTTTCTTACTTAAATATATAAGCTATCAGTTGTAAATACATTTGCGAATATTGATGGATTGAAACGTTCCGAAATTCTCAATAAATTTGATAAGAACTACATTGGTATATCCAGATGTTGAGACTTTTTTATTTTCAGTGATCTATATAAAAATCTGATTTTTGATTCCTTGGATAATCGATCGATTCAACTTTTGAAAGTATATTTTATGAAATTAAATTGGTTTTCAAAATATTCTCAAATTATTCTTAAATTCAAATCCAAACCTCTGCCGTAGACTTTCAAGTCTTATCGTTTAATCGATAATAAACTTGATAGCTTCCACTCTCACAATACAATTGATAAAACCATTGTACTTACTTTCAATTCAGTCATGTATTTGAATTGAAATAAGCTGCATTCATATTTTTAATTCTTTCATAAGTTAAGATTGAAACAAACAATTAATAATGGCATATTTAAATTCAGATTCAAATTCAATAAAAGATATTGAATCACATTGGAGGCAACCGAGTGAAATATTTGATAATTTTTTTGACTCGATAAGTAATTATTCAGAGTCAACTGTAGCAAATTCAGAGTTCGTTGCAAATCAAATTCGTAAGTTTGAGAACGATCAAACTCTTCCATCACAAAAGGAATTAAATAAACCACAAACAGTCTTCAACTTGCACATTGATAAATTTGTCATTGATGGAAATAAGGACGGAGGTAATAAACACGATTTTTTTAATAAAAAAATTATTTTAATACACTAATCTCTTATCTACAAAGGTAGTTTGAATGCTGGAAAAAATTCATCGACAGAAGCAGTTAATATAAAATTCAAAACTTTTGACACTCTGAAAAAGAGTCAAACCAAAAAATCTCCCATTCAATTTGTTAAGGCATTCTTTTCAAATCGTTACATCGCAATATCAGTTTTTCTTCTGCTTGTTCTAATGATAGCAACATCCACGTCATTTCTTTTACTGTCCAAAGATGATTCCGAGTCAACAACAACAACGACATCAACCTCGACCACAACCACACAAAGTTCAACTCAATCAACATCAACAGCAGAAGAACCCACTTCAACTTCAGAAAGTTCATCATCCGATGATCCAACGACCACTACAATATCAACATCAACAACAACTACGACAAGAACAACTACATCTGAACCAGAATTTGAGCTTAATATAATTAAACGAAGCACATGGTCAGAGGAAGGACTTGGAATTCAGGGAAAATATAAACAAATTTCCCCTCTATCAAAAATCATAATATTGAATACCAAATCAAATGATTACACTCATTTTGTATGCATAAAATTAGCTTTTATTATCTTCATATTAATTTCGAAATCTCAAATTTCAGATGTCATCTACAGAGTTTTTAATAGATCACCAACAAAATTCTTATCCAGAATACGATGATTTGAAAGAAAATTTTATTGTTGCATTAGATGGGACAATTTATGAAGGAAGAGGTTTTTCACATGAGGGACAGACAACATTTGATTCTTTAACATCATATAATAACAAAGCTGTCGCAATTAACTTTCTTTTGACTGAAGATGATCAAACACTCAACTCTATACAAGAAAAAGCATTTTGTAAATTTCTTGAAGAATCGATTTCAACCGGATCTGTGAAGGAAAACGCAACAATTTTCCATCATTCATCGCTTTTGAAATCTTACTTTGAGACATTTGAAATGCCAAATCTGGATTGTAGTCAACTTGAAAATGTAGAGTGGAAAAAATGTAAGTTTTGATTTATTGATAACGAGTGTTTTTAATCATGATTTTGTAGCTTTGAACATTTTCAAAAGACGAGACTGGAATGCATCCGAATTTCCTCCAGATTTTGAACCAAGTCTTCGAAGAAAAGCGACAAAGTTTCGTGTCACAAAAATGGAAGTAGATGAATCTGTTTGTGATTCAATGGTAATTAATATCTTTGAAATTTTATCATTTAAATTTCTAGGGATTCATTTCAATTTCCTAAAATTCAGGATTCTTGTTCAAATTTTATCAAAGATTTGCAAACATCTTATGAAAATGAATTTGATGATGTTCCTTACAATTTCGTGATTACCATAAACAATTTCATTTTTGAAGCATTAGGTTTCGATATAACATGTCGTAAGTAAACAACTAAAATTCAGTCAAAACTTGTCTTTAAATTTTTATTATTTAAATTATAGCTGGAAGTTACGAGAGTATTTGCATTTTATATGTTGGAAATGATATTTCAAATGAAATAATTGTTGGAAAAATTGCAGAATTTATCACATTTGCTATAGATTTAGAGAAATTATCTCGTAATTTTGAAATTACCTATGAGACATTAGATAATAATAATAATAAAAAAATAATTAATTAATAAAATTAGATTTTGAAGATATTTGAGAGATGTTTTTCTACTCCAATATGAGTTTCTAATCATAGCGAGATTCAAGGTAAGATTAAATTTATCTTGTCTTTATCTTGTATTAAATATGATCTTGTTACAAATTGAAAATGAAATTTAAGATTAACTTTCTGTGTGTAGATATGATTTTTGAAATGAGATGAAAAGAGAAAAAGTCTATCAATATTTCACTAACAAGTTCTGTATTTTAGTCGATGCACGTGTTCTATGTTGAACTTTTATTGTAAGCACGTTGCTTTACCGGCCAATATATTTAAATCTTTTGACAGTCAGACATAAAAGCGTTCATGATCCCAATTTAAGTCACAAGCTAACGCGATTTTTTTTGTTGACTTCAATTCGCTTCGATAATTATCTGCAAGTTTATTAAATTATTTTTTAAATAAAAGTTTTTAAAGCTATTTAAAATGGATAAATTAGATTTTATTGCTATTAAAGATATAAGAGGAAGCATGAAAAATATTAATGTCATGTTTATTGTATTGGAAGTAGTGGCAACGACAAAAACAAAAGAAAATCGAGAAGTTTATTCCTTTAAAGTCGCTGATCAGACGGCTTGCATCAACTGCTCAATTTGGGATGAACCGGGAAAGCTACTTCAACCTGGTGATATCGTACGCATGATGAAATGTTATTCACAAATTTGGAGAGGATGTTTGACCCTTTATTCTGGAAAATCTGGGGAAATCATAAGAGTTGGCGATTTTTGTATGATTTTTAACGAACAGCTGAACATGAGCGATCCATTGCCACTCCTTTTAAATACAGCACAACCAACCATACCAACTGTAAATAATGGAACAAACGGAAATGGAAGATCTCAGATTGGAAACTCATTAACTCCTCAAATATCAGCGCAGTCTCTTCCTTCAGTTGCATTAGCTAATAACAGTTCCACTAGTTCAACTGGTGATAATATAAAACCTAAAGTCACAAACAGTAATGCGAGGAGTTATGTCAGAAAACCACTCAACAAAAAATAGAAATTGAATTAAAACCTTCAATTAGATAAATAAACAAAAATAAATTTTTAAGACAAATTAAAATTGAAAACTTTTTATATTTTTTTCATTTAGGAATTTGGTTTCAGAAGACGGATAAGATTTTTCCTCTAATGCTTGAACTTCCTATTTTTTCACATATTTTTAAAAATTCCTTTTATTGAGAGTTTACCTACTTGGAAAAAGCAACGAACATTGAAGTCCTTGGTAAAGTTCAATCGGTACTTGAATCGATGTTTGAGCCAAATCAAACCCTGAACCCTTAAATAGCGTAGTAATTTTTATTTTCTTAAGTGTTCCCTTGAATTTTTTCCTGCAACAACGCATAATTGAAAAAAATTGTTTTCGATTTATTATAGATTAGTTTCAAGCTTCAAGATGGATTATGATAAATTAATCTGCAATTATAAAGATTGTTATAAAATTCTTAAAGAAACCGCTTATATAACATTCTGTTCTCATATATTCTGCAATGATCACGGTTGGTGGCAACCAATTTAAATAATGTCAAATTATATCTAAATTCGGTTCAATTTCTCCAAATCTTAGGACAAAAGTTGAAATCATGCCTCAGTAATGGCTGCTTCGCCTGTAAGGGAACCCTGATGGATCACCAAATACTTCATACGAACTTGAATGTTTCCGGTGACACCAAAAAGGTAATTTGAATAGGTTAATAAAATTTAACTTAAACTAGGCATTTCTCATTTATGGTTTATAATTTCGATTAAAAGCTCTTGTTATGTGGACTTAGTCCAAAAGTTATTCTAGAAGTTGCAAGTAGTGCGTTAGGTTTTTGGAGTCATCAAAAGAAACATGAGAATTTGGACTTGAAACGGCAGCTCGATCATTACAGGTTTGTTTGAAAAGAGAAAAATTGGGTAGTTTAAATTTTATAAAAATTTAATTCCACAAAATTTACAGAATGAAATTACAGACCCAAACTAAGCAACTTGATGAAAAAGATTCAAGAATCTTCAACCTTCTCAAGGATATTGAAAGAATTGAAAGTGAAAATCGTTTTCTGAAAGCTGATCTTGCTTCCAAAACCGAATGTATTCAAAAAGATCTAGAAAAGCAGAAAACGAAACGATCCCGTGTTGATGATCAATTTGAGATTTGAAGTAAAAACTACATTTAAATTAACTATGAAATCTTATTAAAATTAAAAAAATGTATTAAAAATTGTTCCATAAAATAAAACACATTTTCAAGAAATTCAAATTCATTAAGAACTGGGTACGACAGTGATAGCCATTTTTCACAAATAGGTATCTCATAACCAGTCAACTAAATTATTTTTTCCGCAATTCAAAACAAAATTGAAAATGCAGGGTCTAGGTAGTAAAGAAGGATTTTCGCTTCATCATCGGCTCTTTTGCTTCATTTTTCGCTTCATTACTTCATTTTCGCTTCCATAAACATTGAAAAATTGCCCGCCCGATTTTCATACAAAGTGGTAGCAAATAATTTGTCCGAAGCTGATCAGTTGTCCGAAGCTGATTTAACACTCTCCGCCTGAAACTAACTAAAGAACTTATTTATAAAAGAGAACACTTTGAAAGTGAAACACAACAAAATCAACTGAAAACATTTTCAGAATTTGTTATTAAAATATTTTTATTTGAATCATGTTAATTTAAACATAAACTTAGTATTATAATTAATCTACATCGTTTGTTTTGTTGTGACAATATAATATAGTGTAGTGAAAAACTGAAACAATTCTAAAAATCGGACGAAATTTAAAAACTTTCATAATGTCTAGCATCAAATCAAGGAAATCTCGATTTAATTCATTCGAGTTAAGTGATTCTGAACAATCAACTCAAAGTCTTACAAATATGATTGTTGATCTCCAAAAGTTTTTCCCATCGATGCCATTAGATTTCACAGAAATTGATTCAATGATAGAGAATTCAAAACAAGCAGTCAAAGAAGAAGAATTTCCGGATATACAAATCTACAATATAAAATTAATTAGTAATATTCGAGCTAACATGGTTTGCATTGAAGCATTAAAAAGTATAAGATCGGTGATGAAGGAAATAAGACAGAATGTGGCAGAGACAAATTGGGATCTCTTAGTGACGAATGGATTCAAAGTTCAGGCTTATCATTCATTTGTTTATACTCTAATGAAACTTATTGAAGTTGTACCTGATGATAAAATTAACAGAGACTTAGCATTTAATGCTGGCCGAACATATTTCATGCTTCTTGCCTTACCAGGAGCTAAACGATGCCTCATATGGGATGAAAGACTAGTTTTGGAATTCTTCAAACTTTTTGATTTTGAGCCATCAAGACAGGAAGATAAGCGCACGTCCTCTCATGATTATGACGACCGTTTTATAGAAATTCAAATCATCCAAATGCTCAATGAATGCCAAATTGTTTTCAACATTGTCTGTTTGAGTGACCAAGAAAATATCTTAGAGAAATATCTCGAGATGTTAAAGAGTACTCTGAGTAATTTCATGTCAAATACTACACAATCAGCTTATGACATTTTAATGAAGTGCTATGAAAATCTAGAAGCTTTATGTCTCTGGCCATTACCAGATAAAGAGATTGAAAAGGCAACTTATCTGATGTTTTGTAGGACATTAGAACTTCATTTCAAGACACCAAAAAATTTTAATCGACATTCCAATACAAAACATGGCGTGTCGATCTCGGAATTTAATCTTTATCTACTTAAAACTTATCCAGAAAAAACCAAAAACATAATATTAAAATTTATAAAATCGATTTTATCCAATCTCAATCATAAATTTGAAAGAGAACATTTTCAAAAGCTTTTGGATATAGCTGTGAAATATGAGCAAACAATTTATTACCAGTTTAATGAATCGATTGTCGACTACTTGGAGAAACTTGTTTTAGCTGCCGACCATCGACAAAGATTAAATGGAACAGAATTTTGCGGTAAAATGTTATTGAAAGGTACTCAGAATGATGGAAGTCAACAATTACTTCACATCAATGACATTCCTCGAGAAGTTTATTTAATTAAAATGCTTTTCGATAAAGTTTGCGACAAACAAGATAGTGTTAAACTAAAAGCATTGACATCAATTAAAGCAGCTTTATTAAATGGAAATGACAATTGCAAGAAGATTTTTGATGTTTTTTTAAAAAATAATTTAACAGAAGACAATCCAGAAATTGTAGAAATTCTCCAGGAATCATCGAGAGATTTTCAGAACAATTTATTGTCGCTTCTTCAGAGAAGTTCATCAACTTACATCAGAAGAACTTGTCTGGAAATTTTAGGTACGTAGTCAAATACAAAATTGTGAAAAATTTATTTAATAAGTTTTAATATTTTAGGACAAAACTGTGAAGAACATCTCAACAATGAAATCTTTTTTGAAACTTTGACAATGCTCAGTGACGATTCTTCATACCTGGTTAAGATTCAGCTTATTGAAGTTGTTAATTTCTTGATAGTCAAACATCCAAAGAATAAAAATATCCTCGAGGTATGGTTGGAAGTTATACTAAATTTAGCTAGAGATAATGACAACAAGATTGTTGATGCGTCTGTTAAGTCATTAACTGAATTGTTACAAAGAATAGAATCATTCGAAAATACTTTAAATGACTTGCATATGCTTCCTTGGACTATAATTCGATTGATAATGGCAAGAGGCAAGAGAAATGTTCTTAAAAATGCTATCAATAACGTAACAACAAAAATTCTTTCACAAGATAAACTCAGAAAAATCGAAACTCATATTTTTACTTCTCATAAGACTGAAGCTTGGTGCATTCTCTCCATTGTTGCTAAAAGAATGAAATCTAACAATCCTGATATTGTTGTGAAAACTTTTCTCGATCAAGTTGATCATCTTGATGATGTTTCGTACGATTCTTCTGATTTTTATTTAATTCTTGAAGTCATTCATAATTGGATAGAAAGTTTCAATGATCATTCAAAGACACAAATTGTGAACAGCATCGAAAGAGTTCTAGAATCTGGTAGATGCAGTATCAGCTTTGTAAGTCATCTTTATGAGACTTGCTGCTTAACTCGATCCACTTTGTTCACAAAAGACGAAAATTTGAAGTTTATTGAACATTCGAATGAAAGTTCACTGAATCAAGTTATAAATAATCTTGAAAGCTTCTCTTCAAGTTTGTCTGATGAAAAAGTTTTAAATTTTATGTTGCTTTATTGTGAAACAAACACAGATCTCTCTCAACATCCAGACCAAAGAATTATTACCTTTTTATTTGAGTTTTTGAAGAAAGTTGTTAATGGTGACATAAACATTACAACTGAAAATGATGTGTCAAGAAAACTTAACTGTTGCATTATAATTTTGACTAGATTTGCTGTGAGAGATGCTGAACTTGCTTCTGAATTATCACCAAAATTAGGAATGTTACTTCGTAAATTATCCATGCATATTCGAGTCATTAAAACTTCTATTCAATGTCTTAATGATCTCTGCAAGAAGCATACATCAACTGTTGCCCCCATCTTCAATGAAGTCATTTATAAACTTCAGTCTTCAAATGAAGAGATTCGTTTATGTGCTTTGGCAAATATATACGACTTGGTAATGCAAGACTTCATTAAGATGAAAGGTCGCGTTTTATTGAACTTCCTAGCTTGTCTTGTCGATAAAAATGAAATGATTCAAATGAGAAGTCAAGCAGCAATTTTAAGTTACACAAATGACAAAAATCCAAATCTTTTGTATACTTGCTTTATTGAATCTGTTTTTCTTTTTAATGAGTTCATCCAAACTGAGACGTTTGGTGTGTTTCCACTTGATGAAATTGATCGAAACCATCATTTGTTGTATGGAAATGATAAAAAAGAGCAACGATATGAACTTTATCACTTTTTCGTTCAGAATATTTTTGATTTAAATGAAGCACATTTGTTGATGTTGTTAAAGCAAATTATTGTTCTTAATGAGAAGTTTGAAAAGAAAAAGATAAAAAAGGAAGAAAATGGAATTCAAGCATTTGAAGATTTGTTATATATTTTTAAACTTATTTGTAATAAGAGTGAGGAATGTAAGTTAAATATGAATAAGACAAATGACAATCCTGAATATATTGACAACGATCATGCTGATGAAGTGCAGCAGACAAGCACATCAAAGGCGAAAGTCGACAAAAAAGGCAACAAAATGACGCTCAACGACGTCACGCCAATTTTGGAAAAAATGATTTTAATATATCCATCATTTGCCAAACACATGATTAATTATGATGAAAAGTTAGAAAAAGATGTTGACGAATTGACAGCAGCAATTGTGAGAAATTTCGCTCCACTTGTTGAGTATTCTGCTCAAGCATCTTTCTGGAATATTTCTCAAGAGAATAATAAAAAGAAAACAAACAGAAATAAGAAACAGAAGCAACTCAGAAAAACAACTGTCAATGAAAATGTTAGTGAAAGCAGCAGTGATGAAGATAGTTAAAATCATTTTTATTAAAATTTAAAATTTATTAAAGTACGTGTTCAATTTAGAATAAGTTGTTGAAATTGGAGTGACATGAATGTTTTGATATTCACATAACTAGACATATTTTTTAATAAAGCAAGTTAAAGGCATTTCTCGTGTTTTTTTTGCAGATTGCACTTAAGCTGATCCTTAGCTATAAATTTAATAACATAAACAAATTTTATGTTTTAGTATCGTCAAGGGAAAGTCCAACCTTTTCCATTAATTCACTTAATTTTTTCGCTTTTCTATCTTCATTATGTGCTATAATTGTGTATAAATGTTCAGTCAACATTTCCTTTTTTTCGTGAGCTTGATAAAGTTCCTGCTTTGCTTTCAAAAAATTTTTTTCAATCACGTTGTAAGTTTTTTCCGTGTTATTAAAATGTAATGTGGCGGTTTCAATTTGCTTCCTTAAAATCAAAACATCAGTCGCTAATTCTGAATCAAGTTGATCAAGTGCAACTTTTATCTCATTGAGTTTCTTTGCTTCCGCTTTTGTTTTCTCCGTATGCTTACTGATAGCTTCATGAAGAATATTCCTTTTTATTTTATTTTGCTCTTCCATCAATTTTCTGTTGATTTCAAAATCTTGTATCCTGTTTAACTGGGCTTCTTGTGAGATTACATCGGGTGTTAGAATTTTAACTGGAGGCACTTTTGTGACCGGTATTGTTGTTCCATCAATCGCAGGTAGATTTGACGCTGTGCTTATATCGATTATATTCTCATCCACTTGTTGCTCTTTCACCACACATTCTTTACCATTTTCACTATTAGATATTGTGTCATCACCATTCATATATTTATGATCTTCTTTGTCATTGACTTGTTTTAATTTTGTGTGACACGGAACTTTTCTGGCAAGTTTAACTAAAATAATTTAATAAATATCTTTCATATGAGTAAATAAAAATTCATACCATCATGTTTCTTAGTTTTTGCACCAGCTATTCTATTTATTTCATTTTGGGAAAATCCTTCAAAAGACATTTTATTTTTTTTAATGTTTTTGATGATCTCGTCGTCGTCGACAGATCTGTTTATGATATGATCAAAGGAGGGCTAGGAAATGTCACATATTACCGGTTTATGCGGAAACATCACAGTATTTTATTGTGAAAGCCTTAACATTTCATTGTGCTTCTGAGATGATTTAAAAAGTTTCCGCCTTTGATTTCGATTCTTGATATAACAAAACATCCGATGCATTTTGTTTCTAAGCTCTGAATAAAAACAATCTTTGGAAGAAAGTGTTCAACCCCTTTCATGTTTACAATCCAAAGTATGTTTAAAAAACTCTCATAAGCAAAGAAAATGAATGCATTGTATAAATAAATGATTAACTTTAATAAATGCATAAGTTTTGTTGTTGATAAATTTACTCTGTTAACATGAATATTCTATAAATCAATAAATTGGAAATTATTTGGATATGCCGGTAGACATCAAGAAATTAACATGAAAAATTCTTTATTTCCACGTACCTTCTCTTACCGAAGCTATCGAATTAAGAAAGATTTTTGTCGCTGTTTTGCAAATTGATTTTAAATAACTTGTGTATAACATAAAAACAACAGTAAGCCAAGTGTTGGACACAAACATAACTGATATTTAAAATCATTATAAATTTATACATCTTTTTCAATTTTATTCAAACTTTTCAATGCGAAAATTCAAACAAGAATTAGAAGTCAAATAATAAATAGATTTAAGAAAAATTAAGATTTGTTGATAAAATGTTCCTTTTTCTTATTGTAATATAATTTACTTGTCATTTAATATGCAGTAACTAAGCAGCAGCAAATTGGTGTTCAAATTAATAATTTATCAACATGTTTTCTTCTTTAGATTATTCAAGTGAAACATTTTCATATATAAATTGAGTTTATTATCAATCTAAGCCTCAATTCGATTCGAATCATCATAGTGCTAACTTGTATCAATTTAAATATCCGTAAAAATAATAACAAGCAATGTCAGTGCCATTCGTTACATTGAAAAACGGTCAGAAAATTCCAGCACTTGGTTTGGGAACATGGAAGGTGAGTTTAAAATTTCTAGAAAATTCTTACATAAGTTTCCTCAAAACTATTGAATTGCTACATTTCTCTTGAATTGAGGTCAACTTTTTGAAAATTACTTTGTCATTTTATTGTATCATTGATTGATAAGAAAGTACTTAAAGCAATAAACTTACATTTAATAGTCACCACCTGGACAAGTAGAACAAGCAGTTAAAGACGCTATTGATGTTGGTTACCGGCACATCGGTAAATGAATCAATTGAATCTTTTAAAGCTTTAAATTGAAACTGATTTAATTTAATTTTCGTCAGACTGTGCGTTTGTTTACGGGAATGAAAACGAAGTTGGAAATGCGATTAGCGAAAAGATTGCTGATGGTAAAGTTAAGCGAGAAGAATTGTTCCTCACAAGCAAGTTGTGGAATACATTCCATAATCCAAAGGATGTTAAACCAGCTTTGGAAAAAACTCTCAAAAATTTGAAGACCGATTATTTGGATTTATATCTCATTCATTGGCCGATGGGATATAAAGAAGCCGGTGATGACTTATTCCCAAAGAACGAAAACGGAGAACTTCTGTTTTCGAACGATGATTACGTCGACACTTGGAAGGCAATGGAAAATTTGGTTGATTCAGGCCTCATCAAGTCTATTGGATTATCTAATTTCAACTCAAAGTAATTCTCTTCATACATTCATATCATTTATGTATTAGTGATCTCCAGTCAATTAAAACATATTTATTATACTTTCAGACAAATTGAACGTGTATTGGAAATTGCTCGCATTCCACCAGTTATGAATCAAGTTGAATGTCATCCTTATCTGACTCAGAAAAAGTTGATGGAATTGTGTCGAAGCAAAGGCATTCATATCACGGCATATTCCCCTCTTGGATCTCCCGATCGTCCCTGGGCAAAGCCTGGAGATACAGAATTAATGCAAGATCCAAAGCTTTTGGAGATTTCCAAGAAGTATAACAAATCAGCTGCACAGATTCTTATCAAGTATCAGTTGCAACGAGGTAACATTGTCATTCCAAAATCAGTCACTAAATCCAGAATTATGAGTAACTTTGATGTCTTCAATTTCGAACTCAATGATGGCGATATTGCTGCAATCGATGCTTTCAACATGGGCGGACGTTTCTGTCCTTTGAATTTGTAAGTAAACCCAAAAATATTCATCTTAATTAATAAATTCTTTAACATTCTAACAAGTTCACGTTTTACATTTTGTATACAGTGATGGTCTACCTCAACATCTCCATTATCCTTTTAACATTGAATATTAATGGGAACAGACAAATTGTGACAATCGATATTTCATGTTTGTTTTGTTTTATGTAAATATTTATTCCCTTTGTTCTTCAAATTTTAAAAATTTACGAGCAACATTCATATCAATTGAAATACTTATATGTAAACATTATCACTTGAACTTCAACTACATTTATATTTAATAAGCAAGATTGAATTCACATGTTTGACGTACATACCAAGATATACGTACATTTATGCATGCTTCTAAATATTTATGTAGGTTTTGAAAAATAATCTCATAAATTATGGTAAAGGATTTCAATTTTCAATATAGGAAAGAAAGACAAATAGATAATTAAATGTGTGTGAAGAATTCATTTCTTCTTTTAATAAACAGAAGAAGTTCCTTATAAATATATTTACCACTAATGAAGATCTGAAAAGATATTTCTCAGTTACTATGATTATTAAGAAGAATGAACGTTTGATCATTAATAAAACATTTTAATTTTTATGTTGGGTGAAAGTATTTACATTTAATGATAAATATTTGTATTGGGTAAAGTATGTTTAACAGAAGTCTTTCCAATCAGGTTTCTTTTCTTAGTTTTAAACCATAATTAATTATTCATGTAATTGCCGTTTATAGAGTTACACATCATCCGTTTTATCCATTTGCTGAGGCGTATTAGGATTCATTGCATCAACACAAACACTACGATTTTAAAACAAGGCTCAAGTAAACAAAGAACCAAATTCAAAAAGATTTGCTCCAACTTACAATGTCTTTTAAAAAGTTTTTAAAAAATAATCTACAAAATAATCTACATGGAAACATAAATCTGCATGTCAATAAAATGGATCCGATCAGCAAAATAAAGTCTTTTTATTTATATTGAAGTCTCTTTGATTTTTGAAGGCTTGAATGAAACGAATTTTGCTTCGATGAACTAGAAAAAAATAACAGAGACCATGTGGCAAATCTTGCTAACACTATAAAAAAAAACTTGAGAGTTATTTTAAATTTCTCCTCAAATATATTTCATACACTTTTATAAGGAAATTTAATTTTTGGGTAATTCTAATGTTGTGATGTTTAATTCTTCTCTGAGTTCGAAGATATTTTGTGACCAACGCTTTTCCCAATAAACTGGCAGCAATGGCTTCATTTCTCTTCCAACTTTTACAGCCCATGGTAAATAATGTTTTTTATACATTTGCCTCTGTTTTGGTCTCAGTCTCATTGCTCCAAAAACAGCTCCACCATAACACATTGGAAGTCCAATATTGATAGCTTCAACCCATTTTACAGCAACTTCGCCTGCAAGAAAATTAATGTGTGTAGTAAGAAGATTCAAGAAAGAAAGAATAAATCAAAATACTCACCTAACATATTCGTTGGCATTCCAAGAATTGTATGAATCAAATCGTGAGTTTCTCTGTAACGTGTCATTACATAAGCAAGTTCAAGATCTTCCATGAATCGGACTCCCAATCTAGAATCGGGTGTGACGTTCTGAAATAATAAATGATTAAAATTATTCATTCTCCTTCATATGTATTGCGCCATGAATTACGTTATCTGTTAAAAATTTGTAGTAGTTATGACCCAAAGTATCCGGCGACATATTTTTAAGTTCGTCTAAATTTACAGTTCCCGTATTGATTCTTGGTTTTTCACTTAAAATTGTTTGACCTTCTTCTGAGGTTCGCATAATTTGAACAATTTTATGTAAAGCATCTTCTCCTGTTGTTTCTCCTAAACATGCGATCATGTCATGTCTACGTGGATCAACAAGTGCGGCAAGTGAAGAACCTGCCGTTAACAAAATTTTTTGGAAAGGGGTCATCTTAATTTGATTGTTGAGAAATTCTTTTGCAAATTCATCAAGATTTTCTTCTTTCTGCATAATTTCATCTTCATTATTTTCATTACTATGTTGAGATACTTCGTGTTGCTTGAAGCTTTGAGTTGCAATGCTTCGTTTATGTGTGGAATATAAAGATCGAATATTTCTTGAAATCATCGCAAATTTTGTTGAGCCAATCATTTTCTTAATCCTATAAAATTAACGAGAAAGATTCATTCTAGAATGAATTTATTTATGTTTGTATTTAAAAACAAGATGAAATGGTGAAATTAATAATGAAAATTATTTTAGAAAAAAGAGTTCAACAGCATGCGAATCATAGCCCAACCAGTTTTATAACCAATATTTGTAGACATAAAGCAGACTTGAATTAGCATAATTCATTATCGAAAAATACAAAAAAAGCTACCTTGATTTTCCTCGCTCATTATTTTTTTTACACGGACTCTTGTTCAATCATTAGTTGAAAATGATGCAATATTTACTTAATCATTTTGTGACCTCATGAGACATGATTGAACTGTGAACATCTTAGTATGTGAACAACGCATTTAATGATAAATTGCCTTTAGAAATAAGAAGATAACTTTTTTCTGTTTAAAGATTGTTGAGACTCCGACTAATTGATAACTTCTTAAAGATAAACAAGACGTTTCTTTTTGTTTTAAGTAAACATATTTTATTGAAGTATGAATATAAATGAAGCTTTAGGCTTTAGATGTTATTTTCGATAAATTCTATAAATTCGTGGATATCATCACATAATAAAAACTAAAATTATTAGATATAAAATTGAAGAAAAAAACTTCGAGTTATCATTTCTTGATTTCATTTTTATTTTCTTGGACACTGCAAGGACACCTTAATATCTTAACATTATTTTCAACAGTAAGTAACTAACAATGCTTCACTTTCTCAAATTGAAGAAATAAATGAACATTTACATCTTCACGTCTGACTTCCTTTAAAATAAATTTATATACACCATGTGTAAGTATGTGGTAAATAGATATAACAAATGGCATAATTTGCAGTAATCATCATTTATGTGTTAATATATTTAAAGATACTTGATTTTATTTTCGTCATCAATTAAATTGATCTTTTTTTTTTCGAGATTTCCATTCTCTTGTATTATCGTAAAGTTAAAAGAAACTACACGTAAGAATTGTGTACTTATATACAATAGTTCTTTGGTATTTTACTAATGCATAGATGATTTCGAATTATAAAGATGAAATTGATTGAATTTGTTATTTATTTAAGTAAAATTTTAAACACACCTATGTTGACGCAAAGGATAAGTAAGCGAAGCTAATGCAAGGCCAATCAAGTCATTTTTGAATTTCAACTCAGACGATTGCACACAAGAACCAATTAGCCCCTAAAGACATAGTTTCATCTTAATACTTATAAATTATGCTAATTTTCACGAAGATACATAAGATGAGAATCTTTTAAATTAAAGCATCCAGATGCATCTTTATAGTTTTTGAAAATATAAACTTAAAGGAATTGCGAATATAAAAATGATCATATAAAGATGAACAAGACGTCTGACGGGGCTACAAAATTCATTCTTTTGTATACATACGTATGTCTAAGTTAAGTTTTTTTATATTTTCAAGTTCATACCATTCTTATACCATAAGTATTACTAATAGTACTTAACATTTTCTTTCGTCGTCGTATGTGCAAACAGACAACTGTGATAACTTTGAATTGTTTCTTAAATGATCTTGAAAATTCCTTTGAACGTAATTTGAAAACTGTTTGGAATATGAAATAGCATAAGTTTATCTATTTTATCTATAGTTATTGTATATTTACATACTTTTAATTTGTTTTAAAAATTTAATAGGAAGGTAACGAAATTTATTTTTAAAGTTCTGTTTTATGGCTGTCACACGTTCTCTACTTTGCCATTTTGTAATAATTTTACACGATCTTCATCGTGAGGTTGATGTTGTCTGTTCTTCTTCCTAAACGTCACGTAAGTATATGCTAAACTAGCGAGAACGCTGATATTGATTCCAATACAATTAAGCCATGAAAAGACGTAATCACCACCGATGAACATTCCTATATAAGTTATGCTAACGTTTTTAAGACATCCAACAATTGTGGTGGTCAAGGCTGAATTGTGTTGAGTACACAGAACTGTACTGTAGTTGAGAATGAATCCCATAACGCAGGAGAGCATGAATTGTATCACAAAGAGTGGATTTGACCACTGACTGTATTGTAAGGCCTTCTCCAAATCACCGAGAATCCATGTAAATAATAATGCTGGTATGAGCATCAGTAGAGAGTTATAGAACATTAATCCATAAGTGCCTAAGTCAGATCCACTCAGCTTCTTCTTAACAAATACACCATTTGATGCTGTTAAAGCATTGGTTATCATAATGAAAGTGTAGCCTTCAAGATTGAAGGACAAATCATCTGATGCTGCCAACAGAGCACCTCCGACCATTGCATATACACTCATCTGAACTGCTGATGTTGGACGAATCTTCAATATGTAAAATTCCAGAAACATTGTCATAAGAATTGAAAAACGTCGAAGTGCAGCAAACATAGGTAAGCTTAAAGCTTTTGTGCCACCTAATCCAAAAATCATATTGCCTAAATAAATCAAAGGCAATGGAAAGATTTTTTTAACGAGATCATTTGAGTATGATGGAAATGACACGATTTTTAATTTTCTTCCACTAAATAAAACTACAACACTTGCAATGAGTTGTCCAAGTGATAGCACTAGGAAAGACGGGAATTTATAGGATGTCAGAACTTGTTTGTTAACTACAGTAATTAAGAATGATGATAATCCATAAAATACTGCACTAGTTATTTTCATGTATTGAACAGCATTATCTTCCTTTGTGTTGTTATTTTCCTCATCCTTAGACATTGTTATCTGCACTTTGACAAATACTTTTAATAAATAGTGACTTTAACTTCGCGGAATCTTATTTATTGATTCATATTTTACGGTCTTCCTTACTTCACTTTGCTTTTAGGACATACAAAAAAATGATATCACAAAAGGCTCTTAGAAAAGACGAAAATTCAAGTCTCGAAACGTGTGTCATCATTTTTCAACAATGTGAATGTATTCAATAAAAAATGAACCGATTGATCCGTTACTGGTAGGACATTGAACCGTAACAGGATAGAAAACGATTCAAAAATCATAACAAAATTTCTTACTTCTTAAAATTAAGTAAATACGGAACATTAAAGATGATTTTTAAAATGATCACTCACTTGCTAGCCTCTTGATAAAGTCAATTAATTACTTATATTTTAAATTTACTAATCCTTATGATTTTTAAACACAAGATTTTTATTTTGAAATCAAAACTGTGTCAAAGTATATAATCAAATACTAATCTAACCCCAATTCCATATAACATTCAATCTAATCTTCTTTAACCCAGATTAATCTAATCCAGATTTCAGTACTGAACTTCACTGAACTCTAAAGTTTTATGAAATAATGGTCTGATTAGTATGTTGGTGATACGATTTTCATCAAAAGAAGGTTTCGTTGGTTTGTTTGAATCTTTTATTCAATTTGATTTTTCTATCTCCAGATAAGTTTTCAGCAAATTTTTATTCCTCGAATCAATTCTCACTCCTGTCATGATCAAGAGTAAAGATCGAGTTCCTTTTAAATGGATGTCAAGCTGTTAAGCTTCAATATATTAAAAAATTAATTGAAGCTTAGAATGGACCCGACAGGTCAAAAAAGCCGGCGAGGAGGTGAAGAGGATATCGTTGTGGTGAATTCAATTGAAAATTTTTTCACTTTGTCATGCAAAACAAAGCTTTATTCACATGCTAATAAGGTTATTATTGAATTATGTCATTTTTGAACCGTTTCTTCGAGGTGCACAATCAAGTTTTTGTTACATAACTTACGAATTTGTTGCATCTTTTCATATAGTTTCGCTTCTTATGATAAAAATGTAAGAAAATTTATATAAATAATAGTTTTTCCTCGTATATCTGCTCTTTACAGTTATTAAAAGAATTACAAACTAATAAGATCAATATCAAAAGTTGATCTGAATCGTTCTTTTGTAGAAAAATTCAATTCTTATGTTTTTATCAGTTGCATTTTTTCACGATGAAAATTCATTTTTTATTTTTATTAAAATCTAGATAAAATGGAGTTAAATTTAAATTTAACGCCAAATAGTAGAAGACGACCAACACCAGCACTTCCTATACCTTCTCTTCAGCCTCGAAGAAACATAGAAACTGAGAAAAAACTTCGGGCGCTCAAAACTGGATCATTAAAAATCAATGGGATCTCGTATGACACAAATGTAAACGATTTGGAATATCTAAGTGAATTGGGTAATGGTACAAGTGGTCATGTGGTCAAAATGAAGCATAAACCAAGTGGTGTAATCATTGCTGTTAAGGTAAATTATTTTATTCATTTCAATTTGCATTCTTTATTGAACACTTTAATTAATAATTTTCAGCAAATGAGACGAACTGGGAATGATGAAGAAACAAAAAGAATAACAATGGACTTAGATGTTGTGTTAAAATCACATGATTGTCCATACATTGTTCAATGTTTAGGATGTTTTATAACAGAGGCTGACGTGTGGATTTGCATGGAACTTATGTCGACCTGTTTTGATAAACTACAGAAAAAAACTCACAAACCAATTGCTGAAGCAATTCTTCGGCATGTTACTGAAGCCGTGAGTATTACAACTTCATATTCAAATTCAATTTTTTATATCTTCTGCTCTTGTAGACTGTGAAAGCATTATTTTATCTTAAGGAACGTCATGGCGTAATTCATAGGTAAGTTAATTAAACTTTCTCTTCTACATATTTCTTTATTTAAAAGTGTTTAAAATATTTTTAGAGATGTAAAACCATCAAATATTCTTATTGATGAAAGAGGCCATATAAAGCTTTGCGACTTTGGAATAAGTGGACGTTTAGTGGACTCGAAAGCGAAGACTCGTTCCGCTGGATGTGCTGCGTATATGGCGCCTGAACGTATAGACCCCAAAAAACCAGAATATGATATTAGAGCTGATGTGTGGTCATTAGGAATAACGTTAGTTGAACTTGCAACTGGAGCCTATCCTTACAAAGACTGCAAAACTGATTTTGAAGTACTGACTAAAGTATTAGATTCCGATCCACCGTCGCTGCCTGAAGATGAAGGCTTTAGTTTTGAATTTCGTGATTTTGTAAAGCGTTGTTTAACGAAAGACTATAGACATAGACCAAAGTATCTTCAATTACTCGAGCATCCATTCTTGAATTACCACGAGAGTCAACGAGTAGACGTAGCGGAATGGTTTCATCGAATAACACGAGAGGCTGGAATTGTTTTTCCTACGCAGGATCTTCCACAATTATCGACAACCATTTTAGAGCCTACAACGACATCAACATTAGCAACATCATCATCGTCAACGTCGCTCTTGAACAGGTGAGTTTTTGACTATTCGAGCATCTGTCTGACGTTTTATTTGAAGCATGCAATGCATGTGTTGAACAGAAACATAATTCATAACAAACACTTAAACATAAACCTCGGACAGAGAAGCTTTGCATGCATCCAATTGAAAGAAATTTTACACATTTGCAGAGTTGTTTGCATGTTATGTTCCCTACATATCTAAATTTCTGCAAAGATATTTGAAATCTAATATGAAAGCAACTTAATTAAACATTTATCTAACAAAATATTTATTAAGATTGGTTTTTAAGTTTTTGGTATGTTTTGAATTATTTTTTTCTTTTTGTAGGTAAAGCAATAAGCAAACCAAATTAACATAAAAGCATTTGTTAAAAAAATTATCTAGTTATTTAAGTTTTTGAGTGTAAGTATTTTTTCCTGCGATATTCTGAATCATTCATAGTTAAAAATATAATTTAGATATTAACTTTTTGGCTGAATTAAATAAAAATTCAATTACAACACTAACATTTCCTCAGTCGTTTGAAAAGAAATTTTTTGATTTGATTTGATTAATGTTTAAATGAAATTAGAAATTTTAATTGAATTTCTCTTGTGTGATGATATTTGATTGCAGATTAACGTCAACAAAAACAACATCAACAACAGCAACAGAATTTTATCAAACAACATCAGTAATTCCATCAACGAACTTCAACTCATCCCATGAGAATCCATTTACAAACATGAAGACAAATACTTCTGATCACATGTTGAGCAGCAATCCTTTTGTGTCACCACCACTGCCAATAGTAACGACAGCTTCAAAATTTACAATACTTAGTGAACAACTAAGACAAGAAGATCTCAATGATCAACTTAATCAAAAGCATGCAAATGGAAAAACCGGAAATGGTTATCAAAAGCTCTCATATTGCTCTTCCTCCAACACTGATAATGACATAGTTGATCATCATTTAACTCCAAAATTGAATCGAATGTATACTCAATCACCTCAATTAATGCGTAAAAACTACGAGTATAATTCGAATTTAAATAATCATTTTCATCAATCGCCACAAATGAATAACAATCATCATAATCATCATCACCTTGTTGGGAGGGAATCGCCGTATATGCAGAGAAAGTTCCCACAAAATGAGTCTGATTATAAGAATCATTACAGTCCATATAAGCCACTTCCGCAACAGCAGCAAAGCACTTTTTCGCCAGTTATTCGAAAACGTTATCAAGAAGGCCATCTCGTATCCGAAGATCTTGAATTTAGGATTTTACATGGCAACACTAGTCCAATTGTTTTACAACGTTTTTATCATCAACAAAATCAACTTAAAGATCAGAAGGAAGAAGAGGATCAATTGAGAGCTATAAGAATACAATCTTTAAGTCCGAGTCATTATAAAAGCTCTGAGAGTAGTAGCATTCCTATTAAAAGTGGTGGAAGTCCACTGTTAGCAACACAAAATAGATATCAACATCGTCGAAATGTTTTGCTCGAACCAAGTTATAATGCTAGTCAAAAAATATATGAAAGCCATATTCCAAAACTTATGTCGAGAATGACAAATGGTAATAATGTTTGTCATCAACAACAGCAGCAGCAGCAGCAACATCATCATCAGATTTATCATAATCAACAACCAATGTATGACAACATTCATCGAGCACAAATAGCATGTCCAAATTCACCTCAATTTGATCGTCTTCGTGCTAATCTGGAGAAACCAAACTTTTATGAACGCGATCAAAAGCTTCCAGTTGAGATTCAAAATTCTTTTCTTTTGGAGCAGAGTGCACATCAAAACAATGGAACTGGTGAAAAGAATAAAGATAAAGGTTTGTATTATTTAAATTATTTTTGCTGTATGAAGCTTGACACAAGTGATCACTAATTCATGTATTCTTACGCTTACAATATTTTATCTTTCTTTTTACATAAAACATTTGTTGATGTCTAACTTTATGCTATCTAAAATGAAATTCTTTAACACTTTTCAAATTTGCTTAAATTCCTTTCTATGAAATGACGATTTTCGGGTAGTGCGAATTGAGCCAACTACCCTAATTATGGAAAGCAAATTCAATCAGAAATTAAAGTCGTCATTTCATTATTGTATTTATTTATTATTTTCTCTCACGCTAATTTATATTTTCTTTTATATTTCCCGCTTTTTGTCCTCATCCTGCTACAATCGTTTGGCATCCATCATTGAATGTGCTTTTAAAACAAACAAAAACCATCCAAAAATTGTACACTTTCGTCACACATCTGAAAACTTTATATTTTGAAACAAAATGATCGGTAAAACATCATAGGATGGTTCAATTCCGTTACAGGAATGGTTAAATCTTATATAAAGTCACGATTTAATAACGATCAGCAGAACAGTAAAGACGGTGACAAAACGAAATCACTTGCAACTGTGTCGCCAATGCGCTCATCAATAGCAACGAATCCATTTGCTCAATCGCCATCAAATATAACTTCGTTGAAGACGTCTTCAAATATGCAAAATTTATATGAAAGACATCGAAGTCCTGATCCACCACCTAGAAATACGAGAGGGAATCAAAGTCCTTTAATTATAAGAAGAAAATTGGAGCTCGCTTCATCTTCTCCATTACTTCAGAAAAGGTAAAAAAAAGAACTTTGAGAATTATGAAAGATAAAATATTATTTTGGAATGTTTAAAGGTTCATCTCAGCATCGCCACCACCTCCGTTAATTCCACCACGTGGATTAAAGAACTTTAATAGCGATAGTGTGCCAGGATCGCCTCAGCATTTACAAACACGTATAAATTACACACCTGAGCCACAGCGACGCATTTATCGGCAATTAGAGTGATTAAGGGACCAGCGAATTTAGTATTTCTTGGATGACTGAAGCTTCAGATTATTAATTAACTGAACGTCTGAAGTTGCTTTCATTTACATATATTACAAACATAAATTATAGTGCTTTGTATTTAAAAATGCTTTAAAACAAGACCTTCTTGTCTTTTCCGTTTTCCTTTTCTTTCCTTTTTGATGTTTCTTTTTTTTGTATTTCATGAAAGAAAAAAATAAGAAAGCCTTAAGATACTAAATGAATCAAACAAAATCCCCCACAAAACAAACAATTTTTCAAAACGACTACCATAAAATGACATCTGAGTTAGATTGAATTAAGCAATAGATTGAATCTAAACAGGCAATTTTGTAACGCCACTTGAAACATTTTTAAAATCTGACAAATCTCCTGAAACCATTTAACGGAACTGCTTAGTTAGAATGTGTGAATCGAGAACTATTTGTAGGAAACAGAAATCGCGCTTTCTTGCTGCAATAGCTGTTGACAACTGCGTTTCTTGGTACTTTAAGTATCTTAATAAAATAAAGAACAAGCAGTTGTCGTATTCCTTATCATGAAAGCTGAATTTCTGATTCTTTTAAACAGTTGTAAAACCACCCTTTAGCTTGATTATGACGAATATTTATTTATGATTTGTATTGAAGAGAGAAAAAAATGCTTGCATAATTCTATTGACAGAAATTTCTATATATTTATCGATTGAAAACAATAAAACAAATTTCAAGAGTTTATTCACTTCTTTTTTATTTTCTACTTCGTTTCTATGAGTGAAGTTTAAGTTTTATTTGAAAGAGTTCGATCCAACATATTTAGTGTGGGCGCCTTTAACTAGAACACTGTTGCATTTCTTATTTCTAATTTCACATTCCAAGAAAGCAAGAGTTTTCCCACATTTGATAGTTCTGGCATCGATAATCAACTCGTCATTTTCTCTTGCACCTTTTAAAAATTTAATGTGTAAGTCAACTGAAACCCCAGCTCGGATGTTCTCATCATCATAAGTCATCAGAGCATATGTTGTAGCGCAATCAACAATTGTACTTGATAATCCTCCATGCAATCCACCACCTCCGTTTAAATGCTCTTTCTCAACTTTCATTTCAGCTTTCATAAAACCTTTTCCACCATCAATGATGGACATCTGTGGGAAAACAATTAATTTTGAAGATTATAAATTTTTAACGGTCGTAGGAAATTCAAATTGAAATTTGATTTGTTTACATGCATTTGAAAGTTAAAAAGTGCAAAAAGGATTATAATTCCGATATTTTATCCTAGCGACGATAAATTACCTATAAATAAAACAAATATCTATATACTTTAGATCAACAAATGATTAAACGAATTAAATTGTTACACGATCAAGAAAACACCGTCAAAAATGGTAAATATTTATTTTCATTAATTATTTCAATAAACTCACATTTCTCACTACTTTGTCAAAACCATCCGTTTCTGATATAAATTTGCTGATTGTCTTTAATAATTCCAAACTTTTCTTTGATGACATTGTGTTTTATATTTAATAAAATCGAAATAAATTTCTTTTAGAAATGCAAAAGACGAAAGACGAAGTTCCAAAGGTTAGCGAAAACTTTAAAAATCAGACGACGTCAAAATATTTGAACATGAATTCCGTTTTTACAATCACAAACTCAAATGAAATAAATTCAACATTTTGTCTTCAAACAGTGGATGAATTTATAATATTTAACTCAAAACATGAAATCCATCTGATGAAGTTTGATTGTAATTCATTGAGAACGCAATCAAAGATGCAATTTTCATCATCATCATTTAAAGTATCGAATTACAATGTTGTTGAGAGTTTCAATGTTGATTTTAAGAAAATATTCCAAAAATCGAGTCATCAAGACAAAAGTGACATAATGTTAAGTTCTGACCTCTTTCCTCATTGTATTCAATACCACGCACAAGTCTTTAAATGTCTTTTATCTCCTTACAATCGTTTTGACGAGAACAACAAAGAACCAGTGATTGCAAGTCTCAACTCACACGGATCTTTGGAGTTACTGAATTTAAAGTACGACGAAGATTCAAAGAAATATATTTTAGCATCAAGTGAAGAGTTATGCAAATTAAGAATGGATTCGTTGACATTAAATAATGAAATTAAAAGTTTGAATGGTCTCAATGAAGTTGTTCGTGATTTTACATTCACTTATTTCGATTGGTGCCCAGAGATTATGAATGGAACACGATTTTTAGCAGCTCTAGATAAAAACTCTAACATTAACTTATTTAACATTCAAAACGGAAAAGTTAATTTCTTGTTTGACGTGAAAATGAATGCTCGAATTACTTACATCAAATGGATCATTGTAAAGACGCAGCATTATCTGATAACTTCATGTTCAAAAGGTGGTCTCATCATATCCACAGTTGAAATTGAAAACGACAAAATATTGAAATGCGAAGTTCATCGAAACATACCAGGAAAGCTTCGAATCTCAATTTCTAATGTTCAACATGTTTACAGTCATGAGAAGTTTATTTTGTTGTGTATCAAAGCTCATTCAATTGAAATGTTCTTTCTTGATGATTTTGAAGTAACTTCAATCACTAAATATATTGGACTGAGTGTTACTGGCATTTGTGAGATTGGAAACTTTGAGTTTTTGATCACAACATTGGACAATAAAGCTTTTTACATGAAAATCAATGTTGAAAATGATAAAATAATCATTGAAAAGTATCTGGAAGTTAAACAGACGTCAAACTCTGAAGTTCATTCCTCAAGTTTTGGTATTTATGGACTTGCAGCATCAAACAACAAAGTTTTATTCTTCACAGCTTTATATCCTCGAATTGTAAGTGTTTTAATTATGAATTAATAATTAAAGTTTAAATTTTATTTTATTGACAGGCTTACGATCATCTTGTGTTGAAACAACCGCTAGTTCTATCCGTCAACACTTTATCAAATAGAAGTCCACAAGAGATGTTAATTATTAACAAAAGTCGCAATCTTTCAAGATTTTATGACTGCATTGAAGCTGTTCGATTTGTTGGAGGTTTGAAGCTTGATTACCTGTCGATGTTAGAAAATCGAGATTATGAAATTGCTCTTAATGACGAATTTCTTTATTATCTTAAACTTCAACTTATTGTTGTAAGATCGAAGCTTTGGTATTATCAAACACGCTCTTCGATCATTTATTCCATCATCATTGACACAGAACGATCAATTAAAAAGATTATCGATGTTTTGAGAGCATTTCATTTATTAAATTCGCTTTTATCGAAGAAAAAAATAAGTTCAGAGGAAACTAAACTTTCAATGCAATGTTTGATTAATTTCATTGACATTTATTTGAAGGAAGAAATTAAAAAAGAACCTTTCAAAGCAGCTCAGGAAACGTTCCGAAATGATCTTGAAAACTTGCAGCAAAAGTGCAACTCGTTGAAATTAAGTAAATTAGTTGAAAGCTGTTTATATTGCTCGCAACCAATTTTAGAAAATCAATTAACATGCACGTCCAATCACATTCTTAATCGATGCGCCATAACGAAACTTCAAATTCCTTTCGAAATGAACAACATTTGTCTGGCTTGTGATTGCGTTGTCATTGAGAAATCAACAATTGATAAGGTAACTGGAAGCTCTGAACAAATTTCTTGTTCTTATTGTGATCAGATAATCATTTTTAAATAATTTTAATAGAATTAAACAATGTTTTTTGGAAATCTTATTTAAAGGATTGAAATAAAACTATTTCGCTTTATTGATACAAACTGAACTTCATTCAATTACTTATTCATACTTATTAGATTATTTTATCATGTGAGAAGATAAAAACTGAAGGAAAATGAAGAAAAGTTTATGAGAAAAAGAAAATGCAATTTGCAGTTCATTAAACAGTCACATTCTCTAAAAATTTGTAATTTGATGGGATTAGGTGACATGTTGGGTGTTGATGAGTTTTCCTTTCTTTCAAGATCAATCTAATCCCACATCATATGTAATTATGTTTCCTTACATGTAGATGAAGTTAAATCTTTAAAAGAATAGAAATGAAAAATTAATTAAAGTTAACAAACAAAAAATATTTGATAAATTTACCTGCAAAGAGCTTGCGGCAAAGATGAAATTATCGGTCCATATCCTTGAGCATTATCATAAAGCTCAAATAGCGGTGCTGCTACCAACTTGTAGTTTTTCGGAACAGCAAAAAGTGCTAAAAATGAGAAGGCAATTGATAACATTAGACATCGATTGAAGTGACAATGTTTAAGTGCAACCTTTGTGAGATATTTTTCTTATAAAAAAAATTATAGATGTAGAAATATGATTGCTTTCTATTATTTTTTACAATTTGGTCATTAAGGAAGTGAAAAAAAAAATGTTACAAGTTCAATGACAAAGTTACAATAGAAAAAGATTTATGTACTATTGTTAAAATTGATTTCTAAGATTAAAGATTAAAAAAACTTCATGAAGCTCTGTTGTCTGCGAAAATAAATTTAGAAATATTTTTTTTGTTACACGAAATGACAACATACGAGTACAAAATATAAACAACTTATAATTAAATTCAATACATCAATATAATCATTTAAATTAAAGAAGTTGACAATTTCCATCTTTTTACCATTGCTCAACACTCAACCGTAAAGTGAGAGGAAAAGCTGAGAATGGATTCATTGAAGAAAATTCTAATCTGGACAATTTTGACCTTAAGTCTATCCTTTAAGTGTTTATAATTTATGTTTGTTATGAATGTTATCTACTATAGGGCAACAGAATTTCTAAACATGTTAAGATTTGAATCAATCTGAACAATTTTAAGAAGCTTTCAAACTCTCATTTTCATTTTCTTTTCTTTTTTGGTTGTTTTAAATTTTAAACATTAACTTAAAGTGATTGAATTTATTTTGTTTGACTTAAAAATGTTGTGAAAATTTCAACATTTTCCTTATGTTTAGATAATATTCAAAATTATTGTACAAAATCTATGCAATTCATTACCCTTTTCGTTAAGCTGTACCAAAAATAAACGTTTATGTTCTTTCGGCTTCGTGATGTGCGGTGGACAATAAGGATAAGTTGGCGGTTCGAAATTTGGCCGGTACCAGTTGCCGACGAGATCTTCAACAATCCAATCCTGCGATTTTACTCCCTGGGATGTTTGTCCTAAAGTCTTTGAAGTGAAAATTGGAATATTTTTGTCTTATCTATTTCACTAATCGATTAAGCAAGTAACAATGTTATTAGTAGGAGACAATATTTTAAACAAATTTCATTTATCGTTGTTGTTTTGACGTTGGCAGCGTGAAATTCTAAAAACTATAATTTTAATTCTTTTTCTTTTTACTTTTTCTTTTGCTTTCTTTGTTTCTTTTCCATTTAAGATAAAATTTCGAATGATCAAAAATACATCTGAGAAAGTTTTAATGAAATCTTTTTTGTTTACATTTGAGAATGAAGACATTTTTTTCTTTTCTTTACCTATTTGTAGATTTGTAATTTTAAAACGAGAAAAATAAAATTTAGTTGTTTAAGTTTCGAAAATAAATTAAAAATTATGTTGTTAACATTTGATTTTGACAGCTGTTTATATTAAATTGAGTGCAACAAAGATTGTTTGTTATCCACTCAATGAATGAATGACAATGATGATAAAATTCTTTTTTACAACTTTCCTTAATAATTCTTCATTCACAGTTCTTTCAGTTTTGAATGTGTTAAATAAACTTTCACAGAAATTACATTTTTAGCGTACACAACAACATTTTGTGGGAAATTTTCTGTGATTAAAATGTTACATCATTCTTATACATGTCAAGAGGATAAACGTAGGATGTTTAACAAAAGAATTGATGGAATCAAAAACATCCTTAACAATGATTTAAAAAGAAGTCAGTTAACAAATTTTTTCAACATGATAATTATAGTTTTTACAATGCACTATCATTTTAATCGAAGAAGACTAGAAAAAAGATGATAAAAATCGATCATTATGAGAAACTTACTTCAGTGAGGAGTCGTTTTAGTCCTTCCACTTCGTCTTCACCAGCATTGAGTTCACCACCAGGTAGTTTGAAAAATGTTGTCCCAAGTTGTAGTAACAAAACGTGCGGCAAACCGTGCTCATGCACTAACAGAACTGCTTCAACTGAACGTCTCATCCCAATTTTTTCAAATTCATCTCGCATTCTCTGAAATCTTGCTGGAACTGAAGGATCTTTTTCAAATAGTGGCTCTTTTGTTCCAAAGGTGTAGTTTGTCAAGGGAAATCTACAAAAAATGCATTTGGAATATTTTTCGGTTTTTTTTCATCACAGAAAAAAGTATAAAAACTTATTTCAAAACTTACAGGTTAATTGTCCTGTTAAGTGTAAGTGACTGACTAACTGGACCTTTCATTTGGGATGTTTGTGGATCTGGTTTTATGTTCTGGTGGTTCTTTGGCCAACCGTGCATAACTTTGTTGTGTTGTTGTTGGGTTTGCGACATTTTGATTTATGTTGAGTTAATAAGACTTTTTGTTCTTCTTTTTGGATCTTCTTAACTATATAAGACTTTCAGTTGAATTTCACTTGTCACTTCACTGTTTATGCTGGTCTTGAAGAACTTAAATTATACTTGAAATATTAATTTTTTTCTGGCATCAAAAATTTTGTTGCTTTTAGCATTGAAAATCCTAAAAAAGTTGCCAATGTTTTACTAATTTAGCGCACATTAAATTTGCAGTGTAATCTAGAATTATATGCATGATATCCAAACAAACATTGAAAAGTGTTGTTATTGATTAAATCGAAGATTAAAGATGCAGTTTAATGATAGCTGTCCTATATCAAAACAAACCGAATCAATTGCTGAAACTATACAAGATTTGAATACTAGAATAAGTGAGTTAATTCATGATTTTTCTAAATTAGTTATTTTTCTAATGACTTTTCATTTCCCCTTTAAGGAAGTCTTGAAATAAAGTTGACTTATCTTAATCCGGATTCAAGTGAGAAGAAAACGCTTGCTACTGAAATTGGTGAAATCAAAAAACTTGTGTCGGCTCACGAGAACAATTTGAAGCAATTGCGAAAAAATAATCGAACTTCTTTTATATTTTGTGCACTGTTAATCTTCTTAATTTTCCTTATTTATTGTACATACGTTCTGATCTACGGATATTAAATGAAATAAGACGTAAACATATTTTATATGTATTTCAATTAAGAGATTGTTTATTTTATTTAATAAAACGAGGATTTAAATACAAAAAGCAAGTTTTGAAAGTCTTAAAAATATTTTATTCATAATGGAAAATTTAACGCCTTCCTCTTCCACGAGCGCCGCCTCTTCCTCCTCTGGGTCCACCTTAAAATAAAAGATATTATTAATATTTGAAGAATGAATTCGCATTCTTTGTGACAAGCGGCTTACCTCTTCCTCTAGCACCAGCACCTCGACCACGTCCACGGTTGCTAGCATTTCTTCCATCCTTTTTCTTAGCTTTTGACTTTGGTGTATCATCGATCAGCAAAGTTTCCAATGGTAAACTGTCTGGAAGGATGTAATAGCGAATATTGTTTCCTCTTATTGAAAGAGTTTCAAGCTGAATGGGATTTCTGTTTTTAATTGTCATTTTGACTGCTTTCAAATGAGTATTCATGGCAACATCTACACCAGTTATTGTACCATGCACTTGAGTTCCATTCTTCAATTCGATCGTAACAGTTTCATGACTTAATTTCATCAAAAACCTGAAGTGAAAGGTTAAGCAAAAGTTATTGTGTAAAAATGCCGCACATAATTGAATTCTAATTTATTTACTAAATCATAAACAAGAAAAAGGGAAGAAAAGTTGTTTATTTACCGTACTAATTTCATCTTGATTCACAAATTTCACCGCTTTTGTCTCAAAATTCTACTTTTATTTATAATCGTTTGGCTTTATTTTGAGTTTTCTTCTTTTTATTTATTGTGCTAAAGAAGTTATAACCCTGATTCCCTGTGATGCTAAAGAAATTTGTTGCTAAAGAAATTTAGCACTTGTCTTTTCATTTCATTCGCAAATGTGTATTCCGAGAAAAAAGTTGCGCTGTCAGGTGTCATCGTAGAAATAAATTGTGAAACATATAGAAAAGTTATTTACAAATATTTTTATTCAAAAATTGTGTAGGTTTTCAATGATTTTGTGAAAAAAGTATATAAGAAAAACGTGCTAATATTATAAATTTGTAAAATCTTGTGAAGTGGCAATGAAAAAAGTTAAAAAATCGATATTATTTTTCGGTGGAATTTTTAATTAAACTTTATCAACAAGATTTTGTGGATATCATCTTATTAAATATACTAAACAGGTATTTCACTTCCTAAACAATAGATAAATTAATAAATAATGAAAGTTAAATATTCTCACTCGAATATATCTGTGCTAGATAATTGAATAATAAGAAGCGATTTTTTTTAATGATACATAACATCTAGCATAATACCATGCATAACGTGTACATTTTGCTATAGCAGCGACATACAAAGAAGAAGAATAAATGATGACTAATACTCATGTTGTTGTGTGAAAAAAATACGCAACATAAGAACAATGCAAGACTTCTTTCATAACCCTAGAATGGGTTATTGTATCAATGTCGGCTTTGCATTATATATAGATACAGACAGTTTTAAATGTCTATTTAACTATTTTCGCTTTGTACTCAATACTTGAAATCTCTCGACTTTGGGATCGATTGCTTGTGAATGAAGAGCAAATATGAGCGAGTAAATATTTGTCTGAAAACTGTTTTGACCGTCAAGTTAGGGCGTAATTAACTTCATTCAGAAGGATGAGTTTAAAGTGAATTTATTTAATCAATAACTTCTTTTATTGATCTGTCGACGAGTCAATCTTCGATAGCATTTCAAATTTATTTTAATTTGGATTCATTATAAACATTAATAATATTGGCTTTATGGTGCTAAGCGATTAGGAATTTAGACATCAAGTTCACTCAAACAATTTATTTATTTTCACTACCCACTTTATTTCCTGAATAAAATTTTCAACAAAACGTAATATTTTCTCTCATTTTTAGTCTCAGATGTTTTGTCATGCTTAAAATACGATTTTAAATTTCTCGGAATTTGAAAATAAAAGAACAACAATTACAGCAGAGAGGTGATTGTTGTTAATTGAAGTTTCTCTTTAATTATCAATAAAAAAGCAAGTTTTCCTTCCGAATTTCAGTGCAGCAGATATTTTTATAGCAAATCAATAAATTTGCTTTTTTCCTCCATGAAGCTAATACTTATTTGATTGCGTTTCATCACAGTTAAAGTTTTGTATAGTTTAGTTGTCCTTGAATAGTTTTTAGTCAAGCATAAGCAATTAGTTCGAATTTAGTATGACTTGCCAATAGTCATTACTGACTATTTATAATTTTATGTTTATTAACGAGTGATAAGTAGATAAGACTTGAATGTTTAAAACGTAATTAGAAAAAAATTCATGTCGGAAAAGAGTTTTGCGATGTTTTTCTCTTAAAAAAATGAAATTTAATAAAGACTTTCTGTCACGTAATGAAGCAGCTTATTGTATGGGTGGTACATTGTATGTAAATCATTCATACTTCCATTGAGTTTTGCATTTAGCAAACAAAGCTTTACCAAATTAGATTTTAAAACATCGTTTTGGGTGTAAATTTTGAAGGAAAATCTTTATGATAGTTACTCGACTTTATTAATAACCTTGATATTAATTCTCGTTTTCGCTCTAATTCCAGACATTGCCACACATCTTCCAAACATTCCATAAATGTAAACCTTCCAATGAATGAATATTTTATTTGAAACAAGACAAAGGCATGAGTGACAACCTTAATGATCCATGTTCTGATGAAGAGATTGTCGATAATGAATATTTGAGAGATACAAACATTGTCTCGAGTGATTCAGCATCGACTTTTGAATATGTCGAACAAAATTTATCTCCTGAAAAGTCATGGGAAAGTAATCGAATTACAAATGATGAACTAGAACGAGATAATTGCTCTCCTGTTTCCCAAAATGTATTGACAACAAGACCAATTGCATGTTCTTCCACCAAAGACGAGAAGCAGAGGCTAAACGAAGAAATTGTGATGGAGTCTGTGTCGGCTTCTTCGGAAACCAGTTCTTGGGAGGCTGTTCCAATGTCGGTGAAGCATCGCGATAGCACGAATGAAGATATGAAAGAGAATACTCAAATGTTTATAAGGAATGAAAGATGTTTTGGAGTGAGCAATGGCAATAATAGTATGACACCTGTTCGATCAACTTTATCATCAACAAAGCCTTGCTTTATTGACGCGTCATCTCTTCTTGATGATGAAGATTTCGTCTACACACCTCCACCATCAGTTTGTCATAAGATTCACGACACTGTCAATCTCATGCAACTGCAGAAGAGTTTTGTTGATGAAGATAACGATGATGGAATGGCTTGTGGATTTGTAGAAGATAATTCAGTGAAAAGCTATGATATCAAAGACCAATATTCAGCTCTTGATAAATCAACCCGACCAAATGAAGCGAATAAAGTTCGTAATGACAAAACAATCACATCGTCAATTGGTGACAGCGAGAAACATTTAGGAAGTTTAATCTTTCAACATTCAATTCCACAATTTTCTGGACATTTTATTAAACATAATGACGATAATTACACCAGCGATATGTCGATTCAAAGTGCTTACTCATCAAATGGTGGTGAAGCAGAGTTTAATAAAGAAATTAATGATTTTGGGCATGGATCGTCGCATTACAATAGTTTATGCGAGAACACGAGCGACTATAATTCTGGTTACTCCCGTATTCAGTCTGATACAGATTCAATAGTTCTTCCTGACACTCCATTTAATTCCATTGTACAAGTGTCGAGAGAGTTGAGGATTTTTGAAGTCGGTGATGATGTTGATCATGAAACAGAATTAGAAAGTCAAGCGACCAAATCAGTTCCTATGAAAATTCCTAAAAGATCACAAAAATATGATGAATGTGCTCCAGTCTTGTCTGGTGGAGCATCAGCGAAAGATTTCACTCCGAAACAATGTGAAAGTCCAATTCTGAAACGAAAATCTGAGACTTGTCCAATCGTTTCTGGTGGATCTGTTGACATCATTGACGACAAAGAAAAGATTAAAAAAGTTTCATCTTCATCTGTTTCGAAATCATGGATTGTTGACTTTAATGATTTAAAAATTCATGAAAGCAAAGAACAACCAAAAAGCTTAGATTGTTCACTTAATAACAACCTTGGATTTTATGTTGATTTTAAAAGTTTAAATTCGCATGACGAAACGAAATCGAAAACGAATGAAGAAGTCAAAAAGCCTGTTCGTAAGATTGAAGAACGAAAGAAATCGACAGGATTTTATGTTGATTTATCTGATAATTCACGACCAGAAACACCAAAGCATGTTGCAAGCACTTCAAACACTCAACAAGAGTCTATTATAACCAGCAGTGATAAGAAAAATATGTTCAGCATGTTTATTGACATGAAAAATGATAAGGAAAGCAGTAAAACAATTGACGATAAGAAGAAACAGCAAGAATTAGTGGAAAGAGAAGATCAAGAACGTATTGTTAATGCTCCAGTTGAAAAAGAGAAGGAAAAGGAAAAGAAAGGCTGTTATTTGTTTATAGAAAGTGATTCACCTGTTATTAAGCGACGATCAACGATTTTGAAAAATGATACGAAACGTCATTCTTGGAATGTCAATCCACAAGAACCAACAGAGGCTCAAAGATCTGCAAGAAATTACCAAAGATCAACAAGTGTTACCAATGATAGTGGAATTATGAATATTTTAGAGAAAATTCCGATTCTTTCTAAAACATCAAGCATGTCAATGGACAGTTCCGTGTCACCTTATGAAGATTTTTCATGTTCAAAGTCTTTTAGTTCCTATTCTAATAATCAATCTGTGACAACATCAAACTCAAGTATTGATCATAGTGGAACGGGAACAAGAATTCCATTGAATGATAACGGAAAACTTTCTCAATCCGAAAAGAAACGACGAAAGGATGCAAAACTTAACGAAACTTTCGATAAAAGTAGTCAAGGATCAGTAACCGAAGGAATTTTATCGAACGATACATCGCAGGCATCTTCATCAGATACTGATGACGTAACCTTTCAAAATAATGAACAAGAACAAGCAAATAAAAGTTTGATGGAATTGAAAGAATCAGCAAACATTGATTTTAAAGTGATGATGATGGAGACGATTCCTGAAACAAGTGAAAATTCTCCTGCAAAGAAAGTGGCAATTGTTGACAACAATAACAAAAAGAAAACTGAAGAGTTAAAGATTGAAACACACACAATGGAGTCACTTCAAGCACTAATTGAGAAACAGAAACAAATTCTCGAAACTGACACTGAGCCGTCACAGTCTTCAGTGTCGTTTGTTAAGTTGTCTGATCTGGATAAACCTCCGTCAACATTTCAGAATTTCGAAAACAATTCAATGTCGAATTCGACTGGTGCGAGGGTGTCAAGATTGTTCCATGATAATAACATTCAAACAGGTCATAGAAGTTTAACACTACAAACAGAAACAACAAAAACAAACTCTTGGAACATGTCACGTTCAACAGGAAATAACTTTGCTAATCTCGCATCATCATTTGAGAATTCAAGAAGTTTAAGTCGCTTGTTTCCGCATCTTTCAAAAGGTGAGTTTATTAACTTTTTTTATTCTTGTTAATATGAAAGATTTCTTAAATGATGATTCATCTTTTCCATTAATGTTCATTTCTGAGATTTTATAATCGATGACCAACAACAACTTTTCTTATTAAATAAATTATTTCCTTTATTTAGTCATCAGTAGCAGTGTTCCTAGTAATGTCGGTTTAAGTTCCGATGCTTCAAGTTTATACGATCATCTTGAATTTGTTTCATCAGATTTTTCATGTACATCGAGTGTCACGTCAAGCAAGTCAGGAATGGGTGAGAAAATCAAAATTTTATTAAGTCATAAAACTTCACAATTCATTCTTAGATTCCGCAGATGAGTCAAGTATTTCTTATCGACAACCGAAACGTCTTGGGGAGGATCTTTTAAAAATGTTTCTTCAAGAAATTGCAACTGATGTGACTCTTGAAGTTGCTAATCGAAAGATGAGAGCACACAAATGCATTCTACGTTCACGTTGTCAATATTTTGCAGCAATTCTTGCTGGAAATTGGATAGCTCATGCAGGCAATGTTATTCCACTTCCTGGTTACTCTTATTCTGCTGTTCATTTCGCTCTTTGTCATATTTATTCGGGAGCATCACATCCGCCTGAGGGCATCTCATTAATGGAGCTTGCTTCATTATCTGATCTTCTTGGACTTGAGGGACTTAAAGAAGTTACTGCTTATGCTTTGAAGATTAATTATTGTCATAATTTTCACAAGGTAAATATTTTAATTTTGTAGCAAGGGTTTGAAGAAGTCAAAAACATGAACTTTTTAACTTTGGAAATATCTCAACATTCTTTCTTTCTTTATTTCTCTCTCTCAGCCTTGTTCTGGATGTATTGATGGAATTCTTCAAGTGCTTCCAGTCACTCTTAATCATGGACTCGACGATCTTTACAGAAAATGTCTCAAATGGGTGTGTAAACATTTCAACAAAGTTTGGCTTACAAAACCTTTTTCACTTCTTCCAACTGACGTTTATCAACGTTGTCGTCAACAAATTTCCGCTCATTTAACATCTGAGAATGTTTTAACATGGATTTTGGAATGTGAGGATTTGTTAAAAAATCTCGAATTATGTCGATGGAACATCATAAATGTTGATAATTTAATTCATGACATTTTGGATTCAGCTCATATCTATGTGATGGATCATTTTGCGTCACTTATTGCTTCGGATAGTTTTTTGTCGTTGGGCCATGGTGAGAATTACACGATAACAAGATTAGAGAATTTATTGTTGAGAACAGCAACTGGTTTAACACCAGATCAAGCATGTCGAAGTTATCCTCGAGCTGTTCGTTTGAATCAACTTTTAACAGCGAAAGTCATTCTACCAAATCCACTTTCAAATGAAAGTCTTCAGATTATGGATCGTGTGAATAGCATTCAATTAAGAAAAGAAGATCAAGATGCGAATTGGAATGAAGATTTCATTCGATTGGTGAGTGCATTATTGTCAGCTGTTGAGCAATGTTTGATTCGTCAATGCTCGAAAGCGATGCGATGTTCAAGTTGGCAACGAATGGATAACGATTTGAGATTGAAAATCCAAAAGCTTGCATGCCTTACTGATAATGATGATTTGAGAAAACTTCGATCGAGTGCAAGTAGCATGGGAAGTGTCAGAAATTATTCTGCTTCATCTTCGGTGAGTTCACGAACGAACGATTTACGTCAAGTGAAGTTGGCGATTCAAGCACATACAAAAAAGATACAAAGACCACCAGTTGAGTCATCAAACATTCCTGTCATCAAAAAGACGTCAAATCATCCAATTTATAAGTCGATTCAAACGAACGCTCATCCTGTCACGAAGTCATCGACAAAAGTTAATGTTCCAGAAAGGTTGAAGTTGACACACAAAAGATCCCAATCGGAAGATGTTGGAAGCAGCATCAACAGTTCGAAAGGAAAATTAATTGTAATTAAGTCACGATATTTGGAAGCTAGAAAGCCAAAAACGCCGATCATGGACACAAGAAGTAAAAATAATCGTCTTCAAGTTAGAAACATTTCGTCGAGTGAAAGTTCAACAAGAGAATCTTCACCGGCTTTCAATCGACGTCAAAATATTGGCGTTAGAAAAGCTTCAAATTTATCTCTTGACAGCTTACAATCGCCGTCAAAACAGAGATTGGATTTATCAAATAAAATGAAAAGTGACAATTTGGAATTGTCAATTGATTCGCTTGTTAATTCAATGAGAAGTTCACTTAAAACTGACAAAACACTTTCAAGTGAATCGCTTATTAAACGAGGACGAAATCTTACTGACGAAACAAAACTTTTAAAGGTCGATAGTCGAGAAAAAATATCTGACAATAATAAATCTTCTCAATCGAGTGGCAATCAAGCGCAAAGGAGTTTTCTGTCTCAAAAATCGCGTGAAATTTTAGCAAGACGCAGTGAAGATCGAAAACTTTCAACAAATTCAAATTCCAGCATGACAACTAAATCGACCACTTCATCACCTAAAATGAACGAAATAAACAAATCAAAATCTGCAGCTTCGATTAACAAGAAGAAAGTTTTCAGCACAACGCTTCATCTAAGAAAAACTGCATCGTTAAGTGAACATCCGAATAGTAAGAAAACATCATCAGCCATCACTAAAACTGCCCCAAATAGTAAAATTATGAGCAACCCAAAGACCATCAAAGCTAACACAACGAAAAAATCCAATTCAGCGACAAAAGTGACAACATCGGAAAAGAAAAATGACAAGAAATCGAATATTCCTCTCGCACCATCAATGAAGCAGGAAAATCGCGGAAAAGACGAAGAGGAAGAAGAAATTCTCATGAAAATGGCTCGTTCAAATACTTTTAGTAAAGAAACATCAGATAATCCTTTGGAACTGCTGAAAATTATCACTTGAACTATTGACAGTATTTACATTAATTATTTAATCAGATATTTGTAAGATATTTATGTAGATTTTCTATAATTTCATTAATGCTTCTTTGATAATGTTTGTCGAATATTTTCTTTATATTTCTTTTCTATCTTTGATTTGATATCAAAGCTTTATAGTCTCTCTTTCGTTTTCTAGAGCTTGAATACTTAACTATAATTATAATTACATGTTTGTCTAATCAACAATCGACAATTAAGAGATAATAATGCAATTGATGGCACAGTTTATAAATTTTATTAAATATTTAAATTATGATTCAACAAATCTAGTCACGTGCAATTCATGTTTGATAATAACTATTTTTAAACACTTAATTATGTATTAATTCCAAGAATTTTATATCAATTATTTTTCACATTTTTCTCTTTTTTTATCAATTCGATATTTAAAATGTAAGCAAATGATTTTCTTTCTTTTTATTTTTTATTAATTATATTTATTTGATGATACTTATTACATGAAACAAAAGCAGAATTATTTTATTAATTAATATTTAAGTGACTCTCATCTATAATATAGAAATTTTTGTGATTGTATTTTATTCAGATATGAAGATTCTCATAATTTTATTAAAAAATAAAATAAAAATGGAATATTTAAAAGGAAAAATATTTTTTTATTCGATTTTGAGTTTTAATCTTGTTTATCTATCCGAGAATAATTTTGCCTTACACGACTTCATACTTTAAAAGTTACTTAATGTATGGAAAAGCAAATAAAAGTTTTCCTTCTCGATATCTGTTTCGATTCTCTTTTTTCATTTATTGCTCAATTTTTTTACGACAGAGAACCTTAAATTTAATTGTTTTTAAGCGAGTTGGCAATTGACGAAGAAATATAAAAAAATTCATAAAATGGGACTATCACAAGCTGCAGTTTTTATTCTAGCATTTCTTTCGATAGCTCTTATAACTTATATTTTTAGAACTGTCAAAGTTTTAGATCAAGATGTGGTCGTTTATTCAATCGGATTCACCGAATTTGAAGAAGAAATAAAAGTAGACGATCCCGATGAAACCGGACTTTTATACATGCAACAAGTGACACATCCAGAAAATCCAGATGGAAATCTTACAGTTGTATGTTGCTATTGTTTTTTATTCTAATAATTTCTAAGAACAAAATTTAACCATACTCTCATCACTTTTAGATGCACATTCCATTCCCATATAATGTGAGTAAAAAAAATTGTATAAAGAAAAATATTTATTTAAAGTTCAACATTAAATATTAATTGAAGGGAGAGGAAGGATACACGGTTATGCTAGTGAAAGTCTTAAATTACAATTCAATGGTAACGAATGCCGAGCTGATAAAGGAAGAGAAAGACGATGACAAGTTTTGGGTATTGATTAGTGATGGAAATATTGGGACAAACAAAGTTACAGTGGAAATAAATTCGTATCTAAGGATCGATGCAGATGTTGAATTTTATGGATTCAAAGATGATGTTGTAGTGGAAGATGATGAAGATTCAAAGTGATTTTGTAGCACTTGCTTCTTTAACAAGACGAGATAATTCTGCAGCATCGTAGCCAATTAATTCTTTTAAATTACAAACAAATTTGTAGACAAATCTGATGGAAATAAAATAAAACTATAATTCATTTGTGTTTCTTTTTAATTTGTTTTCTCTTACCGTTTCCCCTGTACTTTGCTTATCATATCACCATCATAGTAATACCTTAAAGCTCTCGAAAGCTTTTCATAATTCATCGCAGGCTTATTTTTTCGTTGTCCCCAGAGACTAGCACATAGTTCTGGATCATTCAATTTAAATTCCCCAGATTCGCCACACCATTCGATGACATTTGTGTACTCACGATCAGTGAGGATTTCAAGTAGAAATTGCCATAATTGGATCTGTCCGTTATTGCCATTTCTGTTATCAGATCCTATATGCATGACTGTCGTATGATAAATAGCATTAGTTTAATGAAAAAAATAAATCTTCAATTGATTTACTTGGTTTTTGATTTCTCTTCGAGCTGTTAATTTCTTCTCTATCCTCAAATTCGTCATTGACTCTTGGACCTTCACTTTTTAATGCAAATCTTACTGATTTATTATCTGGTGAACCATTCTCATTGGGAATTTCATTAGTTTGGTTTTTGTAATATCTCACAATTTCTTCTTCAGTGGGTTTAAGCACGTCGAGGATGTTAATTCGCTTTTGTTGATATTGAATTTGAAGATTGATTTGAACTAAACCTGAGTACAAATAAATATGAATAGTTTGCTTATAAACTCACTGTTATTAGAGATTATTACCTGTATCGCATGATAAACACTGATCAGTCAAACTGTTATTTTGATCAAGCTGAAAGCAATTACCAAAATTAACTTAACAATAATCCAATTTTGTAAACATTTATGCAATTTTATACTTGTTGAGAATCCTGCAACCAAAACTCGAAACCTTTTAACTTCTTTCCCATATGTTGTTCAACTAATCTTCTAAAAGTTTAATATTATTAAATTGTATTATTTGGAACTGTTTTATTTTAATTTTGTTTTTCAAATTACTTTAGTTTTGTTAAAGGCTCGGTTATCATTATATGAAATATCAATACTTCATTTTCTTCATCGTCAGTAAGTTCAGCAGAACTAACATCTTCTTCCTTCATTTTCTTGCAATTAATAAAAATATTTAAGTTTCAACAACTTCTTTTAATATAAAATTCCTTAATGGTTTTCGCATCTTTATACCTTTGTAATTTTTCAAAATAATTTCAGATGTTAAATGTGTCAGATAATTATGGTGATTTATTATGTTTTATTTAAGGTTAGTGGATGAATAATATGTAAGCCTTCAAAAAATAATTTCTTGAGAACTCTCACGTATGCTTCTGTTTTAAAATTATTACTTAAATTTTATTTAAAATTTACATTGCATATATTTTTCAACGGTTTTTGGTATAATTTGAATGTTCGCATCTTTAGCATAAATTTGTTTACATTTTACAAAATCAAAATAAGAAACAATTATCAGACCTTTATTGTGAATTGAAGTTGGAGAACTACAGTTGTTATTATTTGTTTTACAAATATATGGCTCTTCTCTGCCTAGAATCTGTACCGAGACACATCTTTAAACACTTCAGAAATAAATGTTTTGTTAAAGGACAATGGATCATACTACATTTATGGAAATTAAAATTGAAGGAAACAACGAAGAACAATTAATCTATTTATCACCATCAGATGACGAAGGACTAGAAGAATTAAACACAACATGCAGACTTTGTCCAGAAGCTTCAAGACTTAAAAATTTATTAATTGAACATTTAAAGGAGCATAAAAGTAGTAAATCGAGAAACTTATAAACAACACTTTCAGTTCTTTAATAATTGAATTCTTTTTTTCTAGTTGAATGGATTGACATAAATGACAGTCAAACTTTCCCTGAGATTGAGTCTTGCAATTGTCAAGATGGTATAAAAATTCAGATTAATTTTATTAATCACTTTCTAAGTCATGATAATGATGCCCAATGTCACTTTGAAAGTCCCTCAGAAAGTGACGAAAAAGATATTATCGATCATGGATTTGAGGAAAACTATCGAGATAAAGAAGAAAATTCATATAAGAAAGTCAAACTAAAACCTAGTTATCATAATCAGTATAATCGTCGTGTTAGATCGCCAGTGACTTTCCAACTTCAAAAAGAATTTACTCAAGATCCGACTACAAAAATGTTCCATTGTAACTTTTGTCGAAATGGTTACAAACATAAGCAAACAGTGGAGAGACATTTAAGTAAAGAACATTATCCTTCTTCCGAAAAGGTTTCAAATAGTGTTATGAGAAACACAAGTGAAAATGTTTTCCCAACTGAACAAAGAAACAAATTGTTTTATTGTAATATTTGTCACAATTCTTACAAACACAAACAGACAATTCAACGACATCTTGCAAAGGAGCATAATTTAGAATTGGATAATAATTATAAATCTCAAGTTTCAGACTTTAAACCTTATCAAAAAATTGTTAGAATTCAAAGAAAGTCTAGAAGATCGAAAGACAAAAAGTTGATTTGTGATATCTGTGGCCAAACGTTCTTCTTTCGAGAGTCATTACGTAAACATTTATTAAAACATGTCGACCATGTTACATATACAAAGAAAATTGTTAAAACCACAAGAGAAAAAATTGTATGTGATCAATGTACAAAGCTTGTAAATCCAAGTTTAATGAGACGACACTTTCAAGTTCACCATTCGGATTATCGACCGTACAAATGTGAAGAACCTGGCTGTACGACAACATTTCTGGACATTACCAAATTTAATGATCATAAGAATATTCACCTTAAAATAAAACCATACATTTGTGACTTTTGCCAAGAATCATTTCACTATGCTAGTAATTTAAGACAGCATAAGCTACGACACACTCATCCAGATCGTTTTAAATGTGAAACATGTCAAAGTTGCTTTGTCAGTTCGAAGTCATTGAGTCTTCATATGCGTTTACATAATTATGATCCAACAGCACCAAAACCATTTGCATGCGACCATGAAGGATGTGATAAAACATTCCGCTATCGAGATAGATTAAAATTGCATATTTTTAACGTTCATCGAGTTGAAAATGATCATTATTGTTCTTAGTAAGTAAATATTCGTCATATTTATATCAACTGATTATAATTTATATATTTTGGTTTCAGTTGCTCCTTTATAACACACAAGAAGAAATATTTAAAGCGGCACATGATCAAAATTCATAACATAAGAGAAGGAAACCCAAGGAACCGTGTTTTTCCAAAGAATAATCCAAATTTATGAAGATGCTTAAATAGTGTAACAGAATTAACACATTTTCAATGCTCATTTGAATTTATTTAGATAAATGAAAAAATAAACAAAATTTTCAAAAGAAACTTTCAAAAGCTTTCCGTTAACATTTGAACTTTCAAAAGTTTAGCAAAAGGACATCACACACACATGTACAGAATTAAGGAACTTTAGCGGAAAATTTAGCACAATAAAGTGAATAGGGAAAATATGTAAAGAACACGAAAAACGAAAAGACTTTATAAAAAAGCTTTATTGATAAAAATACTTTAATGTTTTGTTTTGTTTGTTGAGACTTCAAATAAGTAAAATGACTGACTTTTCAGAAATTCAAACTTTCAATGGGCTCACAAAATCTATAATGAAAAATGAGCTTAGTCAGTTTTATGGAATTTTTTTCGCTGTTTTAAGCAGTGTTTGTTATAGGTCGGAGAAAATAATTTGTAAAACTTGTAATTTATTTAATCAATTCTTTTAATGTACTTTTTAGTTTATGCTCTGTCATCGTAAAGTTTCTTGTTGGAGTTTCACCAATCGAACTATCGTTATTCAGGTGAAAATGTTCTGCTTTCTAAACTTCTAATAACTGAATGAAAAACAATTTTATTATAGATTCCTAGGCGTTCTTCTGCCATCTATTCCCTATGTGGTTTATAAAAATGAAAACATTTTTCCCGAAGACAATAGAAAAATGCTTGCATTGCGTGGCATGCTTGGATCAGCTGGCCTTATGTTGTCCTTTTATGCATTTCAAAATATGCAACTCGGAGATAGGTAAAAAATTAATTAACAATTAATTCAATTAAATAATTTATTTTCTTTATAGTTCGGTCATAATATTTTCAACGCCAGTTTTTGTTGCGATATTTTCGCGTATTTTCTTGAAAGAAACTTGTGGACCATTCAACATCTTCACGATTATACTTACATCGTTAGGCATTGTGTTCATTGTGAAGCCACCAATAATTTTCGGTGAAGATGAAGGCAGTGAAAATGAAAGGACTGATTACTTTTGGGGGCCGCTAGCAGCGTTAGCAAGTGCAATATTTACAGCAAATGCAATGATAATTATTCGAATGTTACGCGGTCTTCATCATTCGGTAGTGATTTGTAATTTTGGTGTATTTGCCTGCTTTTTCACATTGATAATGTTGATCATTACAAATACTTTCTGTCTACCACCTTGTGAAAATCGTTTTTTGATTTTAATGCTCGGCATTTTCAGCTTTTGGGGTCAACTTTTATTGACAATTTCTTTAAAAATGGAAGAAGCTGGAGTTATATCGATTGCAAGATCAACCACAATAGTCTTTGCATTTATTTGGCAAGTAATTTTTTTCAAACAAATTCCATGTTTTTATTCCATTTTGGGTGCTCTACTTATTGTAAGTAGCGTTGGTTTGAATGCTTTGAAAAAGTGGGCACTTTTAAATGAAACAAACATTTCAAGAAATCTCACTCGATTTCTTAAATAAATTGAAAGTTTGTTTCAATTGCTCAAAATATATAAGCTCGGAAGAAGGAAAAAAATCGTTTTATGTTTGCCATTGATTCATCAAATGCTATATTAAGTGAACACAAAGTATATAGGTAATTGATCTCATATCGTACAATAAAAATAAGTATTATGTTTGAAAAGCAATTTGTATTTAAATTAAAATTTAGTCACTTTCAGTTTTCAAAGAAAAAAAATTTGATTGATTTCAAATCTGCAAAATTTTATAATTTTTTTATTTTGATGACTGAAAAGAATTTCAGTTACGAATTTAAAGGAAAAACTCTCGATCTTCGTTTGGTAACTTTGTGAGCTTTCCTCAAATGCTTTCCTAAGGCGTCTTTTCCATCATAATTCTTGGAACAAAACTAGATTAAAATTTAATTGATTTTTATGAGAATATTTATAAGATGGAAATACAAACTTACACTACATACGAAGATTTCATCTGACTTTTCATGCGTTCGACGATAATGATTTCTGATGTGATCTTTTTGCTTAAAAGTGCTGCTGCATCCAGGATAATCACAAGCAAATGGTCTCACTTCGGGGTCTTCTGTGTGAAGTCGATTATGTTTTTGTAGTGCTTGTTTCGTTACGAAACTCGCTTGGCATTCTTCACAACGATACCTTAAATATTCAAGCTAATTATAAAAATAAAAAGGATTTATTTTTGAAGATAACTCACCGATCTGGATCTGTGTGACGAACTCGATGTAATCTCAAATTAGCTCCTGATCTGAAGGCTTCCGTACAAAATTCACATTTGTAAGGTTTCAACTCAAGATGAATGTTTCTGTGATCACGTAAAACTCTGCTGTCAGAAAAAGCTGCATTGCATCCTTCCATGTCACATTTGAAAGGCCTTTCATCAGAATGATGAATTAATTTATGTCGCTTCATTTTATGTGAGAAAACCATCATTGAACACTGATCACAAATAATTCTCTGTTGAGAAATTATTTTTCTGAAAAGTCCGACATGTCTGAGTACGTGATTTTTTATCTGTTCTCGATTGTTAAATTTTGATCCGCACATATCACAACAAAAGAACTTTTCACGATGAGTGTAGAAATGTAAAGTGAGTTGCTTTTGTGTGTCAAATGTTTTCAAACATTTATGGCATTGTAAATTGTCAACATCGACTGAAGAACGCGGTGGATCGTGGGTTCGGATATGTGCATGAAGATTTTTTAATGTTTTACAGCGACTGGTGCAAGATTCTCGTGGACATTCATAGGAATTTAGAGGATTATGTTCAAGATCCCAATGTTTTTGAGCTCCTTGCTTGTATTTGAACTGCTTTGGACAAATTTTGCATTTAATTTTTGGTGAATCAGAAGGTTTACGTTTATTACGATTACAAATTTCAGGATCATGTTCATTCCTACAATGCTTTTGTAAGTTCTGTTTGCTTAGAAATGACTTGTCACAATGTTCACAATTGAAGTGCTGTTTCTTCTTATTGTCACTTAAACTTGGAAGTTTATTTGATAATGTTTCAAGATTTACTAAATCTTTTGAATTTTTGAAATACGACACGAAATTAGTGTCATCAACTTCTGTACTGCATTTTTCTTGCGATTGAATATTCTCAATTGTTTCTTCGTTTTCTATTTTGAGAGTAAAATGAAACAATAAATGATTTATCAAATTTGTTTGAAGTTCAATTCCTTCAGGACAGACACAGCAGGATATGTTAGCTACAAATAAATGAATAGTAAGATCATGTACCATAGAAACAATACAATAAATTTAATTTACTTTGACTATTATGATTATTAACAATATGGTCAAGCAGAAGTTTCTGATAATTTAGGCCGATTGGGCAAAGACAACATTTTTCCAATTCATTTCCCTCGGTGACATCTGTTTCAAAGACAGCTTCTTGAATATAGAACTCTTCAAAGGGTTCATCCTTTACTTTGAAATCCTTTGAATATAACTGTTGATAAACTGACATGTCGTTTCTCAAATCAATTTTTAATTGTAAACAAAAGCAAAAATGTCTAAACTCAGAGGGGTCAACAACTAATTTTTGCTTCTAAGCAAAAATTGATCCAAAATTTACAGAAAATTAATTTTTTGGTTCAAGTTGCCGATACAAAGCTGTTCAAACTTCCTTTTTTTCAATTATAATCAAAAGTATTTCATCTAATAATGAGTAATAAGAAGGGTGATAAGCAGGAAGATGAACAAGAGGTATGTACAAGTACCAATAAATTTAAAATGGAATATTTCATAAAAATTCAAAAGCAAAGCCACATCATCATTGATAATTATTTTGACTGTCTTACATACTGATTCTAAATAAATGAATGAATTTAACAGGTTGTTCAAATCAATAAATGGGATGGATCTCAAGTAAAACATGCAATTGATGATGCTTTTAAGAATGTTCTCATGGAGCGACCAAATTGCAGAGAACATTTTGCTATCATTGATGGACGTCTGTTTATTTGCGCTTTAGCAGTTGGCGTTGCTTTGTTTGCCCTCGGCTATGATTACATCTACACCTTCCCAACGTCAAAGTGAGAAAACATATTATGAATATCTTTCAATCAAATATTTTATTTCAATTCTTGTTTCAGACCAATTTTAATTGTTTGTGTTGCTTCATACTTCGTTCTTATGGGAATCCTAACGATCTACACAACTTACGTTGAAAAAGGAATTTTCGCTGTAGCAATTCAAAGTGATGGAAGTGGTAAAACATTGAGGAAATGGACAGCAAGTTCTGACATGAAGAAATATGATGATAAATATACGCTCACACTCAGCGTGAAAGATTCGAAGAATGTTCGTGAAGTTTCAGTCACAAAATCATGCGCTAACTTCGTTGATGTTGATGGCGTTGTTTGCACAGATCTGGTAGGCGCAGAGCTAAAGCGAATCTACAATTCTTTAAATAATGCTGAAAAAAAAGACAAGTAGAAAAAATGTTTTTCTGTTTCTCAAGAATAAAAGAAAATGAAAGTTTTTTTTAAATTTTTATTATTCTACAGTAGGTAGCATCTTTGATTTGACATCTTTAGCTGTTTAAGAATATATTTTTGTTATTACAAACCATACAGGTAATGTACGTTAAGCTACCAGCTTTTGTAATTTTAATTACTTAATTTGACTTAAAAAAGCTTAAGTAGTGATTAATCAATAAAACTAAATTTTCCTTTTTCTAAATTTATATTCAATTTTCAAATGTGACTGTTTACCGATTTATGTATACCGTCAACAGCTGTGAATCTAGTTTTTTTTTAAATTCTCTTCATCCACATTTGTCGATTTAAAATTTTAACGCTGTGATGTTTTTCACAAGCCAATTCAGCGTCTTGAGGTGAATTGAAATTAATGCAAGCATTTCCTGTTGGTTGTCCCATATCATTGTAACGTCTGATGATTTGATCTTGATGGAGATCGAATTCACGAAACTCGTCTAGAAGATCTTCAATCGTTGCCTTATAGCAAAGATTAGACAACATGACGACACATCCTGGACTTCCAAAGTCTGGTGGTGGTGCCCAATCATTTCGATTTGGACGATTTTGTTGTTGATTTTGACGCATCGAATCATCGCCACCGAAAGAACTTAAAACGGCATCGACCTGCTCACGTGGAATTAACATAATTGTCACTCGCCTTTCTTTTAACATTTGATTGTTTTTCGAAAGAGCTCGATTAGAATCGTTTGGATATTTGAACTCAACAAAACAATCGCCACATGGTTGACCTAAATATTAAAAATTGAGAAATTATTTTAATTACACCAGCGATTCTCAAACTTTTATGTTAAACGATTTTTGAAGATCGCGAAGTTGAACTTGCTACGTTAAAATTAAGTTTCTATGCCAAAAAATTTCCAATTATATAAAAGAAAATGAAAATTTCAACCAACCTTTCTTATCGAGCAGAATATGAACCCGCATTTTATAAATTCCAATATCATTGAAAAAGCTTTCGACTTCAGCAATTGTTGTGTTTGTTTCCATATTTTTCATTATAATACAGTCAGTTTTTATCATATTTTGTGGTCCACTGTTGTTGCCACCAAATCGTTCATTGTTGAAATTTCTTTGTCTTGGATCGCGTGATTCAACATTGGAAGTTTTATGTTGATCGCGGCTTCTCATGCTGTCACGTGAATTGCTATTACTTGAATGATTTGTGTCATCGTTCATTTGATCACTGTTAACTGGATCACTCGTCTCTTCATTCTGTTCACTGCTGTTGTTGTCATATTTTCCAAATTTCTTCACCAACTCATTGTATTGTGCTTCTGATCCCGCTTCTAAGAACACTCGCTTGTTACGAATGTAATGAATGTATCGATTCTCCAACGTAACTTTTGCTGCTTCATGTGAATTGAACTTCACATAAGCTTTGTAACGATCAATGACGATGCCGACAATGTTCGGAAAAGCTTCCCAAATGTCAGGTTCACTTGATGTTCGAGGAATATCGTCAACTATCAAAACAGTGAAATTCTCGTCAGGTTCATACTGAATTTCCTTCTCTATTGGATTATCATTTCTATTTCCGGTTCTATAATTTGATCTTTCATTTTGATCGCGTCGGTAATTTCCACCATTGTTACCTCGATCGCGATTATTGTTATTATTGTTGTTATATGAACGATTATTCCCATATCGATCATTTCCACGATGATTGAATCCACGATTGTCACGTTCTCGACTGTCACTTCGATCTCGATATCTTTCATTTCTTGTATCAGAACGATCATCGTTCTGGAAGTTGTTATGAACAGCATTTTGTTGACGATTTTTATTAAGAGAATTGCTCAACCCACTTTCAAAATCTTCCTCAGATATTGAAGTGATGATCACTTGCGTACTTTTCAATTGCCACATTGTCTTCGTCAATGCTTTCTTCTTTGAATCGGAAGAAAGAAATCTAATAAGAACAACTCCAGTTCGATTATTTCCACTGTCAGTAAGAAATTTAATGTCGTTATTTCCAATCGGTAAGCCATTGAAAAACTTTCTCAAGTCACCATAATATGTCTCGTTGTCAACATTTGCAACTTTTACACATGTTCCAATATTCCCAAGAGATGATGATGATGGAATTGCATCGATTCGATTTTCCGTTTGATAATTTCGTGTTGGTGGAAGTTGCATTGAATTTCCATTATTAAACATTTGATAAGAGTTTTGAATTGTCTGCTGCTGTTGTTGTTGTTGTTGTTGAAGTTGAATATTTCTGTCATTTGTAAAAAGTTGTGGTGGTGGATTTTCCCAAATAGAATTTGTGGCAGTTGGTGGTGGAACTGCATAACTGTTAGCAGATGATAATGAATGATTTATGTTCGGTGGAAAGGCAGCAATGTTTGACGTATCTTGTCGAGACTCAACAGCACTGAATCGTGATCGTCGACGAAATCCATCACGTCCTTCTTTCTCACTGTCATTGTAACGTTCGCGTGAACTTGAACGAGAGCGTATTGAAGAATTTCTTTCATTACTTCGACTACGATGTCGACTTCGAAATGTATTTCTCTCTCTCGAGTTTCCTCTTTGACTTCGTGGGTCTTTATTGTATGATGCGGGCATTAATGATGGTGGAAGATTTGATTTGGGATCAGACAATTTTGTATTTAAACCAGAAGTCATTGAATTCAAATAGTTTGCTGAATTTGGATCCATTAACGATGCATAATAACTAGCATAAGCTGCAGCAGCAACAGCAGCATTTTGAGGAACTCCCGAATTCATAACATCAGTTGGTGCAACATTTTTATATGCTGACATCACATTCATTTGTTGGACTTGATTTAAAGAAGGAATTTGTGGAGTTTGCTGATGTTGCATTGAATGAGTTAAAAGATTTGTAAGCGACATAACTGGAGGTTGTTGAGATGTCATAACTGCAGCTCCACTTTCCAATTGCTTTTTAGCGAATTGATTTGCAATCACAGATGCTGGTAACACCGTTGATTGCTGTTGTGGAGCAACTTTATTCAAAAATGATGAACTGGAAGCTTGGCGAGCTTTTTCAATAACTTTTTGCATTTCAGAACGCGATGATAAAAGTAAAGTTACTTGAACTTCTTTAATTTTCCCGCCATTTAATTGCATTGCACATCTGGCATCTTCATCAGTGCTTTATGAGTAAATGAATAATGTGCGTCAAAGAGAGTAAAGAAAAGAAAGGAAACAAATAAATACTTCTGATCAATAACAGGCAATTGCATAACAAAATCTGCAATCGATCGACTTTCATCGAAGGAACATCAAGTTCGATATCAGATGAAATTGCAAACAACATTTTTATATACTTTTGTAAACCTCGTCGATATTTATTTTCAATAATTTAATTGAGTCATATGTGAAAGAAAAACTTCCTGCTGAAACTCTGACGAGGGAGCTGAAAAATTTCCAGTTGCAAGTGAATCTTATTTCGTTTTCTATTTACGTTTTGTAGACTAAGTGAGAGTGAGAGGAATTATGCAACTTTTATATCTATTTCAATTAATTAAAGATGAAAACATGCTGCGCTATAAGACAGTGACAAATATCGGAAGTGATCGTAACATGGAAGAATCTGAAACATTTCTTAGCTTGTTTTGACCATTTTTGTCATTGAATATTTCATTATGATATCAAAACATGACGATGCAATTAAGAGAAGTGTAATATAAAACATAATTTATCGAAGATGAAAACAATATCTACCTGAAAGCAATAAATGCATCACCGTTCTCTCCACCTACGATGTGAACACCACCTTCAGGAATCATGAGACCTTTGAAGAAGTTGCGAATATCAGTTGCGTTCGCTGACCATGGTAGATTTTGAAGTCGAATTATGACATTCATTTCGTATATTTGGAATTAACTATCTTTTCTTTCTTTTTTCAATTAATTAAATATTTTTTAATGAATTCTTATTTTATTAGTTAGCAGAACTTGCTCGATGAATAATTCTTCTGTAAGTAGACAAATAATTCTTTGGTTAAAACTAAAAGCTTTTTCTTTTGTTTTTCAACTTTTTCAAACTGTAAAAGTCACTGTGATGATTTAAACTTCCATGAAATTTCACGAGATAAATTAATGTTGCTTTATTTGCTAATTTTATCGATGTTAATCTATGTGATTTATATTAAAACGACAACTAGAAAATTAAAGTTTATCATCAACTAATTAGATGTTAAAGAAAGAAAGATCTCCTGAAATGCTATTATGTCTCAATTTATTGCAATTACTTCATTACTTTAATTAATAAATTGCTTTCCAGGGCTTCGATCTTATATTTTATATTCCGGAATAAGAAAAAATGAAACAAAAATCAGAAGAAGAATAAAATTTAGTTCCGGAATATGCAAATGAAATACTTCACTCCTGTTTTATTAATCAGAAGAGAGTGATAAGAATCTGATTCATAGCAAACTGAAAAATAAAATTCATAAATTCATGTTGAGAGGTTGACGGAACTTTAACATTGCAAAACTTTATGTGAAAAAATCTGAGAAATTTCAAACAATTTCTTCGACCTTGAGACATCGAGAAGTTTCTTTTTATTACTATTTATTAATATTCAATTTCATCTTTCAAGTCTGTTTCCTGTTTAATTACACAGCATCTTATTATTCAATCAATACTTTATAGCTGAATAAACAAGCGAAACAACTTCATTCGATTCAATAATTAACTTTGTTCAGTATGTATTTAATTAGCACTGGTTTTTATTTTATTTTATAATAATGATTAGATTGATAAATCAAATTTACTTCCATGTAACGAACATAAACTCACATGCGACTACTCATGAAAAGACAAAGAAATTGTTGACCATGGAAAAGTTAATTCGTTCATCCTTAAATGTCTTAAATTTTCTTTTTCTTTCTTTCTTTCTTCAAAAAAAGTATGAGTAAATTAATATCCGTGCATAAATCGATATCTTTTATGCTTTGTTGTTAATGTAGGCATTACAAAACTGTGGAGAATGAAAGAAACAACATATGCAGCCACAATCGCAATTAGATATCGTTTATCATAACGCTGAACTCTTCTTGTGTGTTGTAATTTTCCTTCCTATTTTTATTTTTCCTTCCAACATAACAACACATCAACTTACACATAAGATTATTGCAACAATAATTACGGGGCAAATCAACCTAAAGCTGGTGACGTTTTTAGAAAATTTTTCTTCGTTTTCGCCAAGAAACGCATACAAAGCAAAGAAAATTGCATTCGCTCATCAAACTTGATTGTTGAGTTTTATTTAATATTTTATTTGATCGACAAATATATGCTTGACTTTGAAAATACCAATAAAATGTTTAGAGAGAAAGTAAAACTAACCATTTATGTTTATAAATAAGACGATATGATCTCAATGGAGTCTTAGTTCGAATTGATACATTGTCGGTCTCACAAGTCATTCTAACGTTGTTTATATTTCTTTCAAATTATTAAAATCATAAGCTATAATGATGATCTTTAAAGTAAGTTGTGAATCAATTGACTTCAATCATTCTAAGTGTTGAATTAATGTAATTAAATTGATGATAAATTGAACTAAACCGTTGAAATTAATTGCAGGATAGTTCACCATATGTGCTATTACTTGTTGTGTTTGTTGCAAATGTTACATGTGATGATGAAAGCAGTGATGATACCTCGTCGAAAATAAAACGCGAGGCTTCAATTGACGATTTTAATATTCCTAACATGGATTTATCAAAGCATGACGGAACTATTTTAAAAACATTATTAAATGAAAATACGGATAATATAAGACATGATGCAGTTTCACCGTTTGATGATTTAAATTCTCGAATAAAAATGGGAAAGACAACAGTTGAGTTTTGGCCATCGGATATGGATAAGGAAAAGTTTTTCAATTTGACAAAAGATTCGCCTTTAAGTTCACCAATAGATTTTTGGCCGAAAGGTGGATTGAATCAGGAAGTGCATATGGAAGTAAATAACAATAACAGAGAGCCTGAAAAATTACCAGATGTTCCCATAAATCATCAATACATTCCCGACATTGCTATTGACAAGTTTAGTGAAATAAGTAAACCAGACTTTACCGAATATCAACCAATGTTTGAAGCTGGACCAACTGAGATTATCATTGTTGATGATGATGCTATTACAAGCCGAGCACCAATTACATTTCCGACTTCGGAACCAACATCTAAAAGTCCTGATCATACGATTGCAATTGTAACACGCGGTGGTAACAACAAAAAGAGAAAATTGAAAAAGAAAGTAAAGACTGCGGACGTTACAATGCCATTTTCTGAAATATCTGTTTCTATTACACCTTCATCAAACACAGTCATTGATACAATGGTTGATAAAAGTAATAATATGCATAATATTAATGATTACAATAATATTGGAAATGGCTTTCAATCTACACCGATTTATGAGAATATTGATGAGCCTTTCATTGATGTCTTTAAATCAGTTCGTTATACTGACGTCATTTCTAATTTAGCCAATCTTACTGAGCTGTCTTTCTCTTCAAATCGCATTAACAAAACCGATAATAGTGAAGTTGTAGACAGAGGACTGCCAGTTGATATAAATCCAATAACAAGTTCAACTGATTTGACTTCAGTGAACAATATAAATGATATAAGTGATTTAACCAGCAGCACTGTCAGTAGTCAAATGTTAAACAGTTCAGATGAATTATTATTATCAAGAAGTATCATTGATTCACCATTAGACATAATGCTTAATCAATTGAAAAGTGCTATTGAAGAGCGTAACATAACAAAGATAAAAATCATTGTTAATGCATATGAAGAGCCAGAAACAAAGACAGAAAATATTGTGATAATCATGAATGCAACTGAGAACGCGATTGCTACAGAATCTTCATCTTCTGCTATGGAAACCATGTCAGATGTGACAACTGCTAAAGTTAAGGTTCATACAGCTTCTCGCGTTCGTAATTTCCAAAGAAAATTTAAAAAACAAAAACCGCAAATATTAAATGATGTGCTAAAGGAGAATATTAATATTATAACTGGAACAGAAACTTTACCACCATCAACAGTGTCAGACAGTGTCAGTCAAAGTACTGAAAGCATTACAAAGGTAGACACTTCAAGCATGAAGCCGATTGTCGTAAGAAGTCGATCATATTTAACGATGAGAAAACGAAATACCGTAACTAGAATAAGCAGACATTCGCCAAGAAATAATCGTCGGCGTAATAGACGAAGACCAGCATATACCAAACATGATAATAAAAAAGAATAATTTTTGTTTTGTTTTGCAATATATACATACATGTATACAATGAGAACATCGAAGAATCTATTGGAAACTGTAGTTTCTATATATGTTTTAATTTTTTTTGAACACTTTTTCCTTGATAATACATTTTGTCGATTAATGTTGGGAGAGTCTTCAACTTCATGAAAGACAAAGACAACATGAAGTTTTCTGTCTCGCTCTAATATGTTACGTATCAATTTTTATTTTAATTAAATATTTATTTCTTCAAATTTCTATATCTTTCATCAACATAACATCTCTAATTACTTTCATTTAGAAAACACAGTATGATTTAGTTTTAAATCTTTAATATTAAATACAATAATCTACTTTAGATTTCTTCCATCTTTAGCCAAGCTTTTTCTTTTCTTTTCAACATTAACTTACCACTCTGCAAAATATTATTTATTATTCACTACACGATCAATTTTGAAGTTTTGTAAAGTTTTCGAAGTGTTTGTATTTTATAAGATGTAAAGATTAGTTTTTATATAGTTATAATAAATTTTTTCTTGAAGATTTTAATGGCTCCATTGAATGAATATTTGTTTGATGTTTGCTTCTTTTAGTACATTTTAGCATATTTTTTGCTTCTTTCCTACGAATCTGCTAATGTTTTCATTACACCGCATGAGGTTTTTGCGTTGATTGTTCCTGACGTTGAAACATAAACAAAAAAATGCAACAAGATTCTTCCAGTGAAAATTTGGTAGAAGACAATGCTCCAGTTAAAACTCCAGCATCAAAAGTGTTTGATAAATTTGAAAAGGATGAGTTTGCCTATTTAAAGAATACCGGATTTTCCAGCGAAATATTCAAAATTGAAATAAAAAATCTTCCCAAGTATTATGGTTTCGGAGAAATTAAGAAACTAATCAACACTACTTTAGGACTTGAAAGCAATAAAATTAAAGTCCCTAAGAAGAACTCGCCATACGGTTTCATATGTTTTAAAAACGATGATGGTAAGCTTTAGAAGTTAGATTTGTTAAATTAATTTTATAATATATATTGATATCTTGACAGATCGGCTGAAGGCTTTGACTGCTTTGAACGGTTATAACTGGAAGGGAAATATATTGAAAGCAAGTTTTGCGAATCCAGCTCATGATCCTCTCATTAAAAAGCGTAAACAAGAGGACAGCAATAATGGAAGTGACAGCAAAAAACCAAGAACGGTAGCAGAAGGCAGCGAACCTTTGGGACATTTAGAATATCCAGAACAACTTTCCATTAAACAAAAGAAAATTGAGGACAATCTTAAGCAGTTTAAAATTGATTTACGACGAGCAAACTCAATTCAGAGAAAAATGCCACATGATCAGAACAACGATTTAATTTGCGAATTGAGAGATATCGTCCAAAGCCCATTGACAGAAGCATATCGCAATAAATGCGAGTTTTCTATTGGAAAAACTGTTGATGGTGACATTGAAGTTGGAAATAGACTTTCTAGCTATGCTTCTGGATGTACATCAGTTGCTAACGTAGCAGAACTTAAATTACCAACTCCAAGAATGAAGTTGGCGGCTCAATTGGTGAAGCAGTTTGTATTGGAGTCAGGTTTGGAACCTTTCAACGCAGAGAATTATACGGGAATTTTTCGAAATTTAACAATTCGAGAAAGTCGACAAAATGGTTTTATGATGATTATTGGAATTCATCCACAACAAATGACAGATGAGGAGAAGGATAAATTTCAAAAAGATTTTGTAAGTTTCTTTGAAGTAGGAAATGGTAAAGATCTCAATGTCACCTCATTGTATTATGAAGAGATACAAAAACGACAAAGTGGACAAGTTGGAAATTTCATTAAACATATTTTTGGTGACACTCACATTTATGAATACATTCATGGATTGAAATTTCGTATTTCTCCTTGCTCATTCTTCCAAGCTAACACTGCTGCAGCAGAGAACCTCTACCAGTTAGCAATAGATTTGTCTCAGTCGAAGAAAGACTCGACTGTATTAGATATCTGTTGTGGAACTGGCACAATTGGCTTGTGCTTTGCCAAGCATTGCAAGTGGGTGTATGGAATGGAAATAATTCCACAAGCTATTGAAGATGCGAAAGCTAATGCAAGAGAGAATGGAATAACAAATGCAACATTTACTGCGGGAAATGCTGATGACTTAATATTCTCCATGGTAAGAGAAGCAAACGTTGGAGCTGATGAAGACATAATAGCAATCGTTGATCCACCTCGAGCTGGTCTTCAAACCAAATCAATTCAACAATTGAGAAATTCTGAGAAAATTAAGCGTCTTGTTTATATATCATGTTCACCGTCTCAAGCATTGAAGAATTTCGTCGATTTATGTAAAAATTGTTCAAAGACAATGAAAGGAAATCCATTTGTTCCAAAAGTAGCAGTACCAGTTGACTTATTTCCAAACACTCCGCATTGTGAACTTGTTGTTCTTTTTGAAAGATAATTATGTTGAAAAATTATTATTGACTAAATAAAATGAGAATTAAAAATTAAATTGCAATAAGGTTTTTAAGATTCCCGCTAAAATTTCAAATTTTTTAGCATAACGTATAACTTCTGCTAAAATCTTTCAATAATTAATAAACATTCCATTTAAATAAATCTTATCCAAAATACTTGAAGAGTCCAATTAAAATTAGCAATAACAATGAAAAAATGGATGCTGTTTTGGATATAGAAGATCAAATTCAACTGAATAATTTGTATTTTAGTCAAAAATCTTCAGAAGTTCGTGTTAAAGTTGTCACAAAGGATTCTCATGGCAGAACAGAAACAAATGTAGAAAGATTAAAAGTTCAGAAGCGTAACGTCAAACAAATTTGCATTACTTCTCCTTACGAATCACAGCCTATTGCAAACACGATTTCTTTGTCAATCGACGATGTCAAAAGAGCAAATTATAAAGAAAGTAAATGTTGGAGTGTTTTCAATATAAAATTTCGTAGAGTTTTAGTTTATGGGAAAGTTGTTGTGTTAAATATTTCTTCAAGAAATGGAAAAACAATGTACAGATTTTCAATTGATGATGGCTCTGAGGAGATTATTGGAACGATGACTGTGACTAAGGAAGCAAAACAGAATGGTAAAGACATCATTTTTATTAATTAAGAAGTACTTAACAATACCTAATTGCTTCGCAGTGTCTGCTTTTAGAAACCGATTAAATGTTCTAAACAATCAGTTGAATAGAGCAAAGGAGATAGGGATAAACTTGAAAGGCACATTCCATTCACCAGACTCGTCAGAATGCCAAGAAATTCTTCAAAACATTTCAGATCTCAATTCAATGACATCGAGTAACATTGAACACATGAGAAAAGTTTATCAACTCGGTCCAATACAACAAAAAGCTTTGATTCTGGCGACTTTATATAAAACCGATGAGAATAATGTCCAGCTTAATATGCTAGACATGTCTTTAAATGATCGAATAGAACTTCTATGGAAGCAACAATTGAATCGTCTGTACAGGAAAGAATATTTAAATAAATCAAAAGTCTGATAAAAAAACTTATTTCTTCACTTTATTTCTTCTTTATTCATTTTCATCTTTTAAACTTTTTTATTTAGGATAAATTGATATAAGGTTTAATGACAAATTTATTCAATTAAGAAGAAAAAAACCTTTAAGTGCAACATAAAAGTTTTAAAATTAATCCATTCGCTAATTTGAATAAGAAAAAACAAATTTGACATTTAAATTTTTGATGTTTTTAGCAGAGAAAGAAAAGCAAAATAAGAAATGAAATGAATCGCAACTATTTGATTGCTGTTGTTCATTATTATGCAGTTTTTGCACGCATTGCTGCTCTCTTGCTTGTGACTGCTTGGAAACCAGATTTGATACTTGCAACTGAACATCTTGAACCACATGATTCGCATTGAAGGAAGAAAATTCGTGTATCTTTTTGTAAAATTGTTTCTGGTGATCGGCAGGTGTGACAGGTGACATATTCTTTAATGTATCTGTTGAAATTAAAAGATCTTTCATTAGAAATCTTAAGAATTTAAACATTTCTAATTCAATTTACCTTCTTAAGACATTTTCGATTTGTTTTGGTTGAAAACGACCTTTGATGATAAGCTGGGAGTTTCCATCGACAGAGCCACTCGTTCCCAATTCAGCTAATAAGAAGTCCAATAAATGTTTCGGTTGTCTAAAATATTTCAAAATGATTAAACTTTAAGAGCTTATCAATCAAAGTTATTTTACCTATGCAAAGTTTTACAAATTTCTGTGAAGTTTGCAAATGAAGTCTTCTTTGTTCCAACACGAAGGACTTGTGGAGGTCTCATGACAAATTTGGGTTTTCGACCAGCAGCCATATCAGGATTCTTCTCAGAAATGATGTCAAAAACGCGATGTAAAAGTTCATCATACGTATAATCACGATCTGAACCAGCCCATGTGATTGCGTTATCTTCTACTGAAATCATTTATTATAATTAACTATAATCAAAGCCTTTGATTGATGTTATAAAATGAGAAAGTAAGAAACAACAAAATTTCTACCTTTTTCACATTCTCCACCATCGTTATCGGAAAAGCATGTTAGTAAAAAAGTTTTACATTTGTTAATCATTTTTTTGGTGTTGTAAGTTAGTTTATATTCTACCTGTACAGTGCTCAATACCTGCATTAAAAGGTACAAGTCATACTTCTAAACTACGAATTAATATTTACCATTTTCAAGTTCCTCGTTCTCTTTGTTGTCTTTTAGAAGTTCTGTTATTTCAGTTTTCTTCTTCTTTTTCTTTTTCATTCCCAAATCGAACGTATCATCGATAGCACCACTTTCATCGTCGAGAACAAATTCACTTTCTCCTTGAACAACTTCATCCGTTGCTGTTGGCAAAGCAGCATCTAAGTCATCGAGATTGAAGCCCGTCTTCTTCTTTTTACGCTTTTTCTTTCCGAAATTCTCTAGATCTAAATCATTGTCAAGATCAATGCCATCAGCAGCATTATTATCGGGATCTGTTTCCTGAACGGTAACTGGACTTGAAGTTTCTTGGGAGTCGCCTTCTGCCAACACTGCATCAATATCGAAAGTCGTCTTCTTCTTCTTTTTCTTTTTAACAAGCGATGGATCAAAAATCTAATGAAATGAAGAATGTTTTTTAATCCTTTTGATAACAAAATATAAAAAGTGAAGAGAAAGTTTCGAATCAACCTAAGTCTGGAGAGGTAGAATTTGAACCAAATTACTATTCGTCTCTTTATTTGTAATTCCTACACTTCTCTCATTAACCATTTATATATTTCAACTTACTGCGTCTTCTTCAGTCATGTTTGAAGAGAAATTTATAACTTTTAATCTTTAATTCTCGTATAAACTCGCGGAAATATTTTTTTAGAAAAGATGATGAAATCTGCTTTACAGTTAAACTTCTTTTGTGACCACGAGTGATAAATAATGCTAACTTAATACAAATTTATGATCAATGCTAAATCATGTTTGTCGGACTGGCAATGTTTTTATGAAGTTCTTATGTACCCCGAATCGCTTTGAAGTGGGGGCGCATCACTTTAGCATCAATCAGGATTTGTTATTCTTAGGCAATCATTTTAATTTTTATCTTATCTTATTAATGATAAGATATATCACAACCAATTTATCATGCTGAGGTGTTTTAGTTTATGTTTATTGCTTAATGTTGTTGGTAAGTGTTTTTGTTAAATAAAATCAATGAAATTAAGTGAATCATAATTTTGGGGTGTTGCCTTTTAAATTTTGATACAAATTTCTTTGAATTTATTTCAGGTTTCGTCTTAGCGCAACATGCGTTTGATGAACATGGATCAAAAGAGTTGAAATGGTGTACGATAAGTGAAGAAGAGCAATGGAAATGCCTTAATTTCACAAATGCCTTAATTCGTGATCGAGCTTTGTTTGACGACAACTTTTTGGACTTAAAATGTATAAAAGGCTACGATACAGAACAATGTATCAAAATGATTGATGGCGATAAAGCTCACATAATGTCACTTGATGCTGGAGAAGTTTTTATTGCTGGTCGTTATTTCTCTTTAATTCCAATCATGCAAGAAACATTAGACGGCGGTTTAAGCAATTACTACGCTGTTGCTGTCATCAAAACTAATACTCTGCCTGATGTTCATCATATCCGTGACTTAAGAAACAAGAAAGCTTGCTTCCCTTATGTTGGATCTCAAGCTGGATGGAACATTCCAATTTATACTGTGAGTTATTTTAGATAAAATATATAAATTTAGCTAAATAAATTTTTATTTATTTTCTAAGCTCATGAAAGAAGGAAATATGCCGATTGTTGATTGTAATAATCATGTTAAGAATGCAATAGCATTTTTCGGAGACTCTTGTGCTGTTAATTCTCTTATTAACAAATATAATCCAATCGGCGACAATTCTGACAGGTAAGAATTTAAATAATTTATTAAAAGCCAAACTAACTTGAACTAAATTTCTTAGATTGTGTCGTATATGTATTGGAAAAGTGCCTGGTGGTTGGTGTACGTCTACCGATCCTTATGTCGGCTTTGAAGGAGCTTTCAAATGTTTGAAAGAAGCTGGCGAAGTTGCATTTTTAAAACACACAACTGTGAAAGAAATGGTTGACAGCAAAGAATTCAAAGGCATTCCAACTGATGAATTCCAATTGTTGTGTAAAAATGGACAGCGGATGCCGATATCAGAACACTTGCAATGTAACTGGGGAATGGTACCATCAAATGCAATCGTGACATCTTCAGCAAGAACAATTGAAGAAAGAAAGAAATATCAAAAGTTTTTGGAAGCTGCTATGAAGTTTTACTCACATAAAAAGTCAACAAACTCAACAAGCTTCACTAACAATGACAATGCCAACAATCGTTTTGATCGTTTTGGGAATCCAATTGATCGCTTCAACAATCAAAATCAACAAACAGATCGATTTGGCAACAGAAACTCAAATCGAAATCCTTTCAGTGTTTCAACAACAACTGAGGCGACTTTCAACGACTCACAACCATTCGAAAGTTTTGAGATTTTTGAGTCAAAACGGTATGGATCTCGATTAAATTTACTGTTCCAGGTATTTAAAAGAGTGAAATTCCTTGAATTGTTTGAATATTAAATTTCATTTCTTTTTTAATCTAGGATTCAACTTATGGTTTAAGAGCGATTGAAGAGAGTGAACAAACATTCAAATCATTCCTTGGAGAACATGAAAAGATTATTTACGATATTCGTCAATGTCCAGTTAATCGCATGACACTTTGTATAACATCCGATGCTGAGTACGAGAAATGTGTGAAGATGAGAGTAAGTTAAACAAAAAACATCAGTTGAATGGAATTAATGTTATTTTAATCATTACAGACTGCTTTGAAAGCTCAATTGGTGAAACCTGAAATGCTTTGTCACAAAGCGCATTCACACATCAATTGCATGCAAGCAATTCAAAATGGAATCGCTGATGTGACAGTTCTTGATGCAGCTGACGTTTATACAGCTGGGTTGAAATATGATCTGATCCCATTCATTTCCGAAGTTTACAATTTAGGTGAACCTGAGTATTATGTTGTGGCTGTTGCTAAAGTCGAAGATCCAAGCACAGAATTGACATATTTGAAAAATAAATACACTTGTCATTCGGGAATTAATACAGCAGCTGGATGGATCTATCCAATGGCATATCTAATTTCTAATGGATGGATTCGTCCTTATGGATGTGACAGCATGCGCGCTGCTTCGGAATATTTCACAAAATCTTGTATTCCTGGAGCTATAAGTAATGAATACAACATTGGTGTGCCTTATGATAATCTCTGTGACTTATGTCATGGAGCAAGTTACAGATATTGTCGTCGTGATGCATCAGAAGATTATTACGGTCACACAGGAGCTTTCCGCTGTTTAATTGAAGGCGGTGGTCATGTTGCATTTGTAAAGCATACGACAGTTTATGAAAATACTGGTGGAAAGCGAAAAGAATGGTGGGCAAGAGATGCCTTAGATGATGATTTTGAATTACTTTGTGCTGATGGTACGAGAGCAAAAACGAAAGATTATGCTCACTGTAATTTGGGACGAGTCAAATCGAATGCAATTGTGACAAGGGGAGGTGATGGATATAATCAACAGCAAATCGACGCATTCATCAATCTTTTCATTTATGCTCAGCAATATTATGGTCGGAAAACTAAAGATGATTTTAGTTTCAGTATGTTCTATTCACCGCAACCTTATCATGATTTGATTTTTCAAGATTCAACTCGTCAGCTCCAAGTGATTCCAACGAATAAACGACGATGGGATTTGTATTTAGGCACAGATTTTCTTAGAGCTCGAAGAATCACAGATTGTGATTCATCTGCAGCTACAATGAATCTCAACAGCATCTTGATAGGCTCTCTCATATTTACACTTTATTTTATTTATAGATTTTAATGAAATTTTAAACATTCTACCAAACCGTCCATATTTTTAAGAAAGAAAAAAAGTTAAAATGAACTCCCAAATTTATATGAACATTAAGTGAAATACATTCCGTCCATTTTTTTAATAACATTTTTATAGATTTCTAGACAAAAGACAAAACAAATCTATAAAATTTAATGAAAGACTTTATAATAAAAAATAAAAGAAAGTAAAGATTTTGTTGATTTTTTTAACGAACATTTTTCTGCTAAATTAGTAAAATTTAAAATATTTGTTTTGCATCAATTTTTAGCATAATCATAAAAGTGCTAAAAATTCCAATTGATATATCAACAAGCAAATGAAATTATTTTTTGTGAATTGTGCAAGTTTTTGTGCCTCGTTCTTCTAGTAATGATGTTTAAGTTTGTCTAATCGTAAGTAATGATGTGTTAAGTGAAAAAATCTCTTGCAATGTTGAATAAATACTATGCAAGAAATAAATTTAGTTTTTGTTTGTTTTGTTATTCAACCCGAATTTTTTTCTTTATTTTACACATTTGTAGATATAAAGCTATAAACCATATCAAAACTTCATAAAAATAACGTCATAAAACATGGGATGGACTTTCCTTTGCTGCGTTTGTCAACCGGAACGATCAAAAAAGAAATTTGCACCAGTGACGAGTGTTGATTTGTCAAGATGTAATTTATTCGAAATTCCCATGGATGATTTTGATCCAGGAAATTTAACAGAACTAGATTTGAGTTACAACAAATTAGATGACTTAAATCCCCTTCTGATGAGATGTAATCATTTAAAAGTTCTGAATTTATCGGACAATCAGCTTAAAGAAATTCCTGAAGCACTTTGCGATGCTTTTAAACATCTTCAGGATTTAAATTTGTCGCACAATCAATTTGAGATAATACCATCAGTGATTGGTTGTTTTCAACATATCCAGTGTTTAGATCTGTCGAATAATCCAATTGAAAAGATTCTTGATGGAACAATTACAGAATTGATCAATCTGAAAGAGCTTAGATTAAATAGCTGTGCCATTGTTTTTTTACCGGCTAATATCGGTCGATTAGTTAATTTAGAAACGTTGGAATTGCGTGAAAATTATTTAGAAAATCTTCCGCCGACAATAAAATTACTTCAACGATTAAAATTACTTGATATGGGACGCAATAACTTTGAAGATCTTCCATCGGAGCTTGGACAGTTAAAAGCTTTACAGGAACTCATCTTGGATGAAAATAATCTTTGTGATATATCAGTGGTTGGTGACTTGATAAATTTAAAACACTTGGATATAGCTTCGAACAGATTGGATTTATTTCCAGAGGAAGTGACGAATTGTACATTGCTTGAAATTTTAGATGGTGATGGAAATGATTTTGATGAAGTTCCCGACTCAATCGGAAATCTTGTGAAACTTATGAGGCTAAATCTTAACTTCGTTGGATTAAAGTTATTACCAGACTCCCTTGGATTATGTCAAGCATTAGAAGAAGTTAAAATTCAAGAAAACTATGTTCAGAATCTTCCATCTACGATTGGTTTGTTGAGAAATCTTCGCATTCTTATAGCACATGACAATTGTCTCGTACAATTACCCGATGAGTTAGCATCATGTGTTAGTCTCACTTGTTTAAACGTTGCCAATAATCAACTTACAAGACTTCCTGATAACATCGGACATTTACGGCAACTGAGGTCTTTAAATTTGATGGGAAACTTCTTAATGTACCTGCCATTATCCCTAGGAATGCTTGACAGCTTAGAAGGTTTGCAATTGTCTGCTTATCAAACTGGTATGGGAAAGCCAAGGTTGTCTCAAATTGAATATACCGATGTAGGAATCGTTCTTATCTCTCCCCTTCTTGAACAAAATTATCAACCAAGCGCTCAAAAATCGCCAAAAAAAAATCAAACGAACAAAATTCAATTCGACGTCAGGGGAACCTTCAATGAGGATAGTAGTAAGGAGGAAGGAAAGTCTTCAAAAGATCATCCGCAAATTACAAGAATACCAACACCAACACAAAAAGAAAGAAAGAAACTTGAAAAGAGTGCCAGATCAATAAGCGCTGAACATCAGAAGAAAAATGACATTTCAAAGCCATTTGAAATCAAAGAAGCTCGGGTTGCATCAACCTTAGGCGCGTCATATTCAAATACACCACGTCAAAGAAGCTCCATAGATCCTGAATATATTGAGCTGACAAACTCTAGTGAATTCAGACCTTTAACCCGACCCACCGAACCTCCACCTTACCAATTTGCCAGACAGTATTCAAAGATGAGCGCTGCAGAACTTGAAAGCTTCCAAAAAAATGCTAGTGAAAATCAAAAGAACGTTGATTTCGAAAACACTTCACTTATGCAAGAGCCAATGTTACAGTAATTATCAATTTTATTAACTCTTAATGTCTATCGATCAAAAATTCAAAACAAAATGAATCCAAATGTGCCTTAACAATTAAAAACTTTTATATTACAGGAACTAAAAATACTGTATTTTCTACTTAAAAATCTATTCTTATTATAAATTATGTATACGTCTCTATTTAGAATTTTTAAGATGTTTAATTAAAAATGTCTCTAATTTGTTTTATTCGCATTCCACAATATCTGTCGGAACCTCTTTAATAATAAAAAAAAAGTCTAATATGTACTTGTTCATAAATATTACCACCACCTTTAGTAACCATACATAGTTAAGAATTGTAATGTAGATAAATAAAATGAGAATGATTGAAAATATTTGTTTTATTGATGTAAATGAAACGTACAGAATTATCAAATATAATGATTAAACAAGAATTTGTAAAAGTTTTGAAGAAAATCATCAAAATATCTGAAATTTGAATCATGTTTTGATTAAAGAATCACAAAATTAAAATCCCTTAATTATAATTTTTTCATGAAAATATGTTTAACAGCTTTCTGAAATTTAAATCGTCATTCGATAAAAATTTGTCCGGGATAAACAAAACATTAGAAAAACATTCTAATTGGCCCATCATGCTAAAATTTTTTAGCAATTTCATTTTGTGGTTCTCCAAAGGGTCGATTTTTGATAAGACAGATTTAAAATAATTTTAATATTTGTTTCTTATAAGAATGTCATCTGTGAATTTAAGAACTGTGTATGCATTTGCAAGAGAAATGCATTCAAAAAATGCAAATATAGGTCCCATTCAGTATGGTGAGTAAGAAGTTAAATTTAACTATTGTAGATGCAATGTTGGCATTTTAATTTTTTTTAATTATATGCATTTTTTCCTTTAGGCACGGCTGGATTTCGAACATTGTAAGTAACTAGTTTTTCCAGTTCTCAGTAGTAAAATGAAAAAGAATTCTACAAATATCGTTATTAATCTTTATAAAATGTTGTTTTTTTTTAATTTTTAGACATGATAGGCTGGAATATGTGATGTATAGAATGGGATTACTTGCGACCCTTCGATCTCGATCGTTTTCTGGAAGTGCAATTGGTGTAATGATTACAGCAAGTCACAATCCAGAATCAGACAACGGCGTTAAGTTAATTGACCCGATGGGAGAAATGTTGGAAAAATCGTGGGAGGACATTGCGACTGATTTAGTGAATGTATCGGATGATGATCTCGAAGCTGAGGTGACAAAAATAGTAAAGTGTCAAGAAATTGATATGAATGCAAACGCAAATGTTTATATTGGTTGGGATACACGTTACCATAGTCCGGTACTAAGTAGAGCCGTCATGAATGGGGTCATTGCCTTGAAAGGGAACATGAAGGAGTACGGCATCGTTACCACGCCCATGTTACACTATTTTGTATATTCGCATAATGTCAAAGGAGCTTATGGTGTACCTACAGAAGCCGGGTATATTAATAAACTTGTCACTGCCTTTAAGCAACTTCGTGGTGATAATTATGAAAATGGCAATTATAAAAATCATCTTCTCTTTGATGGTGCAAATGGTGTAGGAAGTTTAAAAATGCTTGCATTTAATAGAAAACTTGAAGGAGCATTACAATGTGTAGTTTGCAATAGCAATGGAAAGATCAATTATGAATGTGGAGCAGATTTTGTTAAAACTAATCAGAAACCACCAACTGGTCTTCCCATAGCACCAGCAAACACTCGGTGCGTGTCTGTTGACGGTGATGCTGATCGAGTGGTTTATTTCTTCATTGATGAAGATGGAAAGTTCCATTTATTGGATGGTGATAGAATAGCTACACTCATTGCTAGTTATCTGATGAAATTGGTAAGTGAATGTGGCGTTAAGTTGAATTTGGGTATCGTTCAAACAGCATATGCGAATGGAGCTTCCACAGACTACATAAAGAATGAGTTAAATGTAAATGTCGCTTGCACACCAACTGGAGTCAAACATTTACATCATAAAGCAATTGAATATGACATTGGAGTCTATTTTGAAGCAAATGGACATGGAACAGTTGTCTTTAATCAACAGACGAAAGATTTAATTTCGAAAACTTTGAACAGCGATGATTCCACAGATGATCAAAAACAAGCTTCTAATGATTTGATCTTAGCCATTGATATAATCAACGAAACTGTTGGCGATGCAATCTCTGATATGTTGTTAGTGGAAACAATTTTACATTCAAAAGGTTGGGATTTGAAAGATTGGCTTGCCACTTATGATGATCTTCCAAACCTTCAGCAAAAAGTGAAAGTTAAGGATCGTAATGTTTTTGAAACAACTGATGCAAAGCGAGTTTGCGTAAAACCTGAAGGTATGCAAGATCAAATAAACATGCTAGTGAAGAAATATAAGCGTGGACGAGCATTTGTTAGACCTTCAGGGACTGAAGATGTTGTTCGTGTCTATGCTGAAGCTGCTGATGCTGAAGACGTTAAATGTCTAGCTGCTGAAATTTCGATGCTTGTCTATGATATGGCAAATGGAGTTGGTGAGAGGCCGGTCATACCTCAGCAAAAATTATAAATTAAGTTTCGCCAAGTCTTTTCTACGCTAACAGGGAAATGAGATATCTTTTCACTGCCAATTTATTCTTTTCTTTTTTTTAGCATCGAATAGAATTTTTCTTTCATGATGTGTCAGTGAAAATCTGACGATTCACTTTTGATGAATCATATCAAAAAAGAAAGAAAAAAAATGTGCAACTAACCCTCATACTAATCTTTTTTTGTTTTGTAAGTAGAAAAGACATTTTATTTTTTTATAAAATTGAGATTATCTAAACAACTAAAGTTACTAATATTATCAACGTACATATATCATTGATGATGATAAAAATTTGTTTTATAGCTTTTAATGAAATAATGAAAGTAGTTGTGACTCGCTTACAAACCTAACTTCTTTTTTATTATGTTTAGCTAGGCGAAAGTTATTAAGCAAACAGATTGAAAGTATTTATTGCAAGTGAATTGAGGAAGGCGAGCAAATATTAATGATATCTATTTTTAGAACGTAACGCTTTTTGCAAATTAATGAAACTAAATGTTTGAAAATCAAAGCTAAGTAAAGTAAATATTTAATGTATTTGATTGTTTAAAAATCTTTATTTGATAATACTTATGAGTGATACTCATACATAAGTAGATTAATGTATATGTTGCTTTGTCGTTAGCTTCTAACAATTGGAAAAGTCTAATCTGACGTTTTATTTTCCTTCAAACGTAAATTTCTAATATGTAGCTTACGTTAACACGCTTGCGTAACTTCAACGTACACTTAACATTATGAGCTGAGCATAAATTAATGTTAGTGATCAAACTTTATATAAATTTCAATTATAACGACAAAACATTATATTACATTTTCTTTTTTTAATTTTTATCAAACTTTTAACACGGACAATTCAAAACGCATTCAAAATTTTATGAAATTAGATTTGATAAATTCTTGAGGATCCTTCAAAGTCAGATCTGATTTTTGAGCTCAAAATTGAAATATTTGTACCTAACTTCTTTAAATCTCACTCAAAAACATAATAAAAATAAAAAGAAACAAACAAGGAAAGATAAGAATGCAATATGTTAAATTTGGATTAAGAATGGAAACTGTTCATACATTGAATAAATAGAAGAAATAAAAAAGTTTCATTAAAATTTTTTCAAGCAATCATTTCTGTTTTATGAGATTTTGATTGGAAATATCTTTTTTTGATAGTTTTTTCAGCTTCATATAGAAATGGTAATTAGGATTTACGACTGATATACTTGACGAAATAGTTTACGATCCCCAGTTATTGTCGAATCCATAATTAGAATCTGAATCATGATCGGATGAGCCATCAGTAGATTTATGACGACCTTCTAAATTCGGTGTTGTAGGCATTGAATGGCATTCCATCATTGGCAGTGGGAAATCTGGCAAATCTCGTTTCTGTCTTCTCTTTTTCACAGAATATTTTGGTGGCCCCATCGTTTCTTGTCCCTATTTAAAATATTAATTAATTTCATTGAAGATGCTTCTATGTATTCAAGAATATTTACTGAATGTGGAAGTACGTTATCTGCTGATCCCCAATTCTTATGCAATTTAATGTCAAATGATGATGGTGGTGCACTAACCCTGTTAGATCGTATTTGTTGGTGATGGGGACTTTGAGGAATCTTCGTGTTGACCCCAAGTAGACTCCCGATCCGGAGACTTCCAATTCTCAGGAATGAGTTGTCTTTTTCTTTTATTTTGATATTTATGATAAATAATGTTAAATCGTTTAAACATTAAAAAAAGTTTTATTTAACTAACCTGAATGCTTTTTCCTTGATTTGATCTCTGTGAAGAATGAAATATGCGATTTGAATGCATTTTATTTAAAATTTAATTTAACATCAGCACATAGAAAAGCTCAAAAATTATTAATCATCAAATTAAAAAACAAATAATAAATATTAAATGAAAATTTCTTACACATCGACATGACCTATGAAATAATCGACAAACATTTTGGAGCTGAAGCGAATAATTAATAATAAAACTATTTTCCTTGCTGTTTAATCTTAACTAATCTCTGTACAATAAAACATATGATCAACTTGAATTTCTACTGCCAAAAAGTCAAACAGTGTGCTTGTTGATAATTTATGTGCAACATGCAATCATTTTACCCGTTTTGGAGATCAAACTTCAGAGTTAACATGTAAAGTTGTTTTTTGGGGAAATGTTACGCGATAAAAAGTTATTGAAGAAACTTTAACGATCGAATCACGTTTTAACATCGAATAATTTTTAATTTCCGAAAGGATTACAAATCGCGTTTATTTTAAGCACCAATAAAAATTAGATGACGAAGGAAAGAAGCCTCCGAGTCGTGTTCACACCAAGATAATCAAAATCATAACAATATTCATTAAAATAAATTTTTCCTTCGAGAATCAGCGACAGCAGAAAGCAAGCAAACATATCACATCTCAATGGTAAATGTTAACGAGAAAGAACATTGGTTGTAACTCGTGTTTTCTCAATCTATTGCGACCAAATAAAATTTATTAATAATTCGTTTGTAAGTTTCTGACTTCATGAATATTTTATACAAAACATTAGTTTCGGTAAATAGAAAACTATGGAAATTTCAATCAGTATGGATATTGTAAATGAAATGGAATTTTATTTTGTTTTCTTCCCTAGAATTTCAACAAATCCCATGACTGCTTTTCACCTGCAAGCTACTAGTAAATATTTGGCTCTTTCATTACCATAAGAATTCCTATTTTTATGACTTTCCGCAAGCTCAACTCAATTCCGACATCATAAAAACATGAAAATTTTCGTGGGACAATTAACTTCGACAAATGTTAGATGAGAGAAAACGAGTGGAAAAAAATTCTTCAGGAAGCAAATAATTAATTTTCCTGCAGGTCTTGACAACAAAATTTCAAACTTTTTTCTTTCTCTTTCTACTTTTTGTTGAACATGGAATTATAATAACAAATATCAGATATGATTTGCAATTTGTTTTTCTTGTAATTAAACAAGTTTCTAGATAAACAATATTTAAAAAATTGAATCACATTTTAATGATTGAGAGACAAAATACTAATTGAATTAAAATTTTAAAGCAAACTTAAACATTTTCATAAAAACTTTTATTGTTAAATTGCTACATGATGAAGGTCTTCATTGTTTCTTTAACAACATAAGTTTTTATGACTTCATTATGATGTTATTAAGAAAAAAAAGGTGTTTTTAATGTGAAATATTTACAAGATGGTGTGATGTGAAAAGACGACTGTTGGCAATTAAATATTATACAAATATGTTAAGAAAACTATTAAGAACTCCATGCATCTTAAATTTTAATAAGAAAAATTCCAACATGCTTTAGAAAACAATCCACATCACACGTCATAAACTTGCCTCCATGTTGACCAGCCGATTAAAGAAATGCTGTCGCCTATTACTTGGGCTTCTCTCATTGCTTGCAATTCTATTTAATTGAAATTTATACAAGATTGCAATGATTTATGATTCAGATATTTCTATAGTGCAAATAAATCTTACAAATAAGTTTTTAAGTATCCAACCAATTAAATAAAAAAACAACCAAAATGTGTTAGTTATGTAAAACCAAAAGATGAATAAATTTATTTGATCAAAATTGTTAATAATAATTTCATAAATCTTACGAATAATTTTGTTAGTTTTACTTTTTATTTGTCTACCTACTGAAAATTAAAACGCAATTCACATGCGAAAGTGTTAATAAAGCAAAATATTAATTTTATTGTCCAAAAATCTATTTTCTCGATAAGCTTTTATGAAGAAAACTTGAACGATATTTTTTGTTTTTGCGTTTCATCGAGGCACCACCAAATCCTATAACTCCCGAGTGACTCGTAACGCTTCGTGTATCAAAATTATCGTTCGATTGTAAGTCGTCAAATGAACCACGCAAGGATCCACTTCCACTATTCATGACGGTCAAACTTCGTTGTACGCCACGATTGCGATTTTTCTTCATCGTAGTTTGACGTTTCGACATTGTATCGTTGTTGGATGTGCTAACATTATTCACGATATTATACTCACTGCTGAAAGTTGATGCAGAAATGCTCGTCAGTTGCTTTTGGTAGTCCAATGGCTTCTTTCCACTCCAATCGAAAATATCACGATCCGCTTCTGTTGATGATTTATTAAAACAAAGTAAAAAAAAAATACTTAAAATTTTCATTTTTGCATAATTTATTCTATAATTAAGATTTATTTTCAACTTCCTACATGAAGTCTGATTTGGGATTTCTAGAACTAAGAACAGTTAAGTGAAAGAGTCTTGAACATATTTTTCGAGGTGATTGAAATGTCAATTAAATCCCCACATAAATCTCGAATGATACGTGAAATTATTAGCAACAACACATCATGAATGTCTCAATTGTTAAAACTTTTACAGAACTAGGCCTTTTACTATTTATTCAAGTTAAAAGCAATGAAAATATTAGGAATCACCAAACAAGCCACATAGTATGATAAAAAATTATCAAAAACTTGATTCGGTTTCTTTTTTGACTGTTTATTTGTTAATTGTCAAATCGAGTTTGATTTATTGACATTTTTTGTAGCTACGTTGACGACTCTCTAATATGGCAACGCCTTGTCTGTGGACATTCAAGTCGGTCATTCTCTTTCATATCAAAATCTGTCGCAATGTGAATTTGATCGATTGAATTTCATTTGTTTATTACAAGTCAAAGTCAAGTTTTGAGAAATTTTCATTGACGGAATGTAAGATTGATTACTCGAGTAAAGGATTCCGAATTCATTTATAAATTTATTTAAAAAATTGTTGAATACTCACTGTAAACATTACACAGAAGCTCAAAAATATCGTTTCTTCCGAATTGCATGGCAATGTGGAGTGCCGTGTAACCCTGCAAAAAATTATGAGAAGGAAATCATTAAATATATCGAGAAATTTTCACGTGCATGTGTCTTAAATTTATTGTAGAAATATTTTTTTCAAACATTTAACAGCAATGAATATTTGTGTGTTCATCGATGGACTTCAGCTTGGTTAAACGTATCATCGTTTGTCGATTGCATTTTATGTAGGATGAACATGATTTCGTTGAACATAATGTTCTTCATTTGCGTTTGTTGAATGTTTGTAAAAACCCTAAAGAAATATTTAAACATGGCTGTGGACTTTTAAATTTTGCATAAAAAAAGGAACATTGAATATTTGACTCTGCTTTGGAACCGCATGTTTCTTATATCAAAACCAACTGAAGCAAATGTGAAATTATTCGGTACATTATTTGATTGACAAGAATAATTTCATGGTCGTCATAAGCAATCAGAAGAATTTAAATTTTTAACCCTTATTGGCGTTAGTTTAAAATAAGATTTTTGTAGTAAGAAATTGTATCAAATCGGGGACAATCGTTCTTGTGTTCTTGTCATATGATTGACATTGCGTGACTCTGAAAACCAAAATTTTCCTTCTTAAAAGTTTAAACCTTTAATACTTCAATTCCAAGTGTCATATAGAAAATTATGACTATAATCGTCGTCGAATTTAAAATACATTTGTTGATGTCGAATGCAATTTTAAAATTGTTTTCTTTTCCCTTCACACCCTTCGCTAGATAACCGGAAAGAAAATAAATTTAGGTTCGTTTCGGCACCATTGATAATTTCCACACATGAGGTGTTCGTTCTTATTTCATATTTTTTACTTTTCCGCGTTCATGCTTGAACATGCCGTCGATATTTTCACAGAAATTTACAACTTATCGGGCGACATTTGAAAGTTGAGTTTCCTCAAAATTTTATCCTTTGAATGGATGCAATGAAATCGATTCTAAAACTTTTGAAATTGTTCACTGAAAAATCGAAGTTCTTACATCACTTAGATAAGAGAATTTTACAATTTCTCTTGACATTTTCCAGAAATCGGGAAAAAATTTACACTTTATTAAAAAGTATTGTGAAATAATTCATTTTTGATACATAACTCAATAAAGGGTTGAAATCATAGCGTAAATTTAACACGCTCTCAACATATTGCAAAAAGTGCTTTTCAGCATTCTTCAAAAAAAATTTCAATTGTCACATTTATTTTCATAAATACAGCTGACTCTTCATAAGCGGAAGTTCTCTGAAGAGAAAAGCTCCATAAATTGCGAGACACTCACATTTGAGAACAATTTACTCTCCAAAAGCAGAAAATTTCTTATCTAGCAAGCTCTCTTTTGACCATGTGCATTTGTATTGAAAATTCTCTCCACAGATGCACATGGAAGTAAAAACAAGCTGCAACGCGGTAATTAAAATTCTTTCTGCAAAAATATTAATTAGAAACGATTAAAATAAATAAAATGTAGCAGATAAATAAAAAGAAAAAATTTTTACGTATGATTATTTTCAAATAATGTTGAAAATTCAAAGATAGTTTTTATGTCACAAATTTGAGTATAACAATGAATTTTGAAAAAAATATCGACAAACGCTTTCTTTTTTAAGTTGTATTTAATAAAATTGTGATTCATTGTCAAAATAATACTTTTTTTTGTAAACATTTCAACTCTTTTGCATGTGAATCTTTGTAGTTTATATTTGAAAATGTACTAACCATGCAAAATTTAATTCTTATAATCGAAGATTGTATAGCAGTCTGATTTATAAGACATCTACATGCGTTAATCCACCATTTAGTTGGCAAACAGCATTTTAAATTAAAAAGTTCTAAAAGCGGAAAATCTCCTCACACGACCACTCCCTTCAATTTCCGCTTATGAAGAGTCAACTGTATGTGAAATTTTAAACGCAGCTTTAATTTAACGACATAAATTTCATCTTCTTTTAAAATTCAGCAGAGTTTTTTTTATCGCAATTTTTAAAATATTCAATTTAAATGTTGATAGAAATTGACATGATAACAACACAGTCGATGAGTATGCATTTGAATGTTTCATTTTATTTGTATGTTTCCAATTTTTATTGGATTTTTTTGCACGTTGTTTATAAGTCTATAAACAAAACATAATAAACATTGATCCTTTACATCCTTTTCCCAATTCTCATACTCGTAGGTGTTACATCACCTCGTAAAAATTCTGTTTTAATATGACAATTTCTGTTTAATTTAAATTTTACTCGCTTCTATATACAAGCAATTTAAATATGTTTTGGTGGATGATTTTGAGAGACATTCTCGATGATAATAATCGATAATATGATTGAAGAAAATCTCATTTCACAAGCTGCAAGTTTAAAGTCATTTTGATTATAAGTTCATTAAATTAAACTTCATCAGAAGAATCTTAACAATCATCTTCAATGAATAAACCCTTAAAGTTTGAAGTCTCCAAGCTATTATTACGAAATCATTCATTACAACATTTTGCAAATACTTAATTGTTTTAAATATAGTTTTCATTAGAAATTTAATAACATTGAAACCTTTTTCATTATGCAGCCTTTGTGACTGGATTGAAAGCGAGTATCAAATTTAATTAAATTTCATTGTTTCACAAGAAGATTTAAGTTACATTTGAGAGGGTCAAAGATGGGTAAAAGTTTAAATTGTAAAAATGAAACAAATAACTTTGAATTCTTATCATAATCGTGCAGCTAACGCATGGAAGTTGTTTGGTGGCTTTAAAAGCCATTGAAATAATTGAATACTTGTTTAAGACACCTTACATCTAAGTAAGCTTAGTTCACTTTATATCGATGTAACTATCGAAGGCAAGCTTATAAATAATCTGCCATTAAAATAGGCTAAGCTGCACATTTACTCAAGTTGCCACTTTGATTAACAGAAACTAACAGATCGCGCTTATATGTAAGTAGAAAATTATGTGCAAACTTCATGTTAATTTGATGTACTTACTCCATTCTTCACATTCAAATTCCAAGCAATTCAATTAAAATTGCAAAGAATTCCATTTACCAAATGTGGTGGTTGTGTTGGCAAAAAGCGACGCCAGATTTATTTTTTAATGATTCCACAAATTCATCCACGGCAGGGCGACAGGAGCACGCATAAAAATGGAATTAAATGAAAACAAAAGAAGAAAAAAAAAGATTTAATACAATTGAAGAATTAAGTTAACAAAATAATTAATTGCACTTTGCTTCTACTTTGTTCTTATATTTCATTCGACTGTTCATTCATTGAAATAAGTAATAAATGAAAATTAATTCAATTGAAGAATGTCTTGAAACTCTCACGAAGGTAAACATAGCAATATTGTCTACTTACCGTGCGACTGTTTACATCTGCTTTGTAACTTCCCGCAATTAGTTTGATTATATTCTCATTTCCATGTTTTGCAGCCCAATGAAGGCATGTCTGTTGAAGGAATGATGTGAAAATAATTATTTAAGATATCATTGAATTTACTGATTAAATGATTGCTTGAATAAACAAATGTCTAAATCAAATGTAATTTCATTTTTCTCTATTCTCAGGTTTAAAGGGCAAACAGTCATAAATAAGATAGACAAAGTGGTTCTACAGGTTTTATGACTTATTGTATCGATTTCAATTTACCAATCAATTAAATAATAAATTGGGCGCCATGAGCAGAACTACTTTTATTATTCATTTCTTTATATACTTTAACTATAGTTAACGCTGAGCGAACATTGCGCAAAATGGTAGACATCAAATATCTACATACATCGATGTAAATTAAATTTAAATGAAAGAAATCATTTCTGACATCAAAGAAAACTTAATAAAGCAATTGTTGTGGGCGTATGAATACAGACTATTAAAAATAAAATAAACAGCTTTTAAATGCTCATAAACATCAAAAGCATAGCAAAAAAGATCGAATAAAAGTCTTAATGGGATTTAGAAAAGGAAAAGTAAAACTAATAAATCGTCTTAATCTAAATTAATCTTATTAGGTTTCTTTCTTCATTTAAGTTTCACAATAATTTCACACTTTCCATTGTAAGTACTGAAAAGAAATTATTTTGCAGTTTCCTAATGTGATTTTAATGCGCTTAAAATATCAATTCTAACTTCATAAATAGCTCACAACAGGTTTGGGCTAAAAACATGACATGAAGAACCAGAAGTCTGCTTCTTCTTTTATTAGTAAATTTTATTTGGGACAGAAAAGAAGCTACAAAATGATCAATTGTTTCGTCACTGGAGATTGTTGCAAGCAGATAGGCTTTGGTAAAATGGTTTAATTTTACGAAGAGAAAAATTTGTAAGAATAAGAAATGATATCGTTTTCGCGATAAAATTGAGTGCAGCCTAATTTATTTCATTCTTGAAGATCGTTTTAAGATTTGATACAGCACAGAGCGACTGAAGCAAACCAAACATATTGTTCCTTTAAGTCTCTCATCATTTCGGCAGCAGGGATTAAGCAACTATTTCGATATCTTTCTTGAGGTTGAAGGAAAAAAAGATTATTTCAACAAAGCAGAGAAGGAATATCTTTTAATGGATTTAAGAAAAAAAAGGTAAAGATAAAAATCTTGGCGACATTTAACAAAGGCAGCAGCGTAAGTTTTTTTTTTGAATATTTAGTTACATTACGAATTTACGACTAATGCCTCGCAATTCACGAGATCCAAATTTTCATATAAATGAACTTTTAATTAGATATTTATTGATAGATGATTTTTGTTGTTAAATTTCTTAAAATTTGAACCTTTCGAAAGTGGCAAAATGTTTTCTTAAAGAAGGTAATTTAAAGAAATTTATTCGAATAACCAAATGGAATATTTATGCAAGGAAATCTTTGATTTCATTATATTTGCAGTTAATTTAATTTCCATGTTAAACGTAAATACAAAATGCAGCACTATGGATTCAATTTTACCCTGTCGAGTCCCAATCGAGCAAGAGAAACTTATGGTCGGTATTTTCACATGAACTGTTTTAAACAATTTATTTTATTTTCTTATTCCCGTATTCTAATCTTGGATCTGATCAAAGAATCTTTAGATTTCCATTAGGAATTTCAGTTTCTTTTGTATGCTTATTTGTGGCTGTTTTCTTTTCTGCTTTAAAACTTCGATAAGAATTTTTGTTTAAATATTTCTTTTATATCAACAAGTACTTACATACTGATTAGCCAAAGAGATCGGTTGATCGTTGTGTGAATCATCAATTTTAAAGGTGTTTTCATGAAAGATAAAAAAAAAAGTTAATTAAATAGAATTCGATTGAATCCATGAAGCAATCATAAGCAGATAGTTAATCCAAATTTTCAAGAGTGTGATGTCGTTACATGTGTTTTCGCTTGTTTTATCGAAAGAACTTTAGATACGACATTTCTTTAACATCAAATTAAATGGAGAGACAACGTAAACAGCGACTCAAAAGGAATATAAATTCATCTTTACACCTGCCAGAAATTTTTTCTCTTTCCTTAGTGTTAATGTCTGCAATTTATACTTTTTTTTTTAAATTGTATTATCGAAGAAAAGTTAAACGGTGAGCAAATTGATGGGAATATTCTCGCATTGTGTTGAATTACTTGAACATTGAAAACAAAGAAACGACAAAAAAAAAGGAACAACAAGTGCAGTGGCATCAATAGCAGTTCACAATATTATGTCATAAAATAAGATCAATTTAAATTAAATATAAATTCAGTCTGCGGTTCATTCAATGACTACATACAAGCATAAATATTTTAAGTATGCAGGCGACAAAAGCCAGAAACCGTCAGAAATTTCACCTTCAAGACGATTGGAAGAAAGAAATATAAAAAGAAAAATCAACAATCGCCTTGTGTCAATCAAATAAAGAAGAGAGAAATGATAAATTGGAGCAATTAAAATAAACTTTTTGTCTTTTCTTTAATGTCGTTTCTGATCGATGGCATGGCCAGTGCATTTATTTTCGGAACCAAAACAAAGTATATTGAGAATGTTTTTTTATTATTTTGTTACTTTGTCTTGTTATGAACAAAGAGAAGTTCAACGTCTTGTGATAAGAATTAAATATCAAGGGATAATTATCTACTTTATTCGGAGTCTTATAAACGACCCTTTCTTAAATATCATGCATGAAGAGGTCACCTATTAATTTAAATACTTAATCTGGAAACGTTTCTTGGATATCATCATTTATTGTTACATCATTGAGATTTCAAGTTGATTGGTTTAAAAAGGTAGAAGATACGATTAAAGTTTCTTCAGAAGATTTAAAATTTTTAAGTTCATTTCAAGCACCTGTCAGTGAATTTTTTTTCCTTTCAGTTTTCAAAACAAAACTCAACATATAAAAAATCTTAATCAAGAAAGGAAAAAAGCCCGAAATTTATTGGCGTGAATTGCGCTAAGAACACTGTCATTTTAATAAGTTAAATGCTCGTTAACAAATAAAGACGTCCTTATGTACATTTGAAGTTAATAAAACGGAAACGACAGACGATATTTGGCTTAAACTTTTTTATTTATTGTAGTTTGTTCTTAAGAGATTAGCATTTTAACGACTTAATAGTTTTTGACACCGCAGGGCCTCAACTGATAAAATAAGTTAAGTCTTCAAACTTTATATCGAATGTCGAGATCTTTCGTCACTAACGGCATCTGTTTCGTGTTCGTTTTAACATTGATGCGTCTGACAAAAATGTGTGTGCAAAAATTTCCATAATTAAGTCACATGTCATGAAGGAAAATTACAATCGATCATAAGTTTGGTTTTAGGCATTGCGCGCTTTTTAAATGAGACTCTTGTTCCGTTTTCATTTCTGATTATTAAGAAAAAAAGGTAATAATAGCATGAGAAGTTAATAATTTAAGTGAGATTGATACAGGTGAAAAGTTAGATGTTATTTAAAAGTAGCTATTTAGAGTTGTTAGGATGAGTCTAATATCGCAACAAAACAAACATTGAAAACTGTTTGAATCATTAATCAAATCAAAGATCCGAAAGAAGACAACCAACAATGACATATGGTGATGAAATTCCATTGATGTGGTTAAGAATGCGCCTTTAAAGATAATAATTTAGATCATTCAATTATTAAAACATATTTGTAAAAGAAATATAACAAAACAAGTTGGCAATTTGTTTCTTTCTTTGAAACTACGCAACATAAATATCAAACATTCATTTTAAAGCACATACAAATTATCAAGTATAACGAGTAAGTAGCAATTGCTAAATGAATTTCATTTTTGTTTGTTATGTGTTTAAAAGGTTGAAGACTTGATCAGCTGCTTAAGCGGCATGCGTGATAATAAATGGAACATCACAAGGTGGATCGTTCATGTTGTTTTGATCGGTTGTCGCGTTTATTTAAAAGTAAATTACAAGCTCTTACGATAAATTTTATTGGGTAGCAATAATCTTGAATACTTTCGTTACCTTATTTACTAATTTGCAAAAGAATTCTTCTTCACTTTTAAGTTAAATTTCTATATATGCATATATTTATACTTTAACTTATTTAAAATTCGTTCTTTGAGTCTTTTCTTATGGTTGAAAACCGTCTGCTAATGATTATTTATATTCCACTTCCTCGACTACCTGAAACCTCATTAGCTACTCTTATTAATGATCATCGATAATCGGCAGCGAAATCCCACTAACAGGTAGCAAAGGTAATGAGAGGCATGAGAAATTTCCTCGTTTCTTCTACAAAATGTGTAATTAAAATATTAATTGAGTAAATTTATCGAAATATTTGTGTCTTGGACTGTTAATGACTTTTTACGCATATTCTAAATGGATATCATTTGGTTGCGGGGATTCAAAGTTTGTTTTAACTTTTAAGTATTAATTTATGCGCAACTATCGAATGAAAAGAAAGAAAAAGGAAAGAAAAGAAGAGAAATTCTTCCTCAAATAATTTTCGATTTTTCAAAAACAACGAAAACAGGAGAAGACTGAAAAGTTAAGAGACAAAAGCGCACTAATTAATTAATTAACTAACATAATGGCATTGAGCTTCTGAATTTTTCAATGTTGGAGGTTTTTTCAACCTCGTCTCATGCGATCGCTCATGAACAATTTTGCTACCTTTTTCGTTGTGCAGGCAGTCATCGAGCGCAATGGAATGAAGATTAACGATAACATTTCATTTGATTTTTATAAGTTTAATTACAGGCATTGGAAAAGATCATCATGAAAGAGAACGGGCATTAATTTACTTCTCTCATGAGAATGTGAAAAATCATGTGACATGAGATGAGCTTAACAAACAAAAAAGACTTTTCAGCTTACAATGAGTCGAGCCTTGACAAAAAACAGATTGCAGGAAATTTCTTAAAAGAACGTGATCTGTTTTATCCATCAGAAAATAATGTCTTAAATATATTTTCTTCCTTTTACTTATCGAATGTTTATCATGATCTCAAAATGTGTTCAGAGTTGGGTGAATATTTAAAAAAAAAATTATGATCAGATAACTTGAAATGCAAGTTTACCCAGCTCTGTTACACAATAAGAATTACTGGCACAAATCGCAAGCGAGGATGATATTCATTAACAACTTCAAATTCAAAGATGAATGTTGTCAAGATAGTTTCATCATAAAAGTAAAATCATAAAGCATGTCAACAAAATTATTGTGTTATTTATATTTATCTACATCGGGAAAGAAGCGTGATGCTTCACGCACGAATTCTCAACAGTTGAAATGTCAGACATGTATGAAAACATCTCAACACCTCTTCATCGTGACTGAAATCGTCAGCACACACAAAATAGATACATAAATAAATATCTAAACGAATAAATCATACTTACACCCTAAACCATTCCAATCGCATGGCGATGTTGTGATAGATGCCAATTAAATAGATTTGTTGTCGAAAATCAGCCAAGTGCATCAAGTCTCATCGGGTGGTGAGGACGAAGTAGTAAAGAGTGGAGTTAATTGCGAAGCAATGTTACACGAAATAGTTTAATTTTTGTGTACATCGACGTTTATCGAAATGTCAAAATGTTAATTTCAAAAAAAAGAGAATAAAAAAATAGAAATAATCGGCATTATTATAATAACCCGATACGTTGTCATCAACAGTGTTGTCGTAAAATGGTTGGAACATGAAAAAAGAGAAGAAAAAAATAATACACATGTTAGAAATTGAGCTCTGGACTGGAATATCAGCGACATGCACGAAAATTGTATTCGTGTAATTATATATTTAGTCATTGAAAAAGCCGTCTTTTGTCGGACGAGATAAAATGAATAAAAACCTACTTAATAAACACGCAAAAGTATCAAGAATAAATGAATCGAGACAGAAATTATTTTATATTAAGTTTACTTTCCTTCTGAATAATTTTAATCGACAAATAAATATCCTTTATGTCATCAAACATGTTGTAGTTCTGTTATCAAAAAAATTCACATTTGCATCGGATAATGAATGCATGAGAAAAATGAACAAATGTTGAATAAATTTCGATAAACTCTGAGCCATCAACTTCAAAATGCTGCTAATTGATTAATCAATATTTGCTTTTTATTTGTTTAGTGGAGTTATGTTTGTAATTTGTATTTGTGTTTTAAAAAAAAAGAGTCTTAGTAATAAAAAACAACAAACAAGTCTACGAAAATCTCACTCCAATTTACATCGTACTTATAAATAAATCAATCATTGAATTTGCCTTATGTCTCATTAACATAACAGTAATTTATGTTGTAACTCGCTAATTTAGTGTATGTTTTATTTAGCGGACACAGCTACCGTTTTCCTTTCATGCGCTCTTATGATTTTTTTTTGTTGTCGCGATGTAAAACATCAAGCTGAACAGCAAAAGTAATTTATTTTGTGCAAAGTTGAAACCCTGGAAAAGCTCAAGGACAGATGACGAATCAAATTCTTAAATTCAGAAAATTAACATTTTTTTGTTTGTTTTAGATGAACGGCTTATAATATTTAACTAACTAGATTGTGAAAAAATGAATTATTTAGAAATTCTAGCGTATAGAAAATAGAAATATCAAAGTCATTAGTGTTCCGTCGAAAATGTCATTTATCATTTCACAAAACTATGTTTGTTTAAGTAAAAGTTTTTCTCTTCGGAACAACGAAACGACTTTATTAATTGAATACATTTCAACCGAAAAATGTGTTAGGGAAGAAATCAACATTTCCAAACCTGCGTAAATTAAACTAATTTAAAAAGCTATTTCTTTGAGAACTCAAGAATTATTAAGCGCAAGCAGATGTAGTTGAGCGATCGTTGTTTTCTGGATCCATAATTAAAATGAGCATTAACGTTACGATTTTTATCTTAAGGTTTGATGTGGCATATTTAATATCATTTTAATTGATACTTTTGAAATCGTTTTCATTTGATGACGGCTTTAGCCAATGCGTAAATAAGAAAATAGACGCTTTTATTGCGCAGAGAGTAAATGCAAACATTAACAAATAAAATACATTTAATATCCTCTAAATGAAGCTGTTATAAAGATAACATAAAAATATTATTATCGACTCAAAGTGATTTCAGTTAGATTTAAATGTTTTTGAAATGCTATAAGACTTAAATATATAATTTTGTATTTGACACAGCAACAATAAAATGTTTTAAGACTGAGTACTTAGATATCTTCATTCATATAGATTTATGAAACATTTTTTCGCAATTAACAAAATTATGAGCTTGTAAACAGTAAAATAATCCTTAAGATGAATTAATACACTTAACGTGAGTGTTGCTA